CATACACGTCTTTGTGTTTAGTTTCATACAATGGATAACCAACTAAAATGTCTAGATGTTAATTCTGATCACAGATGGAGTGTTCATGAATATATTTTAATTAAACAATAGATGTTTTTGTGGCATTTTCAGCACATTTAAGGATTAAACAGTGTGACAATAAATTATCTGCTGTAAAATTGTGTTAGCTGTCTTAATCACTGCACACTGAGACATTTTATTGCCATTTGATGTGAAATGTGTTTATTTAAACAAACTACAACCATTGCGTGGAACAATGCGTGTACATATCCTGCCTTTACTTCACCCTCACTACTTAATCTCTTACATAAACAGCAAATTAACATACTGTTATTTTGTTTTAGCTGCTCATTGACACCCACACAGTCAGTCACAGCCCTGTAATGAAATGTGTTGAGTCCAGGACCTCAGCTCATTGTTCCACCTGGCAGGAGGAGAACCATTGTGTTCCTCAGTGTTGCCTCCAAACCAATGAGCCAACGCACTGCCACATTTTAAAATAACCAGCACATCTTGCAGGCGTTCAAACGAGAGCTCAACAGTGACGGTTTCAAGGTTAGAAAACATCACATGAATGCTTTTTAACACGCTGAGGAGCTTCTTTCTTTCACTCGGAGCTGGAAACGTGTTTATTTTGGGCTGGCAGATGTGAATGCAGGTACTGTAACTAGATTGAACTCTCAATAAATTATGATAAGAACCTGTAGATTTATTTATTGTATACTTCTCATTTTGGCCGTTGTTTCTGTCAGTTGCATTGTACACACACCAAGTTGCTAGCTGAAAAAACTGAAATAAATATGAATGGTCCTTTATTTTATGTTATTAAAAACCATAAACTAAGTTTGTGTGTCGTCTAGTGCTGCTGAATAAGCATAAACTAATAGAAAACCCCCAAAACAACCAAAAGGCCAATCTCTATCTGTTCACTACGTCGGTGAATTAAAGTTTATTTCAACCAAACCAGCGTCTGTGATTGCTGGAACAGTTTTATTTTGTTTATGTCCACTTTGAATGATTCTGCAAGGTTAAAATTATAGTTTTTGTCTATGGAGTCTGGTGACAAGCGTTTTCTGGTCTGGTCCAATCAGCCAATCAGGGGCTGATTTTCAGTTCCAGGAGGAAAAGTTGTAATAAAGCCAAAAACAAAACCCAAATGATCTGGGAGGAGCCAGGAAACATTTCTCATCTGGTCTGATTCTTTTTCAGTTCTCTAGAGTCTGAGATCTTTCCTTAAGCTCCACAAACTGCAGTTCCTGGAGCGGCCACTCGAGGCTGGCTCCAGAAGTGAGTCAATCTCCATAAGGCCTCATATTAAAATGCCTAAATTTACAGATGAAATAAATATTTTTACAGTCTGGAACAAAAAAACTGTTTTGGTCTCTACAGCTAAATACCAAGTTCAGGACAACTGGGATACGGGGTATATTTTTGTATAAGTCACTCACTTCAATTATATTAAGGCTTAAAGTTATTGCATAATTAAGGGCATTGAAGCTCTGAGTGATAGGTGGATGTAGCCTAGCATCTTCAGACTTTGCTCACTACTGCGTGTGTCTTTACATCCTTCGAGATCAGCACAAACAAACACAACACAGGCTTCTTCACATGGTTAATGGATATAAGTTTATGTACGTGTGAGACAGTGGTTGTAACCTTATGTAGCACACCTGTTCCAAGTGTTGTGATGTGAAAGACGGAGCTGTTTCTGTAAATTGAACTTGTTTATGCTAATTGTGTGTTATGGGCGAGATAGCGTGCTGGCTAATCACTCAGTACGTTAAGTAGCTTTTGAATGAGGCAGCTGCAGTTTTATTGTATTTGATTAATGAGTCAATAAGTGCCTCTGAACCTGATTGAGTTTTTGTTTTGTGTTCGGGAGATCAATGAGTATTACAGTAATAGACAGCAGTAGCTCTGTAGGAACTTGGGCTTGGGACTGGTAGCTGGAGAGGGACCAGGTCCACCTCCTGGGCACTGCCGAAGTGTCTGTTAGGGATCGGTCATTCTAATATATTTTAATACACATAGATGTGAAAGCCTGCATTTCTTTCAGCTATTACACACAAAGATACAAAAACACAGACAGATATTCTCATCTCTGCTTGCGAGCTACAATTGCTACAAACACCTGAGTGTGGGAGGAACAACGAGTTATCTCCGAGGCCGGAACACCCAGATCTGACCGTTGCTCTAGTTTCATAAATGATAGTTTATGGGAGGGGAGGAAAGGTGGAATAATTAATTTTCTTTTAGGGCGCTGTCTCTTGGAATTGGTTGGGTCGTGGGCCAAGAGGCTGGGACCAGCCAGCGCACCAACAAGGAAGCACCAAGTCTAAACCCCGGTTGCTTTCCCATCGTACAGTCAACCAATCACATTGCTTAATGTAAAACAGATATAACCTCTTGTAATCTTTGGTCACTACTCTTTTTGGGGCGAGGAAAGACAGAGTGACAGGACTCGGCTGACTGTGGCTTCTCAATCCAACAAGATCCTTGTACAAGTATTATTTTAATTTTACAATTCTAAATAAACTTTTTAACTGAGAGAAGCTGTTTGTCTTATGTCCTAAAGATCGTTTTGATACACGAAATGTCCTTGAGCAAGTAAATCTTCTTCTTTACATTAAATGGTTAATCTGTGTGCAGGAGTTCTTGAATACTGAGCGCTAAAATTGGGTTCAGTTATCATTTTGGCGATTATGTCGTTGTGTTTGTAGTTTACATATAGACTAATACTTCATGCCTGTTGTGCTGACTTAAGCCTGAAACTCAAGACATTTCCTGTACAGTTTTATTTTATCTTAGTTCGCCATATTGTTTCAGTTTGTTTAGTCGAGTTTTTACCTTTTTTTCCCGTTAAACTGTCAGCATGTACTGGATCTATTGGCAGAAACTGAATACAATATTCATTAATATGTTTTAATTAGTGTATAACCACCTGAGTATAAGTATTGTTGTTTTTTTGTTACCTTAGAACGACAGACAAATGTTTCTACGGTAGGCCAGAACGGACCAGATTGAGCCTTTTGCTTTTTTAACAGCCACCGTAGTTTCTCCTACATGGTTTAATGAGCTAGTTAGCTAATCAACATCAATTGTTAGATAGTCACATCTGAAAACTAATCTTAACTTTAAATTAAAAAACATAGCTGTAGATTAAGTTTCTCCTACATGTTGGAACTTTAACTAAAATGTTTTTCAACAGCTAGTTTTTAGTTTTAATTTACTATAATAACGTTGGTCGGCCTCGTCAGCTGCTTTCTGTAATTAAGTGCTCTTCATTTTCCCTCCAGCTCGCACAAACTATTTCCTCTTTGTGCGTTCGGTATGAAAACTGCTGCCAGAGTCAGTACTCTCTCTGGTCTCTCCCTTTTTTTGTTGTTTTCAACCGCATTACTCGGTTGAGATACAGTTAATTACACAACTTTCGAGTCGCCGTCAAACTCTGTGTTGCCTGGCAACCAGGATGTTGTAACACTGCTCGTGGCCTTGGACTTGTCGCTCCTCTTGCCACCGTCGACACTTTCTGGTTTGTGTGTTTTTTTTTTTTTTTTAAAAGATAAAAGCATCTCTCGTCTGATTATCGTCATGAGTCTCTTTGTAAAATTAAAAACTAACAGGTGACGTATTATAATTTGTGCTTGAAGCTTTTTGTGTCCAGTCTGTTCCAGGTCAGATTAGGGTTTCTCCATCCAGAGAGTCCAGTTATTTCATCCCGATCCTTTGAGGATAATCATCTATGAGCCTGAGGTTGATTATATTTATTCAGGGTGTAGTTAGGCCCTCTCTCTCGTTGCTCCCCTCTTCCCTTTCCTTTCTCTTTTTGTCCTCTCTGTGTACGGCGGCTCAGCCCATCTGCTAGCTGCGCATGAATTTTTAATGTCTTTGCCCCCGAGCTGTGCAGTGTCAACAGAACATTGCTGCTGCGTGAAAAACGGGCAACTTTCATTCAGCCTCTCTGTTCTTTATGTCTACTTGAAGTTAAAGTTTAAACTTTAAAGTGCTGCTGGTGTTTAATTACTCCGAGGCACAGAAATCCATTAAAAACTGCATATTTGTCCAAGTGCAGTGGGGTTTTTCTCTCTTTTTGTACAACAGAAGAGAATCAACTTTATTGTCACATATACAGTCATACAAAGTGCAGTGTTTAGTGACATTTATCCTCTTTATTTAACCCATTCTCACAGGGATCTGAGCCAGTGCCTTGCTCAAGGGCACCAACTGGAGAACCAGAGGAAACCCGTGCAAGGCCGCAGCTGGGACTTGAACCCACAACCTACTAACTACTGAGCCACTGGCTAGGGGAGCTATAGCCACCCTGGTCAACTTTCTCCTTCACTGTACTTGTACATGTGCTACATGCTAGGCTCGTCTACGTTGAAAAGACAAACCACATTTTGAAGATGAAGAGGAAGATTAACTTTATTAATTCCCAGTGGGGAAATTAAAAAAAAAAATTCTAAAAAGATAATGTTAGCAAAACTCTAATTTCTAAAATCTAATTTACACAAGTTGTTAGTTTGCTGGTTGGCTAACGCTCCACATAGATTAACTAATTTAAAACATGACTTTTATCTTTTAACCATCTGAGCACCCTCCCACCCCACAATGGCCCCCTTTGCTTCCATAATGAGTGCTGTATGCATAATATGCTTTAATCTGATAGTTTACTTTAGATATTTCCCCCCTTTGAGGATCACAGAGCCAGTCAGCCTGCTTGCTACAGTGCACAGACATCTCGGAGCTCCGCGGGGACGTAGTTCACTGCCCTGCGGCCATTTTCCTCTACTTAACTTTCAAGTAGAAGCGAAACACAAGTTGTAATGTTTCGACTGTTATTGCATCAAGGATGCAGAGTGTGAAACACCTGCTGCCACAGCACCAGCGTGTCATCATCATCTTCCTCTGGCTTGTTTAGTTAGAATAGGGAGAGATTATTCAATGAATCAGCAAGTAGTTGAATAATAAATCAATACTCAGGCTGTATGACAAGCCCTTTAATGTCAGTTTGACAGCACAGTGGAAAACAGGATTAAAACTGTGTGCGCCCTCACACAAACACACGTACATTCGCATCTTAAGTTCGTTTATGAGTCTCAAATAAAATCTTCTTGAAGGCCCTCCTGAAGTCTCGGTTAAAGATCGTGTATATGATGGGGTTCAGGCAGCTGTTGCAGTATCCGATCCAGAAGAACAGGTTGAAGAGCGTGTCGGGGATCGTGCAGTTCTCCCTGCAGACGGCGTGGAGGCTGTAAGTGAAGAAGAACGGGAACCAGCAGAGGACGAAGACCCCCATCACCACGGCCAGGACGAACGTGAAGCGCTTCTCCCTCATTTGTGCCACTTTGGTTTTGGACAGAGACATCTGCTTGCTGCGGAGAGGCACTGGGGATGGGAGGAGGAAGTGGTGGGAGCAGTGGTCGGAGGAGGCCCACGATATGGAGGCGCAGGAAGGAGGAGGAGGAGGAGGCTTCAGCCGGTTTGTGGATCCCTCTGAGTCCTTCCCCTCCTCCCTTTTCACGCTTCCGCAGGTCCTCCTCGGAAAGCGAAGAGCGGAGGAAAACGAGGAGGACGTTTTTGTGTCCGCTTCGCAGCTCTTCTCCTCCAGGTCGATATCGTCCAGCTCTCCTCTCCTGAGGCCGCTGCTGTTGCTGTCCACGTTGGACGAGCTGTGGCGGTTCGCCGGCAGCGGGCTGTCCAGCTCGTACTGGGATTTACCGCAGCCGGTTCCCTTTCTGTGGCAAGTCCTGGCGGTCCCCTCAAAGCAGGTCTCGGACTGCGATGGCTGCCGCTCCACCACGTTCTTCGCCACGAACACGGTGGAGGCTCGCTGCTTGGCGACGCGGTAGATCTTACAATAAACGAGTATCATGATGACTCCCGGCGCGAAGAAGGACACGAGGCAGGAGGAGAGGATGTACCATGTCTGGTTCATGAGGAGACACTCTTGCCGCCGGACGCCGCTCTCCTCCTCCGTCTCCAGATCCTCGTCTTTCTGCGTCATGAGGAGCGGCGGGGAGGAGATGACGATGGATATGAGCCACACGACGCTGATCATTGATTTAATCCGTTTGGGCGTCCGCTTGCGGTTGTAGCTCACCGCCTTAGTGACGGACCAGTAGCGGTCGAGGCTGATGGCGCAGAGGTGGACGATGGAGGAGGTGCAAAAGAGGACGTCCAGAGCCAGGTAGAAGGAGCACCAGGTGGAACCAAAGTACCAGTAGCCCATGATCTGGAAAGAGGAGAAAACAATTAAGATACATTACTGATTCATTTATGCAGCGAGTAGTGACCTACAGAGGAGAATCAGTGTGACAGGGAGGCGCCTAAAGGAGTATTTCACCTTAAAATATCAACATCTCTCAGGGAGTTCGCCCCTCCGGTTTCACATCAGGCCCTCCTTCGGAAAATTATTTAAGCCGACAATCATTTCACAGTTGCAAGAGACTGTAAAATATCCATCACATTCCTCCACGGGGAGTGCTCTGCACTCAAATGAAGTCTGTCTAAAGAGAAACGGACAATATTTTTCCTCTTCATCACCTGTATTTTCCTCGCTGGCAGGTGATAAAAGAGGCAAATATTGAAGTCGCTCGGCTGCACTGCAGTTGCTTGGCTACAAAGAACACTTGGATTATGATGCATTGGCTTTTTCTGGGGGACTTAACTCTCGGTTCATGGTTCCTCGAGCTTTGAAACGAGGGTCTGCTTAAGTTCAGAGGAAACGCTGACAGGGAACTATTGAAGTTCAAATGTTAATTTATATCATCTGTTTATCTTTATCATTTATATTCTCTGTATAATATCATAAAGCCTGACTGATACTGCACCTGTGAGGCTCTTACTGATATCCATTGACACATAAACACATATTATAAACTATTATTTTTGATAAGGATCCCTAAAATGTTGTTGAATGAAGGTCTGGTTGCTCCCACCAGTCACTTAAAGTGGCCATACCATTAATTATGCATAACTTTAAGCTTTAATATAATTTGAACAGGTGAGTTATATAAATATTCACCTCCCATACAGTTCTCATGAACTGGGAAATTAGCTTTAGAGACTTAAACAGTTTTTTGTACCAATAAAGTTTTTTAATATGGGGCCTTATGAAGATTGACTCACTGCTGGAGCCAGCCTCTAGTGGACGTTACAGGGACTGCAGTTTTTGCCGCGTTGGCTTTATTTGCAGCCACAGAGGTTATATGAAGACGTCACCTTGGACACTGGGAACTTGGGAGCTTTTGCATATTTCTGCTAGCAGCTCTGATGCTGTATTTATTCGGCCCAGTGGTGCTTTAAGCTAAATGCTAACGTCAGCATTCTAACATGCTGATGTTAAGCAGGTGTGATGTTATCATTGTAATTTAAATGACTAGGATGCTAACATAAAATATTTAGCCCTACACACAGGCTGTCATTAGTTTTTCAGGTATTTGGTGGTAAACAAAAGTATCAAATGGACATTTTTAACCTGATGATGGTGCTAGATGAAGGCTTTATTAAAATTATAATGATTAATCCTGTGGGGGACATGAATGTCTAATCTCATATTTATTAGTTGTTGAGACCAATGGGGACAAAATATTTCAGTCTGGTCCACAGTGGTGGACCAACAGACCGTCAATACCGTATCATCGTGACCTTGGAGCCGTATGGAGGCCCTATGGATGCTGATTGATGCAGTCAGAGATACACTACATATATTAACTACAGCTCTGGATCTGTGCGTGTTACGGTTGAGAAGCTGCAGCCAATCCATCCTCGATGTTGTAGCCTTGCCACTAGCATGATTAAAAACTCTCAAGAGTAATAATTTATGAAAATAATCATTATTCTAGCAACACTATTGACTGAATTTTATCAATAATGTATATTTGTTTAGCCATAACTGCTCCAGATGTACTGGGTCTGAGTGTTACATTCTGCTTCTCTAATAATTTATGTCTTTCTTTTATCTATAATGTATATATTGATATAATGACTCCCTTCATTTAGAGGTAATTGGAAATTTAACAGTCCGTTAGCTGGAAAATGGGAAGCAAATGACAACTAGTTGGAGATGATAAATAAACCAGACAGAAGGACCTGGATGACCCAAACTCCCAGCCTGTTGTGTGAACAGGAGGAAGAGCAATCGAGCAGCCCAGCAGATGAGAAACAATTACAGACTTGAGAGGTGTCTCTCAAGAAGCTGCAGGTGATTTCGAGGTGATGAAAAGCAGGAACACATCAGTAAACTGTTATTGCTGGGTGCAGAAGAGAATATCAGAGAGGAAACAGCAGCTATACATCAGGTAGAAACCCAACAACTTCAGGAAAAAATCGAATTAAACTGTCTAGAATTATTAGAAAGTTAACAAGTCAAGATGTTCACAGCTTGCATCTCATACAATGTGGGCTCTGGGAGGAGAATTAAGAGTTTAATCAGTAAATGTTCAGCATTCATCATCATTATATTTACAGTGTAAACCCAGAATCAGCTCTAGAAAGTCAAATGAACATGTAAACTTGTGTTTGCTCACATTTTTTCTCATGTTTTTTAATCTGTTCCAAGGTGACCTGAAGGTGGTATTAGGCCTGAGGAATGCTCTGATTTGTGGGTGATGAAGTCCTTCAAATTGTTGAAAATGTACAGATTCCATCACCTGAAGCCAAAGTGCAAACTCGTGAGCAAAGTTTTAATCCAGTCACAGTTTCATACTTGCTGTCATCAGATACGTCACACAAACTCAAGCCAACAACCTTTTCATTCAAGCATTCGTGTCACCACACACGTTGGGATTAGGAAAATGGGTTTCAAGAAAAGTGAGCTCGCTTTTGGAAGTTCTACTTATGTTTCCTTTGCAGAGGAAGAGCTTGCCTCGATGAGACAGCAGGAAGAGGTGGAGTTAGGCAACGTCTCACCATGCTGGATGGATTTTATACCATGCTAGCAGTGTGGCAGTGTGTGCACTTTTTGAGATATTTGAGTCCACCACTTCGATCCGGACTCAAATATCTCAACGACTATTGGATGTAAAATTACGTACAGATATTTCTTGAAGCTGACTTTTCTGTGACTTTTTTTGTGTTTTAGTGAAATGTTTATACAACTATTGGATGGATTACCAGAAAATGTTCACCAGCGGATGTATTTTAATGATTTTGGTGATCCTCTGACTTCTCCTGTAGTGCCACCAGCAGGTCAACATTTATGGTTTTGAGAACTTTTCATCAAGCGGCATCCTCAATATTTCAATCTGTCCAATACTGTGGTTTATCTGAAAGTTAGTTTTCGACCACTACAACCTCACAGAGCTGTGGATTCATCTTTTCTTTGTTGGAAACGCCACATAAGTCTGGCTGATCCAGCCTTTATCTCCAGATGTTGTCTGGCTGGAAAAAATACAATCTGTTCTATCTGCATTTACACCTGTACAACATGTGTTTTCCCTTCTTGAGATAAGATGTCCAGATAAAGATTGCACGTGAATACCAGCAGCAAATGGTGCCTTAAAAAAAGTTTCCTCACCTCATTAGCCAAGGAGAAAGGGATGACCAGCGTCGCCACCAGTATGTCCGCTGAAGCCAGAGACACCAGGAAGAGGTTTTGAGGCGCCCTCAGGGCTCGGCTGGTGAACACCGCCACCACGACCAGCACGTTACCCACCACGGTCCCCAGGATGATGACTGTGACCACCAGCACGATGAACACTGACGCCACCTGTGAGTGAGGAGGTAGAGGAGGAGATCTCGGCGAGGAGGACGACGTCTGGTTGTCGTTCTCCAAGGAAGAGTTTGGTGGTAAAGTGGCCGGCATCGTGGCCATTACGGACGACAATACATCCGTTAAGTCCATCCTTTTTTAAATGACTGACATTATGATCCCCATTTGTTTTGTGTTTTTTATGTTTTTAACTCCAGTGCTTCACTGACTGCAGACTGTCTTTATGCCAGCCAGTGAGAAAATAACAGAAAGTACAACAATGAGAAAAAGAATGAGAAAAAGCCAGTGAAAGAATCTGCCAAAATAAAAATACAAATGCTGTCTCTTTGGTTACAGAAGAAAACCCTCCAATAGTATCCCCACCAGCTTTAAAATATAAGATTTCTATAAACAAATTAGCTCTCTTTCAGAATATAAAATACACATCTCAAATCCTCACAGCACTACTCAGCCATGGCCAAAACATACTGCTCCATCTCAGCGTTCATGCCGCAACACAAAAAGGATTTGCATGATTTAAGTTAGGATTATAAAAAGTCCTACCTGTAAAAATATCCATTCTTAAGCACATCTGAGCCCGGAGGTTGACAAACTGTATTAAAGCTACAAGACTGGCCTACTTAAATCCAATGAGATGGAATAAAAAGCAGAGAAGAAAAATAAAACATACATGCTCTAGTTGGAGCAAGGATGGAAACCCTATTTGAAATGCATGGTACCCTCATACTGCTGCACTCCAGAAAAGATCAATGTGGCAGAAAAAAAAAAAGGATTGAAAAGTGGAGAAGAAATGATGGGGGAATAAAATCAAGACTGAATGGGAAGAGGGAGAGAGTGGAGAAGAGGGTGAGGAGGTGGTGGAAAAAAAATGAAAACAAAAGAGGCGAGAAAAAGAAAAAACAGAGGTCCTCACTTTCATGCGAGTCGCTGCCGTGCTGAGTGACACTGCTGCTGCCGCCGCTGCTGTTCAGTGATTCTCTACTGCTGGAACAGAGGAGAGAGGAGGAGGAGGAGGAGGAAGGAAGGAGGAGGAAGGGGGGAGAGAGAGAGAGAGAGAGAGAGAGAGAGAGAGAGAGAGAGAGACTAATAGAGAGGCGAGATGAAAGGGAAGAGTAGGAGATGCATGGAGAGGAGAGGCAGAGAGGAAGAGATATTTGAAGGAGAAGAAGAGGAGTATAGAAAAGGTCAGGAAATTAAAAAGGGAAGAGAGAGAGAGGGAGTGAAGGGAGGAGAGGTGGATGGAGTGAGTGATGAGAGGAAGGTATTAGAGAGGAGAGGAGGGCACTATGAGAAAGAGTGGGAGGAAGCAAAAGAGAGACAGGGATGAGGAGAGGGAAGTGAGGAAGACAAGAGAGGAGAGAAGGAAAGGACGAAGACAGGAGATGAGAGGATAAGAGAGGAGATATGAAATGAGAGATGAGAGGAAGGTTTTAGATGGGAGAGGAGGACAATACATGAGAGTGGGAGGAAGAAACAGGAAAGAGGAGGGAAAACAAAAAGAAAAGGATGAGTGGGGATAAGAAAGAGAGGAGAAGAGATGGGGAGCAGAAGGAAGAGAAGGTGAATAAAAAAGAAAAGGGGACGACAAAGAAGACAAGATGAGGGGGGGAAAGGAGAGGAGAAAAGGGGAGAAACAAAAAAGGAAGGGAGAGGAGAAGAGGGACGGAAAAGTGAAGAAAAAGAAAAGAGGAGATGAAAGTAAAGGAAAGAAAAGGGAGACGAGTTAGAGGAGGAGAAGATAGAGAGGAGAGAAAAGAAAAAGAAGAAGGAAATGAGAGGAAACAAGGATGGAGGAGAGGACAGAAAATAAAATGAAGAGAGGAAAGAAGAGAAGGAGAAAGAGGAAATAAGGCAGGGAAGAGAAGAGGACAAAGGTGATGGTGAGATAAGAGGAACGACAAGGAAAAGAAGATAAGATAGAAGAAAGAATGGAGAGGAGAGAGGGAAAAAACAAGACATGAGGAGGATAAGAAAGAGAGGAGATATACTGGGGTGAGAGAAGGAAAAGGGAAGGGGAGGAATGATAACCGAAGAAAAGGAGGAATGGGGCTGGAAGGAGAGAAAAAAGAGGAAAATAGAATGAGAGGGGAGCAGATTGAAAGGAAGAGGAGAGAAAATGGGAAAGGAGGAGAAGAAAAAGACAGGAGAAGAGGGGATAACAAAAAGAGGAGAGGACAGGAAAGGAGAGAGGAGGAGGAGGAGAAGAGATTAGAGGAAAGAGAGGAGATATTTCAACGGGGGCAGTGAGAGAAGAGGGAAAGAGGGAAACAAAAAGAGGAGAGTGGATTGAGAGGAAATAAAAGAAAGCTGCCAATGCTGCGACATGAGCATCAACTTTTGAATGGTCATCAATCAATTCCCATTTATCCTGAGATGAGTGGAGAGAGAGAGAGAGAAAGAGAGAAAGAATCCCTTTATTTAATCAGCCACTGAGGCTCTTAATTTAGCCGCCTGCCGCTGAGCGACGTAGGCAGATGAACCAGCCTGCAGTGTGTTTCCATCCCTCCTGAATCTGACTGCTGCCCACAACACTGACACTCACACGCCTTTTAAATCAGCTTCAGAGGTAGACAACCTCTTAAATCAGACTTTAAAAAAAAAACCCTCGTGACATCAAGCAGGGATGTAATCCCATGATGCCACAGCCTGAAGGCATACTTAACAAGAGATCAGGGATAGCGGTTTCTATACAGTCTCCCCCACTGTATGACACCGAGGCTTCCTCCGGGGAGCGTTCAACACCTAACCAACCTAACCTAAAGAGCATTCGGGGCTTTAGGTCGGTGGGAATAATGAAGCTCGATGGCAGAAAATTCACACGTCACTCGCCAATTGCATTAAGGTTTGTGAGGTGATAATGAGGGGTGAGCTAACAGGATAAAAGACCAAATGAAATCAGTGTCCCTCGTAACTCTGTTCAAGTAAACAAACAAACAAGCCTGAGAGCTGTCGTTTTGTTGCAGGGAAGAAAGAAAAAAAAAAAGGTCATGTGACTGAGAACAATTCTCAGAACAACTGTCATATTTAAAAAACCAACATAATATGCGATACATTAGTCACAATAAGGGGCTAAGAGCTCAGGTGAGGTTAGAGCTCAGATGACAGTTTGCAGGCCAAAGCGTGAACACACTCACTCACACTGAATCTGGGCTGTGTTGCTGCAGCTGTGTACGTTCTCTCCTGTGTTATGGAGTCGACACAATCGGTTGCACCACGATTACTTTGAGCGTAACTTCACCAGTTTGGAAGTTATAACGAAGGCAAGAGGCCAAGCAAGCATCATCTATCGTCATGGTAACTGTGTATATTAGCTTCAGCATGAGCCACTTGGCTTCGTAGCACAAAGTAAGCTTGATTGATATTGAATTATCATATGAATAAATTAGGTCTCTGCTCTAAATAATGGTCATAAAATGGCTGTTAAGTTAAAAAAAAGAGCAGTTTCACCAGCAGTGAGTATAATTATGTGTCATTTTATGAGTTATATCGCCTTAGGGGCATGTGTAACTATTTAGTTTCCATTTTAGTGATGCATAAATCACAACTTAATAATTTAATTAATGTAATAAGATTATAACTTGGATACATTTACACACAGCTGGTGCAACAGGCTGCTGATCTTTCATATGTGGTCCACATTAGATACAGGTCAGATTTTATTGCAGTGTGAACATTTCTGACACAATCTCCTGAACTACGGCAACTTCAGTTTCAACAAATTGTAGCTTTGTCAAAAGTTGCAGGTAATTTTCACCACGCTCACCATCAAAGTTTATACGTAATAAATGTTTAAATGTTAACACGTTTATAGACTAAACATGTTAAAACATGCAAATGAGATTTTCACAGATTTTCAGGTGTTTTGTCTTAAACTGAATAACTTTTGACCTGATGGTGGAGCCAGATGAAAAGTAAGTGGATTACCAAACTGAAAGGTGTGTTTGTTTTAGATGTCAGCAGACATTGACAAAACCAGCCAACCAAACATATTTTTTACCACTAATGGTTTGCAATATGAAAAAAACTAACAAGGTTTGGGGGAGTTAGTGAAACTTGCAACCCTGCCAGTTCAATGTGCAATGTCTCCATAGCAACCACTTCTTTGTTATACCCGGATATAATTTATAGAGTCCTAAAATATAAAATGAGATCAGTGATAGTGAGTTACTTGCTACAGTTGCATTTCTATCGATGAAACGATGAAAACTAAAAATAAAATGAGAAGGTTTGAGAATGTGGAGCTGTGGACGGGTACATTTTAAGACTTGTGTCAAACACATTGATGGGGTGATTTCTCTCTCTTTCCTCCATCCAAAACTCTGACAGTTAGACCAGCTGACAATCTGTAACTGACTTAAACCAGCTGACTGTGCAATGAGCCGATTGGCTGTGACAGGTGACTTGCCTCACGCAGCTGGAGATTTAACAAGCTGCAACGTTCTGAAACCGTTCTGTCTCGTTGTGAATCTTTGGTCCGAACTGAAGGAACTGAAGGTTGACAATACAGTATGAAACTACATAAACAAGGCTTGGTGAGCTTTACTGTAGCAGGGGAGTTTACGGCTAGCCAGCTCAGACCAAAGATTCACAACAAGACAAGATGAAACTTGCAACTTCTTGCAATGTGCTTGTCAGCCTGTTCACACTAAAGGTCCTTCTGACGGGGGAGATTGACGCACCTTGTAATTCATTTTCTATTAGAGGTGAGCGGGAAGGTTAGGAGGCACTGTTGCTGTTGATGAAACTGTTGCAAAGACAGGATTGCCACCGAAAATACCTTAATGCAACTAGAAGAGACAGCTTCATAGCAGCCATCCATTGGTACATTTTAAGACTTGTTTTAAACAAATTGACGATCTTCTCTTTTCCTCCGTCCAAAACTGACGTACCAGCTAACTTTGCAACCAGCCGATTGGGGGAATGGCCCAATGGAAGCAACCTAACGAGGAGAAGACCGGTTCTTTTAAGTAATAGTTCAGAGAATATTATAGATCTAAGGCAAAACTTAAAGAAGAGTGAAGACTGCTACTTCAGCACCACGGCTTTATCAATACACAGCACGGTTACTGATATTTCAGAGCTATGGTCGGGGCTCGGGACCGTCTAACTTCCACAAATCTCCGTAAATTAAAGGATCGATGAGACATATTCAACAAAACAACCCCTCTGCTCCACCTGCCCAGCATCAAATAGCAGACAGACAACGTCAGTTACTAGCTGGTGAAGAAAATGAAACAGAAGAGTAAAATTTAAACATGTTTAAAACCAAAACAAACCTAAAAGAGGTTAAAAAAAGCTCAATAAAGCTGCAGAACTGAGTGACCCCTCTCCCATGAGACACAGTCATTTTTATTTTGTGAGGCTTTACCAGTAAATACCTGCTAGCTTTAAGAGAACATTCCCTTTTTATTTATTTATTTATTTATTTATGGGATTTTAGGATGCAGTTTGACCAGGAGATCTACTTCAGCTAACATTAGCTTGTGTGTGGGTGGTGCCAGAGGCTGCGGTTGGACCGGGATGCTCTCTAATGGTACCACCTGTGTTGGCATGTGTTTAGAAGGTGTCATAATACAAACCTGTACATTTGAGGTTGCTGCTACCACCGTAAACTGAGCTGCTTGCACACAACTCGCATACTGTGGAGGAGTTAGTTACAGAAGAGAGTCTTATATCATTTGTTATATGGACAGTAATTAGGCACGTGTGATGGAAGAAGGATCGGTGCTGAGTACTGAGCGGTGTCAGTGGAGCAGATAAACGAGAATGGGCCTTGCTCAAGGGCACATTTGGGTCTTACTTTTTGAGGAAAGACTGATCCTCCTTCATCTCTCCAGACTCTCAGAGGAATGAGCTGAGAACAAGTCTGTCCAAAAACTCTCAGTAAAGCCTTGAAGTAATGTTTCTGGAATTGTATTTGCTATGTTTAAATAATATATACAGCAATAATACATATGTCAGTCTAACGTAGTTAGTTAGTCTGTTTACTCTCATCATTTTTATGATTTTTGTCCTATTGTGTTGTATTTCTTTGTTTTTGTCATCTTAGAAAAATAACCATTTGAATGCCAACCCAGAACCGAATGTACTGCTGCATACATTATGATTATAAACTCCCTGTTTCCAGCAGACAATTTCAGTTTAGCTGCACTTAAGAAAAATCAAATAACCACAAATCAATTAATTTGTGGTTCATTCACGCAGCTCGTGAATGGAACCAGCAGAAGACAAAGCCTGACATTTGGAACCACAAAAGCACATCAATGAGAACGATCTGGATGGCGGACACAGCTTAAAAATATTTGCATAGTCTTAAAAAAACAGCCCGTCATTGTCCTTTAAACTGGCGTGAGAATAAATTGACAGCTTAGAGACTGAAATAACCAGGTTGACCACAAAAATACCAAAGATTGTATTATATTATATTAAAAATAAGAATTATTATCATATAATAACAAAAAATAGATGTGGTCTCTTAGACGTCACCCACAGGTTTCTGAGGAGCCGTTGTGAAGCTCAGTGTGGTCGGCTCTGGTCGTCGCAATCTTGGCAGTCCTGACTCCGCCGGCTCCCGGCTAATTTAAAAAATGGGAAAAGATGCAGCTGAATTAAGCCGAATTAAGCATGAAAAAAGCCGCCTGTGACGGCAACCACCAGTCACTCAAAGTGGTCATGCGCTTAATTATGCATAACTTTAAGCCTTTAATATCATTTAAACAGGCGACTTATATAAAAATTCACCCCCCGTCGTTGTGAACAGGGAATTTAGCTATAGAGACAAAAACTGTTTTTTCTATCTGGCTGTAAACATGTTAGTTTCTGCTGTGAAGTTGAGCATTTTAATATGGGAACTTATGGAGATTGGCTCACTGCTGGAGCCAGCCTCTAGTGGCTGTTAGAGGAACTGCAATTATTGGCTTCACTGGCCAGCCACGGAGGTTTCCGCTCCCAAAATGTATGCCTTTTTGGCTCATGAAATAAAGAAATGTTTACTTGTGGTCCCTTATCACCTGCTATTACCTGCTGTCTTCAAAAGGTGAGTTAACTGAACTAAAGTTGAATACTTAGTCAACTAATGAGTTGTGAACCAACTGAGTTAAGTTCATTTAACTGAAGAAAACAAGTTCTATAAAGATATTAAGTTGAATTAACAACTGTTCAGTCACGCAGACAAACAGATGTACTGAGTTTGGGATTGTGGAGGAGCCTTTATGTGTCTGTTCTTGATGATGTTACTGGGTTTGTTTAATTTATTATCATTGAAAATGAGATGAAGCATCAACAGGTGGTTTAATACACATTTGTTTGTATGCTGGAACAGTCTGAGACGCCCTCCTGGGTATGGTTTGGTATTCACTACAGAGACGAACCCGTGGACCAACCACAGCATGATATATGAATATTATTTATAAACTAGAACTCCATGATATTATGTGCAGAGAGAAATGTGATGAAATAACATGAAGATCATGAATTGAGTTAGATAAAATGAAGGAAATGTAATGAAACTGAAAGGAATAAATCCAGATTTTTTTATTAAAGTAAAACCTGAGGGACAGTGACAGCAGATTATTAAACGTTATGAATCAGAAATCTGCATAAAAAATAGCAAATTGTCCTTTGAGCCACAGAAAATGTGGAGGTTTTTATGTATTTATTTTGAAAGGAAAGGATTGAAAGAGAGTCCACTGTATGTCTCAGGCCTCTGCAGGAAGGTGTTCAGCTAAAAACCTTTCAAATGAGGAAACTGTGGAGATGCACTGCAGCCACTGCACCGCTAAATCACCCTGAAGTTTCACTGAGCTGCTGCAGCAGCGGTTTAGGAAAACAGCCTGAATCCTGTTTGACAGCTCTGCGGAAAATACTTAAAAATGGAGCTCAAAACCACAAAAAAAAAAAAAAAAACAGCATATACTCCATTTTCTTTTTTTCCCACTTAATAGCCTGGAGTGTGAGGAGAGGGGTGATGTCTGTGGACCCTCTGGGGTGAGTCATATCTCAGGCTCAGAGGCAGGCGAGGCAGTGAGACAGGTTAACAGAGAGCGAGAGCGCGAGAGAGAGAGAGAGAGAGAGAGAAAGAAATGCAGATTTAAGGAGATAAACAGAAATAGAGACTAAACACACAGCCAGAGTTGAAGAGAAGAAGACAGGCAGGCAGAGAAACCCTCTGAGTGCAGGCCAGTGTGCTTTCTGTAAAGCTATCAACTTATAAAATGTGCAATATCTCACAAAGAGATTTTAAACAAAAAAGTCCAAAACCCAGATTGGAGAAACTATTTCTTGCCAAGAGAACAAATCTAATTAAGACATTTGAGGAACACTTGTCTTTGAATATCAACTGATACAGAGGCTCAGTAATAAATCATCTGTATGTAGGATATCTTTTTTATTTTCTCTTTACAAACTTTTTCAGGTCTTAAGAAATGCTACAAAGGATCCAGAGAGTTGTTTTACAGAGGAGGTGGTACATTGTGGGTGAGAACCTCCCAGCAACATTACCGGTGTTGGCAGTGAACGACAGAAGTGGAGAGCAGCTGGAACACAGAAGGTGTAAACAACATTAGATTTATAACAGAGTTTGGTCCGTCGAGGCTGCTTCATCACGCCAGAACAGCTATTGGTAGTCTAAGCCAGAGGTTCCCAAACTTTTCCATGGCAAGGTCCCCCAAATAGCATTATGGCTGCATAACAAAACAAAAACACAAACAACAAAACAATAACTTCTGAATACATTTCCGACATACACCCATCAGCACTAACACAGTGAGCACTGGCAGTGAATAACACTGATTATCTGGTTATCAGGGCTCCTGTCAGTGGGGGGGATATATCAGAGTTGACGTGTTAGAAGCAGGAAAAATGGGCAGCGTGAGGATCTGAGCAACTTTGACAAGGGCCACATTGTGATGGACAACTGGGTCAGAGCATCTCCAAACCTGCAGCTCTTGTGGGGGGTTCCCTGTCTGCAGAGGTCAGTACCGATCAAAAGTTACACACTGAAACTTTAAATAAGTCAACATTGACTTTTGGACCACAGTTTCCTTCCTGGGTGAAAGTCCAACCTCCTCCATACTCGGGCATTCTCCCTCTTTATACTGCTCCAGTCATAATCACTGCGTCCACTAGAGGTCGCCACTTAACAATCGCGTAAATACGGGTCGTAAACGGCTGTTTTACTGGTGAGGACGGGCTTCCTAAAAGCCATATTTAGAATTTATTTGTAGTTGTGGTTAAAGTTGCATTCACAAGGTGACTTCTAAAGTTTTCAATTCAGCTTGCCAGACTTTTTAATTAATCTGCATTTTGACTTTTGAAAGGAAACCACAAACATCTTTATAGTTGCTGCTCAAGTACGCACTCGACTGAATCTATGGGAGGATTTTATCCTTTATTGAGCAAAATAACATGATTTCTTTTCTTTTCAGTCCGTGCATTACTTCTTCTCTGTGTGCGTCAGACGTCTAGCAGCTTTTGAAATTGGGTTGTATGGAGGGACTTTGCTTATTTCCATCGTCCTGTGGCTCTCCGGAGGCTGACGCTTTCCATTTTCTACATTGTGACTAATCCTTGCCATTATCTCTGTCTAAATAACATAATCAGAGAAAAACAGCAGAGAAACTCTCTGATGTTGAACTTTTCTTTCTACAATTAACCCACAATGCTTTGCTTGAGTAAAAAAAGAAACCTATACTGGTGTAAAAAACAGCCTAACTTGTTTAATTCATGGGGCTATTTTTCCTGCTTTTATTAGAGAACAGAGAGACGGCAGGCAATCAGGGGAGAGAGATGTGTGATGACATGTAACAAAGGTCCCCTGGCCCGACTCAAACCATAGACTTTGCAATTACATTGTCAGTGCTGCCTAACCTTTCAATAAGCTAATTTTACAAAAGTGAAATTGAATGAGGCGTGCAGGGATGGATATCATTAGGATTTTATCAATACAACTCGTATCAATACTGCTTGTCTCTTCCTTTTGATGAAAAAGTAAAAAATCAGAACACAATTCATATAAATGTGAAGCGATTCTGTGGATGAAGACTGGACCAGGATCACATTTCTGTAAATGTACGTTCTCATTGTTCAGCAGGTGTTTGATAAACGGCTTGTCTCTCTTATCAGCAGGTTTTGTTGCGCTTTATCCTTATCTCGCTCTCCGGTTTCGTCAGAACCAATAGAGGGATCAACTTTAAAATACAGGTCATTCAGAACCAGGTTCCTGGAAACTGATGAGATAACCTGCTTAAAGCTGCACTAACTGATATTTTTATATTAACAGTGGGGGCTCACCAGTGTCTCGCTCACTGCAAAAGCTCTGATAAACAGACTGTTGACTACCTGCTCAGCACCAAACAGCAGACGACATTAGAGACTAGCTGGTGGTTGTAATGGAGCATTTAGCAGCTTAAGAGCCAGATATTGTTTTCAGGAGTTGGTGGAGACCAAATGGAGCTAAAATAAGAGTGAATATTGGACTTACAGTAACGTGGTGGCCAGAAACACGACTTCAAATGAATGACACTGTCTCCTGAATGTGTAAAAGGCCACAAGTGGCTAAAAAGTTCTATTTTCTTTAGGGTTTATCTAGAACAAAATCCTTTAATCCAAGACTAAAAAGACTTAACTCCAAATGAATGTTAATGTTGCTCTGTATATCACACTATATCATAACCAGGTTCACATCCCAAAACAACAGCCAATATAATTCTACCATCCAACATTATTTATATTAAACGACATGCTAAACGTGTAGTTCGGCCCTTCTTGTTTTGTTTTTAATGTAATAAAACTGTGTCCATCCTGGTATGTGTGTGTTTTTTGTTAACTGTGGTTGGCTCTGCACCAGCTGGCCACCAGAAGAGAAGTGCTGCTGTGAGCTGGGGTATTGGCAGCTTTTTAAACTTTAGAAGGTCATTTATATGTCAGTGTTGTGTTTACAGCCTGTTGCAATAATCAATGAATGCAGCATTAAGTATTAATATGTGGTTTTGAATACTTTTAATACTCAGTACTTTGCAGATGGTTCAAAAGAATCCGCTCCTGCACGCTGTTCAGTCGGCCAGCCTTCATCAGATATTGAATAAGTTACTGTAAGTACTGACAGAGTGCAGGAGCCGTAAATACTTCAGTACCAACGTTTGCTATAACACAGAATTACATCAGGGTCTGATTGGCCACCCGATTATCCATACCTCTTTCCGAGGCTGTAGCAGGCTCCTTTTTATAGCTGTGTGAATGAATAAGTGAATTTATCCATCAGTACCAACCATCTCATGCTGGCATTTTCAGGAAGGGAGGCTAAATAACACTCCAAAGTCAGGCTAAATTTTGCTGATGGAAAAACTGGCATTTTCAAAAGGGAGCCCTTGACCTATCTGATATCTGGATGAAAATGGGTACCCATGAGTGCCCAAACATTCCCATTTTATGCTAATCTCATGCAGTTTTGGGCAAACACTGCAGTTTCTGCATATTTTCTCCTAGTGTATTTGAATATTTCTGCATGCTGGGATCCATAAACAGTGTTGGAGAATGACTGGAAAAGCTGAGACACATAATTCAGTTAAAAAAGTCTGGAAACGCCTCTGAATCACATTAAAGGAAAAGTCCACCCTAAAAAATTTAAACATGTATAAACACACACCAATAATACGTTGCATTTCTGGGTTTATTTTTCAGTTTTTATTAAGTTTAACTGAATAATGAAAAGTTGAGATATGTCCAGTGCAACTACAATGGACTCTTTAAGTGTTTGTTTTATCTGAAGCATCAACAGTAAATGTCAGCTTTAGGTTTCAGAATCAAACTGATGTTCAACAATCTAAACAAAACTAAATCCATCCCTGCAGAGGCTCCGGGACCACTTTCTACACAGACAACATATTGGCATCTAAATAACAGGCTGAACTTTTGATTTCTCTAGTTGTGGACTGGGAAACATCACAGTTGTTATTTGTATTTGCTCTCCCCTCCAGCAGCTAATTTCATCTAATGAGTTCACATCTGTTCTGTAGAGGTTGTTCAAAGGCAATCTGGGGGAATGCAAAAAGTAATAAAGTGAAGGAAATGGTGACGAGGTAGGCTGAGGGAAGGTGGGTTCAACAAAAACACACCATAAAGTTTATTGAAATGTACTGAACATATTGAACTGAAGGTGTCTCCTGTGGACTCGGACATCGGTCCTGAAGGAGACACTTTGAGGATCCAGGATTTTAGGCTACACTGTGTTAATCTCGACTGTCTGAGCCACGGAGCAGAGTCCGCCCCCCTCCTCCTGTAAGATCAGCAGCTCTCCTACTGTCTGCTCCCCGTGGACCACAATGCACTGCTCTGCGCCCTCTGAGATCACCACCTCCACCAGCTCTTGCCCCGTCCCTGCAGGCAGCGAGCTGTCCGAGGCCAGGAGCAGAGGGGCGTAGACGACGGTCTGTTGGATGTCACAATCATCTCCTCCCTTCCCTGCTCTCGAAGTCTCAGTCTCTTCAACGTCCGTCCCCGCCTGCCTCGCCTCTCTTTCCTCCCCTTTTCCTGGTCGCCTTTTCCGCCTCACTTGACCCGCCTCCTCCTCTCCTTGCCCATGATGGAGCGAGTTCTTCTTGGGCCTGCCTCGGATTGGCTTTGGGTGGTTGGAGCTTGACTCTTGCACGACCTCTTTCTTGCCGTTGTTGGTGTCCTCTCCTCCCTCCGACTCCCCTTCCTTCCCCTCCTCCTGAGTTCCTCCCTCAGTCCTGTGCTGAGCTTGGTGCCTCAGCAGGCTTTGTCTCACAGTGTAGGAGGCACCGCAGTGGCAGCTGTACGGCTTCTCCACCACGTGAGAGGACTTTATGTGTCTCCTCAGCTTGGTGGCCAAGGTGTAGCCTGAGGGAAAACAAGAAAATAGAAGTCAGTTAGTACAGCCCCTTTTTACACTGCACAAAAAACACTAACATGTGGATTCTGGTACAATCGGCACTAATTCCAGGGTCGAATGACTCCAACATCATGTTGAAGTTCTACATTATTTATTGTTTTTCCGCAGTCAGTGGGAACAACATGCAACATCTTAGTGTCATGAAAGATGCAACAGTGGTGAGACAGCGAGGTGAGAGAGGAAACGAGGAGACAGATCACTGGCTCGTCCTCCAGCAGAGGTCTGGCTCTGTGAGTCACTTTCAGACAGATGTTTGGGTGTAATTTGGGTGTAAAAAGGGAATGAGTAACAGCAGCACCTAACAGAGAAGTCACAAAGGGCTTCACAAAAGAAATAAGACAACCAAAAATACCATAAACTCCATTAGAAATAGAAAGAAAGAACACAGAGGCAACTCTCCAAACTGCTTTTTATTTGCCCAGACCTTTTATCTATTTATTATACTATTACTTATTTATCTGTACAAAGTAAGAAAGAAAGAGTGCAAGTATAAAATATCAATGAGGTGCAAATCCACGGTAAGCATCGTTCTTAGTGACGTATAGCTACAGGACAATATGAGATCTAAAGTAAAGGTAAATGTATATGGTTGTTGGTTCCTACTGAATATATAAATATTTAAAAAACATATATTTCTTCATTTAAAAAAAAGGTTCAGTAATTTCCGAAAACAGCTGGTCACTGTAGAGTTTATCAAACGTTACTCCAACAGGAGGAAGTAGTGTGTGTGTGTGTATGTGTGTGTGTGTGTGTGTGTGTGTGGGGAGTGAGTCAAAATAAACTACAATGTGTTTGTTCATGGTAATTCAGGAAGATGTTGATCATTGGACAACAGTAATACAGAGAAAGAAGATACATCAGGCTTTGACACACAGATAGTACCTGTTAGATACAGACACAGATTTATTCCAATTAATAAACATCACCAGAGTCGTCCTTCGACTTAAACTGTTTGTAAATCAAGTGCATGAATTGTGCCATACAGCTGTGAACGAGTCCAAACTTGTCAATACTCACTCCACATTTCACCAAAATAATCAAATTAAAAATGAAAAGAAAAAACATGCCATGTGTGCCTGTTAGGCAGCCATGTGGGTTAAAAGGCCACTTGTAACTGTAGAAAAAACAACTTTGCGTTCATCAATAATGCAACCACTGAACTCAGCAAACAAGTTTTCTAATGCTTCATACAAAGTGTATGTGGACAACCTCGTAATGAGCAGTTTGTGCTTTCCAATCATGTATGCAGGACAGAACATCTGCAGCCCACTGAGTGAGACAAACAAGGTTGGTTGGAGGGGAATTGGCCAGCTTCGTGTGCCTGACAGGATTTTTTATTGACTCATTTTTTACTGTTTTGTTTCAGTTTGTTTTTCACTTTCTTTGACAAAATAACAAAATTACTTGAAAATGTTAAATTCAGCCTTGGAAAGCATTTTGTAAACAGCACAACATGAATAAATTCTCTTAATAGAATAACAACTGTCTAACATGTTGAGATTTTAGTTAAACTGTTATTCAGAATGTCTCTTTAACATTATGAGGTAATAAAATATTGATCTGTTTCCAGTTGCCGGCTGCCTCAATTTTAGATTTTAAAACATGATAATAACAACTAACGATGCTATGACTGCCCTCTACTGGTAGATAGGAGTAGTGCGACTGGATTGACTGACCTTGTGGAAGAAATTCAGTATTATTGTGTCAAAACACTCCAAAAAGAGCTGTTAATGATTTATGATTCACCATGACAACGGCTGACCTGCTCCGTAACATCCCGGATCCTTGACGGGCGGACTGCGGTCAGAGCCGACGGAGCTCAGGACGAGAGCAGTCGGACTGTGTGTGTTTACGTCGATGATGTTTGGTGCTCAAATGCATTCAACGTTTCTTTTTATGTGAAGATGAAACCATATTATCACTATCTGGCAAAATAAGAAGCTCAAGGGAGTAAAAAAGCTTTGTTTATAGGATGTGAAAAAAAGAACGTCTTAATACGATATTACAGCTAATACTGAACTCGATTTAACAAGTTACAACAATGGTTTATAATATTCCAGCAGAGGAACCAGATTATTTAAGTGCACAAAAACCTTGTGTTGTATGATGATAAATACATTGATGTAACTGTGTTATTGAATGTCCGAGCTGCATTTATCAGTAGATAGTGCAGAAGTAAAAGTGACCTCAGCTTTGCACAGCTTTTTAGAGTCTTACAGTTTATTGTTTGAGTTGTTAGGGCCCACGACTTCACTGTTGTGTTCCACTCTCGTGGTTCTCATTAGAATAATTTCCAGCCACAGCAGGCAGCTGCTTTCAGTGGAAAAGCTAAAAAACTCTCAGGAGTTGATGGAGACTGAAACACAGCGTAAGAGAGTGCATATTGGACTGAAACACGACTCCAAATGAATGCTAATGGTGTTCTGTGTCTTCTGGATGTGTAAAAAAAAAAGCAACTGTTTGCTAATATGTTCACCACATACGTGATAATATCTCTGCAGCTTCCAAGTGGCCAAATAATAATACAGATTTAAAGCCACTTTATATAGAATTTCCTAACTTTTTGACTTTTTGGCCTCTTTGTCGTAGTAGAGCAGTAAAAAAAGACGCTGTGGTACGCTGCCCCACTCCCAGTGGTAAAGACTGCAGCACAGAGGGAACCGGGGCATCCCAGATGGAGAGAAAACGGAGGCATTCATTCTGTATAATTATTAATTATCTAGGATAGATTAGAGAACTTATCCCCAGACTGTTCTGACCTTTTCCACAGACCGGGCAGCGGTGAGGCCTGTCTCCAGTGTGCAGCCTCTCGTGAGACTTCAGGCTGTGCGGGTCCCTCAGTGATTTTCCACAGTAGCTACAGAGGAAGCCTCCCCCGGTGTGGGAAAACATGTGCCGACGGAGTTCCGGTTTCTGGGAGAAACTCTGGTCACACTCGGTGCAAGGATACGGCTTCTCTCCGTTGTGAGTTCTCAGATGGCATTCGAGGTTCCCTGAGAGAGAGACAGACAGGCGGGGGAGACAGACAGACAGGGAGACGGACATTATGCCTGTTGATGGGGGGAGGTTGTGGTCGCAGCGGGAGCGGGGGCACAGTGAATATGCATTTGTCCAATAATGTGTGAAGATTAGGTTCTCTCACAAAATTGATGTTGTCACTTTGATAAATGGAGATATAAATGGTAGGCATTGATCACAGCTGGAGACTCGTTGCCTCACAAACTGCGAAATAGTCTCTTGTTGAAAATAATTAAGTCAAGTTAACTCATCGGCGTGAGCACAACACCGTTATGTTTTCTGTCTTTCACAACAATTAAAGGAATACTTTGACATTTTGGGAAACATGATTAGTTTCACTGAAGGTCAGCAGAGAAGATCAATATCAATTTCATCTGTGTGTGTTCGGTAAAGAGGGAACTCTGGGACGTCATTAGCGCTTTCAGAGCGCTGGGCTAGCTGTGTCAAAGGTGCCCGATTTCATTTTACCAACTCCAGAGCTGCCATATTTAGTGTGTGTGTGTGTGTGTGTGTGTGTGTGTGTGTGTGTGTGTGTGTGTTTCATGCGTGTTAGCTGACAACATTTAAACAATTAGTCAATGAATCCAATATTAAATTAATCAACAAATATTCTGAGTCATTTTTTAGGGGAAAAAAAGGTTCAAATTCTCTGATTTCAGCTTCTAAATGTGAATATTTTCTGGTTTCTCTATGACAGCAGAGGGGTTGGGTATTTCAGAGGCTTTAATATATATATTGGTATCATATGAAACTAGATGACCTAACGCACCCATCAGTACCAACCATACTGGCATGTTGGGAAGGAGAATGACTGGAAGGCTGAGACTCAGACTTCATGCCACTCTGCATCAGTTAGTGATCCACTTGTTCCACCCGTCAAAAAAGTGTAGAAACGCCTCTGTATGACAGTAAACTGAGTATCTTTGGGTTGCGGACAAAAGAAGACACTTGAGGATGTCGCATTGGGCTTTGAGGAACAGCGACAAACATTTTTCACCATTTTCTGACATTTTATGGACCAAACAACTAATCGATTAATCAAGAAAATGATTGACATATAGGATAATGAAAATAATTGCTAGTTGGACCCTTAAACTGGACCTTTAACAGGTTTTAAATCACAAAAAGGGGGGTTCAGTGGGTTCCCCATCTAACAATTAATCAATTATACTTTGTTTGAAACAAATCAAGACCAAATTTGGCATTGTTGTTTTTTCTGTGATAATTACAATTATTAACATCCCACAGATTATTATTAGGTAGTAAAATTACTTTGTTTCCTCGTATCCGTCAGCAGGTCTGTGCAACCTGCCACAGCAGCAACTGAGCACGCCCGACTATCAAACAGTTTGTTGCAGCTGCAGGATCAGACTTCTGACGTTACCTTTCTGACTGAAGCACTTTCCACAATGCTGACAGACGTGAGGTTTTTCCCCTGTGTGAAGCTTCATGTGGTTCCTCAGAGAGCCGGAGTTAGCCAGCTGCTTGGGGCAGAGTGTACACTGCACCTGAGAGAGGAAACCAAAAATCAAATGCAGCAGGTCTCCTTTTCCCTCTTTTTTTAAATACTTTAAGTTGAAACTGATGTTCAGGGAGAAAAAACCAAGACCTGCATGAAAATTTAAAGATGTTACGTGAAAGATTTTTAAATTGGGCTGAAAAATAGAAATAGCTGAGGGGAAGGTGCAGCAGCAGCAGCAAGCAGCAATTTAAAAACATTCCTCCTTGGTGATTGTAGATTTCAGGAGAAATAACGTACAGGAGTGAAAAATGGATCAATTAAGCTGCCCGTTGTACCTTTTACTGCCCATTTTATCTTATTAAAAGCCGCAGCGTTTTGAAAATGTCACCACGGATGAGTGAACAAACACTTAAAACAAAAGTTCTATTTACACACTCCTGTGACTGTGTGTTTCCTGGAGACCTAACAAACACGTTGAATCTATTTTAATAATCCTGCTCTGTTTACTAGCATGCTTACGTCTTCCCAGTGTGAAACCTGTGTTGGGACTGTGTTAGGACTGTGTTAGGACTGTGTGTGGTGTGTATGCGTGGTCTAACACTGCACAGTAAAAAGGCCTCCCTACCTTCGGAGGCTGTGTGTAAATCATTCTGCTGCAGTGAAGGAGGCGGTGGATTCGTAGGGAGGGGCGGCGTGCGAATGCCTTGCCACAGTGCTCGCAGACGTAGGGTTTTTCTCCGGTGTGCAGGACCATGTGCTCCTTCAAGTCGCGCTTCAGGCCGTAGGTCTTCTCACAGTGAGGACAGGAGAACGGACGCTCCCCGCGGTGACTCATCTAGGAATAACACCATTATTATTTGAAATAAAATGTATTATTACTACTGCTATTGTTTCTATTCACAGGGATGAGTAAATTGCTACTCTGCATGATGACTAAGCTCGTGTCCAACGAGGGTACAGTCAGTAAAGGAAAAACTCCCCGTACCCACACACCCACTGTTTAAAAACAGCCACTGGTGACGTATCTTGTTTTTCTGAGGCCATTTAGTTGTCAAGCTGTGTTTTTTTATGCCTGTGGATAACTGAGCAAAGAGGATAACAGCTCGGATAGCAGAAAATGTTCAAAACGGTATCAACGGTAAACATCAGCTTCAGCTGTCGGGCCCCAGAATCAAAGAGGGAAAGCTTCTTTGTGGCGTTGCTATTTTGCACGGTTGCGGAAAAATCTTACAGGGACATAAAAATAAAAGCAGATACAGAGAACAGAAGATAGAAAGAAATATTATCTGACAATATCGATGTAAATGTTACCTGAACAATAACAAGAACTGTCAGTACAGAAACGCCAAAGATATGTTTGGAGTGTAAGAAATGATCACAATATTTAGTTTAGTAATGCAGATGTGTATGATGGTGTGACAGTCTTCCTAAAATTTGATTTAAAAAAGAAAACGTATCACGATAACCAACCCCTGTATCCCCCAAAATTCTTCAATACATAGCCCCAACGTCCATTACACAGTTTGTCCACCAGAGCATCGACAAGTTTATTTTTGTCAACTTCTTTCATTGTAATTTCCACCATGCATTATAGAGGATCAAACCTGTGTTTAAAACAGGCTAAAAGTTCATTTCACGATGAACATTTTCTCATATTTACCTACTAGGACTAGTATTTCCAGCGGACTGCTGTCACTTATAAAGTCTGTAGTATACTCGAATGTACTGACATTATCCCCCCCCACTGCTGTGGTCAGAGGTAAAACACCCCTAAAACTTTCAACCAGGTCTTAAATTACTCTTTAATTAAATGTATTTTATAGTGAAATATAGTTTATGATTGTTGTGACGTTTTTCACAAGATAGTTTTCTTGTATATTTTTGTTGGATTTGTGTTTTGTTATATAACAATATTAATACTAATCAACTTTCCAGTCACATGTACCCTTCAGCTCTAAAATGTCCTCTCATCATAACTCTTAAAGAACCAAATTTAAGTACAATATTGTTATTATAACCATGTTTCAATAGAATATCTTTTTGGACTCAATAAAAAGAAAAGAAAGAAAGAAAGAAAGAAAGAGAGAAAGAGAGAAAGAAAGAGAAGTTCAATCACAGCCCCTACTTGATGTGCTCTGAAGCTTTCTGCAGAGGTGTAGTTCTTCCCACACTCGTGGCAGCTGAACGGTTTCTCCTCCGTGTGACTGAACTGGTGTTTCTTTAAGTGTCCGATCTGGAAGAACTTTTTGCCACAGCTGGAACACCTGTACCGCCTCTCTCTGATCTCTGGCTGCCACGTAAGAACCGCCCCGACCGCACACGCCGCTGCAGCAGCCTCGGCGTCCGGCGGCAGCGTCTGCGTGGAAACCACCTGCTCTGTGACAGACTCGGCGTCCTCGGGGCCGCTCCGTCCCTCCGTCTGTTGAGGGGTTTCAGGGCAGGCGGAGGGTTGCCTCACCCTGCTGGTCAGACAGTGAACGCGTCGCGGTTTAGCAGCCAGGCGGGAGCTGCAGCGGACCGGAGGAGGTTGAGAGTCTGTCTGTCTGTCCGCAGCAGCTGGGACACGACCTGTGCTGTCCGTGTGTCCGCCTGCTGTTGTGATATTATTACTGGATGTGTCATCTGTTCTGTCTGTGTGAGTGTGACAGTCCAGGGTTTTCTCAGCCCTCCTCTTCCTCGTGTGTGCCGTTGGGTGACTCCTCTTGATGCATCTGCGTGGTTTTCTGTGCCGTACCTGCTCCTCTTCCTCCTGTGTTCGCTCCTGATTGTCCTCCTCTTCCTTCTCCTGAATGATCGATGTGTTGGTGAATACCGTCTCTGGGTCTGTTTTGTGTTCCACCTTTTCATCTGTCAAAAAAAAAGAAAGAAAAGATTACAGTGTGAAATAGTTGATAGAAATCAAATGTCAGGATTTGCTACTTTTCTTTGATTTATATCACTGTAATCTGAATATTCTTGGGTTAGGGTTACGTTGGAGCAGCCATCTTGGACTTTGAGATCGGGGGTTGGTGATGTTCTTCTTCAGGGAGGCGTTCCAGTAGAAATTTTCAACCAGTAACTCAAAAAATTCCCACTTCTCAGTTCAAATTGATTCATATTAATCACACAGATATTATTAATTATTAATTAATTAATTAAGTGTATTTCTGAAAATGTCAAACTGTTTCTTTAAGTAAAAGTAAGGGATGTTTTTTATTCACAGCACAATGTTCCTAAAGTAACAGTGCTCATTATGTAGATAAGCCTCTGTCAGTGTTATATTATCATATATTGTAATGCTGTATTTAGGATTATAAATTATTACTGTGTAAGCAGCAGTGCAGAGTTTTAGCTGTTACTGTAAAAACTTTATAACTGGTTAGTTATGTAAAACAATTCACTGTATTTTTATGCTCATAAAGGATTTAAAAATGTAAATCTGTATTATATATATGTATATATATATACATATATATAATAAATGCAGGAGAATAAAAACGACTGCTTTAATAACGAATCTAATATTTCCTCCGAATTCTAGTGAAGTATAAAGTAGCATAAAGAGCAGGAATCTTATTATTGCACTTGAGCGAAGTACTGAATGTATTTAATTAACATCACTGACAAATTCATGAACACTTATGAACCTTTTACATATACATACATGTTCTCTATGTACGCCTTGTACCTTCGTATATGTATGTACAGTATTTAGTACAAATGTAACATCTGGTCGGTTCCCTCTGAAAGCATTTCCATTTGTTAATATTCTATTGATTTGATTGTTTTTTTGGTATTCTTTCATTATTTCTATTCATTTTTAAAGTTTATTTTATCTACTCGTTATTATATTTCTTTTTTTCTCCCTCTGAATCTCATTAATATTTGCCACAACAACAAGGTAATTTCCCTGCAGGGATCAATTGCCTCTTATCTTATTATCTTTCATTTAGTATTCATAATTGTTTTGGAGATGCTTTCATGATTTAGAGGCTCAATCTGTTTAAATCAGCACTCAACAAGAGCAAGAGTTTAATAAGATATCCACAGTGCAGCCACAGTCTGATGCTGCTGGGTATTTTCTGCATGAAGGTCCTCTTTAATGTCCCATCAATCACGGCACATAAATGCTCCACCATCCAGAAATAATAAAGGATTAGCAGAGCTGGAGAACATATTATTCCTATATAAAAAAATCTGCTTGTTGTTTTCTTTTAACTGTTGTATGTTTGCGTTCGCCAGAAATAATTCATCTTCTAATTAATCATCTCCAGCTTTTCATCCTCAGTTTGAGTGTATTTGAGCTGATCAGAGAGGTTTTAAACTAACTGATGTCGGTGATGTTAATTAATGTTGACATGGAAATTCTGCTTTTATCATTGAGCTGATCAGTGAAGACCTTTGTGTTTATGTACAGGACATTTAACTAAAACTCAGTCTGTAATTATATATATATTTATATTAGCTCGATGGTAAATGAGGTTTTCCAGGGTCAGTATTGTCCACTGAACTGCACTGGAGTTCAATGTCCCTCTAGCTCCTCCAGGTGGAGAGTATGAATGAATGTGAAGTGGACTGAAGGCGGCACCAACCAGTCTGATGACATTAATCAGAGCCCTGTTCGGTACCACTTTACTATAATAGTGTAATGAAGGGTTCATACATCACCATCATCATCATCATCATTCATGGTAGAAAATCATTTATAATTAATTTTAAGATTTTAAGATGCTGTTGCTATCCTGAACCTTATTGGTTAGCTGGGTTCTTTTATTGGGAGAAGACTGAATGAGAGGCTCAGGGTTTAAAAAGTTACGATTTCTCACTAAAATAAGTGTCTGGTTGGTGGATCAGATATACACCGAATTAAACACACACTCATAACGCTGTTTATTGACCATCTACTGTGTGTGTGAAGGTAGCTGATGAGTCTATTCGGCTGTTACCAAGATAACTACCCATTTTCTGATACTATCAAACTATCAGCTGCTCCGTCTTTCTCTCATTAACAGTCCAACAAAGACTCTTCAAGCACGTCGGCATATTCGTGAGCTATTTAGCGTTGGACATTTATGGGTGATTGTGGGAGGACGCTGGGAGGAAAGCACAATTCACAGCAGGTGGGTTTTCATGACGAGAATATTGCCTGAAGGCGTGCGGCGCATGCTTATAGAGATGTGAATATTTTCTTAAGTAAGTAGATTTGGATGTTTTAGGATAGAATCTACACGAGTTTTATGAATGAGGCCCCTGGTAATTCATTCATTATTAATCCTTCCTTAGACTACAAACCCAGTGAGTGTATCTTTCCAGCTGATCTCTCTCTAGAACCACCTGTCTGTCTGTCTGTCTGTCTGTCTGTCTGTCTGTCTGTCTGTCTGTCTGCAGCCGCTACCTGTGTGTCCAGGGGAGTCGTCCTGTGCGTCCGTTTTCCGACTTTTCCCTAGAGCGTCTCCGTAGAGCAGCAGCTCCGTTCCCGGCTGGATGTCCCGACACACACGCAGACGCACATCCACACACGCGCCCACGCATACCTCTCCACAGGCACACAGCGCCGCCACGTTCCTCTGGGATCTGCAACGCACCTGGCAGGCAAACCTGATGGGGGGGGGAATACGAATACGTGCAAACAGAAAGATGTTACTGAATCTGAATGCAATTCTGCACTGAATTGTGGGTAACATGAAGGGAGTTTCATCCCTGGGAGTGTTTATGCAGCAGTATGTATGAAACATAAAAACTTTATAAAATGCATATGAGGTCGAAGTACGTGCTTTATGATAATCAGGATGAAAATTACTTTGTTTGGGGAACTGCCACAAATTCAATTTCTGTCCCCATTGGCTCATCACTGGTGGCAGTAAATGACATTTTTTTCCCCAAGTTTTTCTCTCTGGGAGGGAAAAATAGGCCAGTTTTTATTAATCAGGACACAACAAAGTACACCGCCTGGAGCGGGAGTGAGTGCTGGCACTATACACACAGCCAGCAGTAGAAGAAAGTGTAGACGACACACAAATGAACTGAAATATGGAGGCAGAGAGGGAAGAAGTGGTTGCATTTCTAATATTAAGATATTAAATAACATCTTTATTAATTCAGGCATCCTTAGATATTTATAAAAGATGAATAAAGATTGTTTTCTCTATGCTGGTGCCATAACTGGAATGAACTGTGAACCCTCATGTTAAATACTGGATGCTTGATATAAATCCACAGTAGAACGTAGATAATTGAATTGATTGTTTTAGGTTTTATCTGCTTCATCAGGGTTTCTAAAGGTTTTAAAAGGTTACATTTGAGACTATTAGGAAACCGGAGCTAACTTTGTGTGAAGCAATGTGCGTCAACTTACTTGATCCAGACGGCACTTTGTAGTAAAGCTTCTTTATTTGCTGCAATCTCCATCAGTGCCTACAAAACACAACACACATTACAACATGTGTTCTAATGCTGCCTGAATAATCAGGACTCATCAAGGATCTGGCATCAGATACCATCAGCATGTGATATTTTTTTTCCATTTGACAAAACAAATCATCATATTTTGATGTGATATCTCTAAATATAGCACCAATTATCCTGGATAAGTGTGTGCAGTTGGGGGTTGTTTAATGTGCACTAATCTAAATTGGGTCTGAACAGTGAAGTTTTGGTTTGATGAATTAATTCTGACAGACAGCTGAGATATTCCAGGTTCCTGCCTCTAACTTCTCTCAGACTTACGATCCACTTTTGACACTATAAGGCTTTATGAATCACTCGGAAGTCAGGACTGAAACTTCCTTTATTTTTAGGATTTCTTTAATCCTAACTGAGCCACTTACGAGCTACTTCTAGCCCCAGGATGTTTGGTGAACGTGGCCCATGACGTTCAGTATCTATCTGGTAAAAGAACACAGAGATTGACAGTCTGAAAAAAATATGTACTTTTATACTAATGTTCATAATAGTGATGATGACTGTCCACGTCTGACTCAGTCCCACTTAGTGCAAAATAAAAATGAACTGAGAGCTAGCTTGTGCTTTGAATGTGTATTGATTGCAGCGCCCTTGTAAATTATCATTAGTACATCTTTTTATCCGTAAAGTTGCTCTGACTCTTCCTCCTCGTTCTCTCTTCTGCAGAAAGTTTGGTGGAAATGATAAGGACGGATTCATTATCTTCCCACAGGGTCGGCACTTAATTAAGAAGAGAGGCTTGCATTTACTTCCCCTCCTTCTTTCTGCAAACGAGACTGAATGCTTTTTAAACCAGACAACTTGCTGCTGGTATGTAAAATCACAATGAAGAATCTGAAGGCTGAACAATGAGATGTTTTTGCATCAGTCAGCCATGGTGTATTAAAGTCTGGGACTTCATTCTGCTGGATTGATACTTGACTACTGCCTTTTTAAATGGGAAATGTAATCATTATTGCAGGGCTACTTTCTTGTCAAGGCCTCTGTTGAGACTTTTTCAATCTAAATGGAACAACTAACAGCAGGAAACTAGATAAATGTTAATGAAACTGATTTTGAAGCTGGAATTCGCAGCCTCTTTGTCCCAGCGTGCTCGTTGCTGTGTGTTTTTGAACTGCTCATATTAAATAACTTGATGCTTGTTCAGGTGCAGCGATGACTCAGGCCCAAACATATGGTAATTGTAGTAATTTCCTGAAAAAGGCTAAATTTGACTACCGGTTCAGGGTTCTTTCTCAGCTTCCTGAAGGGGGCACAATTACAGGTACTTATGGAGAAGAACATCTACAGTTAAGTTAAGCATCCGGAGAATAACTCCATTATCGTATGCAATCATGACGACAGCAAGCTTTCTAAGTACGTGCACTTAATGGGCCTCAGAGTGTCAGCTGGATCATCGAGATAACAAAACTGTTCAGACTTAAAGCTGCAGTGAGTAACTTCTATAAAAATTACTTTTTGTCATATTTGCTGAAACTTTCATTACATCCTGACAGTAGAGCATGAGACAGATAATGTGTGGAAAAATCTGGTTCCTCTGGGTCCTCCTTGTGCTCCTAATGGTGTTAGTAAGAACCCACCAGGCCCGAATGAAAACAACCAATCAGAGCTGAGAAAGATAGTTGATTGATATTTCCCAGGTCATCAAATACCGACATTTTGAATCCCTTAGGGAGTGACGCTCAACAATCAACTTTCTTTAAGCCACCGACCCAAAGTGTTGATATTAAAACCGTCCAATCACACCCTCCGGTCAGAGACAGGTTTCTGAACATTAGGTGCAACAGGTTCAACTTTTAATGTATCCAATGTGCAACAAGTGCTTCTAAATCTAATCTCACTTTATCATATTTGTCTCACTGCATGAACCTTTCATTATATTCTCTATTACACGTATAGTACCAGCACTGTTTGTGCAGTGTGTTTGTCTGTCTGTCTGCCTACAGGATCGTGGAAAAACAACCCGATTTTCATGAAACGTGGTGGAAGGGTGAGGCATGGTCCAAGAAGGAACTCATTAAATTCTGGAGTGGATCTGAATCACCGGGCCGTGCCGTGACTAAACATACAACAAAACACATCAGCCACCTCAAACATGGCTGTAGAAACAAAAGCAGCAGGTATATAAGAAATAAGCAATGAAGGGATTTGTTTTCACAGGTTGTATCATGTTTTTATTGTGTTTATATGTTTTATGTGTATATTATGTTCCTCAAACAAACCTTTCTGAATAGCTCAACACTTCATATTAAATCTGAGTTCATTTCTGAGTGAAAGAAAGAAAGAAACATTCAAATTTACACTCAAAATGAACTAAACTAACTATTTAAAGGGTGATAACAGATCTACATGGAGAACCTTAATAAAGCTTACAGTCTGCTCTGTCTATGTGCTACGTATCTGTTGTGTATTATTGTTTAAAAATGTGCATTCAATTTACCTTTTCTGCCTCCGTGCTGGTGGTCTGACCCGTTCTGGACTCATCGTTCATCGTGAGCTCGTCATCTCGGCTGTGAGTCATCGGGTCAGCGGGATACTTGGAGGCCCACTCCGTGTCCCCCTCCCTCCCCAGCAGGGATCCAGCCTCCAGCGAGCGGCCGACCCACCACAGCCCCAGCCTGCCCTCGCAGAGCTGCGAAGGCCCCACAGCGAAGCCGCGGGGGAGCAACGTGGACAGAAATGAGGTGAGAGCAGACGGGACGGGAGGAGCGAGACAGGCCATCAACCTGCACAGAAAAATAAAGAGCAGGTTACAGGAAGAACGTTCAGCTCCATGCAGCTCATCTACGGAGGCTCATATAGTCCTCTTTTATTTGACTTCATGCCGGTGCTTTTAAATAAAATTGCACCAGTTCAATGTCACATTTATACTCCATCCTATTTCATTCTGTTTGGTATTCTAGTCTCAGCTCTTAAATCACCCAGTTTATAAAAGGTACATTATTTATACAGCTCTGGTCTGGAGAGCAGTAAATGTTTTCTTCACTGCCTTGTTTTATTCAATCCGGACATGTAATGTGAAAGTTAACCGGTTATCTACACAGCAACAGAACTATTTCACAGCAGACAGTTTTTTTTATTGCCATAGCAGGAAAAGCACAGATGTAATTAATAACATTAATGATAACCAGACTCCATTTGGTTGTCCAGCTCCAGGGTTCTGGTGCTGAGGCTTACACTGTGACACTTCAATGGAAACCGTTAATGTCGTTAATTACACCTGTGCTCTTCTGGCAACGACTGCTGTGATAAATGAGTCCGTGCAAACATAACCGCGTCCATAATGAATTAGTTAATATGCAACACAATCTTCCTTTAACACACACCTGAAGGGCCTCAAAGAGAAACACTCAACACAGACTGCATTCAACTATAAAAACTGCTGTATGTAAATGTCCGTGGTTCGGATGCATCCATATTCAACATATTTAATACAACAGCAGAGTGCACACTGCTGGGCTTCGCAGGGCTAAATCTAATTGTATTATATTTTTAATTTAGTTAGATTCCCAAAAGAAAAGGGCCACGGGTTGGAATCAAACCATACCTGGGGCCCAGGCTCTACCAGGTGGGCTACCAGTCAGATTGTTTAAATATTGCATTATAATATAATTTATTGAATCGTAAGCCCATACTGCGTTTCTGAAGCGGCCCCGGCTCCGGCCCGGCTCCGGCTCCGGGGGTGCTTCTCTGCGTGATCGGACCCTTAGAGAGGATTTTGCTCTTTTTTGCTTTTCAGAGTCAATCAATAATCAAACTTGGATCCATATCAATTACAGTCAATAAAATCTGAGGACCCTATAAACTCACTCAAGGACCCCTGATGGTCCCCGGACCCCAGGTTTAAAACCACCATTATAACCTGGTTATAATACAACAAATCTCTCCTAACATTCAACTCAAAGTAAAACCAGGCTACATCCCATAAATCAGTCACTCCCTCTGTCCACCTCTTTATTACATTCAACCGCAGTAACAAACAGCTCCTCTGCTGACTTCGAGCTAACGCAGGGAAAACACATGTACGGCCAACAGCAGTCAACACAGCCGCGTTAGCTCCGTGGTTAGCCTGAACGCAGCGTCTCTCTAACGACCCGTCGCACTTTGTGTCGATGTTTTTAACTTTTACGGAACGTTAGCGACAAATATTATCATTTTAAAGAATCCTAGTAAGGGTGTACGTACTTCGGGTGTGCGCGGTGTTTTTGGAGTTATTGATTTTTTAGCGTATGGAGTGAATTATTCCGATAAACTCTGGGAAAGCTTTCGTTATCCAGCGAGAAAAAACAAAAAAAAAAACACCAGCGGATGTTCCCGGAGTATGTGGTCCGACTGGAAAAAGAGTTGTGTGGTGTCTTTGGTTCCGCAAACAAACATTTAGAGGCACTTATTAAAATGGCACTAAAGTGTTTATTTATTTATTTATTTATTTATATATATATGTGTATGAATTGAGTATGTTTTGAAAAGGACCCCCCCCCTCATTATTAGCCTATTGTTTTTTATTTAATTTCAACATTAAAGGATAAACCCCCTGAGATGAATCATGTAGTTTCTGATGGCGTTGCAGACGTGACGGACAGTTGAGTCAAAGTATATAAAAAAGAAGAAAAACAAACAAAAACATATAAAATAAATAAAGTACAATATATTAAGACAGTGGTTCCCCGTCTCCACCAGGGGTCGCCAAAGCTTCACGGAGGGTTGCGATTTCGTCTTGATTTTAAGGCGCGTAAGAAAACTTAAACATTTTATTCATTTCTGTAAATTTCTGTTTTTTTCTTTAACTTTAGATAATATAGGATTGTTTTTAAAAAAGCACAATACAGACAGAGAATTGTATCTGCTCAAAATTCATCCAAATCACTAACTTCCTTTAGTTTTTGTGTTCACTGTTTGGGTTCCTTGTTCAGTTTATCAGAAACACAATGGTTTATACGTACAATGAAAATCTCTCTCTATATATATATATATATATATTATATATTATTATATATATAAAAATATATATCTGCATGAGATACAATTCATTTCCACATTTTGATTCTTTTGTGCACACGAGATTAGTGTATACCATAAACAGCACTACAGACCATCCCATCATACAGTGCAGTGCGTGCTGTAGTGAGCTACCAAATGTTCCAACTACACTGACAATTAAGGACTTAACACTTATCTTATGCATGCAATAGCAAACTCTTGATGTTGTAAAACATGACTATATATATATATTTCTGTCTGTGGCCCCCTCAGGCCTCCGTAGTTCAGACCTCAAGCAGCAAAACATCAGCTCTGGTGCCTCTGATGCAGTTTGACAATAACGTTAGTGTTTCTAATTTGCTGTAATCTGATTTGCTCATAGTTTGCTCACAGCATGGAGTAATCAGCAGTATGTTTTAGGCTACAAACATTTTCTGTTTTCTACTAATTAACGAGTGCAAAATATTCTGAGAGCAGAGAGAGAGAGAGACGATTCATCCGGAGGCCCGGGGCAGAGAGGTGAACCGGTGTGTGGAGGGTGGGGTGCAGAGCATCCTTAAAAGGACCCTATTCAGTCACAAGGGAACGCTGACGCCATGTTCAACCCACCCTGTTGGGCAAATACACATTTACCGTAATTTTATTATTCCTGTGAGTCAGCGCCGTATCCCATTCACCTCAGCTGGTGCCACAGAAACACTGCGCTCACTGAGAGGCAGACAGGAGGTGAAAGGCGTGTTTGTAGTCTGTACCTGGAATATCTGGGCGCAGACTCTCCTGGAATGACGGAGGACGGACTGATCTCTGCTGCCTGTTAATTATATAACATTCACATGCGTGAACTTAACATCTTTAGGTAGTGGAGCTGCATGAAGCCACACAGTGAACCAATTACAGGAGATAACAACCAAAGTGTTTTTATTTGGCATTGATTGATGTGAGTACAGATATTCAGACATGGGACACTCTGGTTTCATAAAAACTTTAAAACTCAAAAGACATTGTTCGACATCTTTAATTATGTTTCATTTATCTGTTTTACATCAGTTCCTTACATTAATCTGCCGCATGCAAAGAACCAGTGCTTTGTCCTCAAATGTACGTGATGTTTTAATTTGAACTGACAACATGTACATGATATTTATTTCTTATTGTCAGCAACAAATTCCACTGAAAAGACCCAAACCAACAAAGTGTTTACATATAGTTTTTGACTTCCTTACACTGTCTGTGGCTCTGAACTATAAGAACATATTTTTATTTTTAGCAGCTGGTGAGTGGAGTTTTTAGCAAACCTTACTAAAAAGGAAACAGTACATTTGTTGGGGTCTATTTTGTGCTTTGCTGCTCTGGTGATGGCAGCAGGACGGTGGAACATGTGTGTGCTACATGAACCACAATGAAAAAAGCTTTTATAGGACATCCATGGTGCGTTCATGGTAATGAAGAAACATCTCTCCCAGTCCAACAGTGTGGATCACTGATGTGTTTCTTTTGTTTTTGACAAAAATGGAGCTCTATGGCACAGAGGAAGAAGATACACACACAATACTTTAAGTAAGATGGATTCACTGTTGGTTTTGGTCTGATATGTGATTTGTTGACAATAAGAAACAGAGGGAATGTTAACAGACATATTGTAAATAAAATGGGGCTATTCTCAGTCTTTGGTTTATCATGCAGCAGGTGACAGTATGTCTGGAGGAGGCACAGCCTCCAAATACAGCAACAATGACACAAAACAAGTGCACATGAAATGAAAGCAGTCAAAGATAAAAACAGTAATTTCACACTGTAGTGTTTACAGTGACGTTATTTCCTCTGAGGTTATAAACATGAACTAGTTAACAGGTTCATTATACTGACACTTGCTCCACAGAAACACTATGCACTGCACAGCCTCGTGGAAGATGATGACAACTAAAACACACAGAAAACAAAAGAGTCAAACCAGCCAACATGACAGACTGCGGGGTAACAGGCAGTTTCCCTTCATCCTTTACGGATTAAATATGACAAATGGAGCTCGCAGAACTTTATTCACCCTGGCTGCGTGTTGGTGATGCTGCTGTAGTCTCATAAAAGTACTGAATCCATAACAATCTCTGGCTCAGTCCAGCAGAGGCTCTGTCACTGTGTGAAATCAATAAATAAAAGGTTGTGTATTCACATTGACCTAAAGTCTCTGCTTCAAACCAAGAAATAATACAAGATACTATAGCAGACTATACAGTTTGTTGGGTTTGTTTGCTTTCCACTCTGACAATACAATATAGGGAGATCTTTCTGACATAGAGAGATCATGTCCAATAAAACCACTTTAGAGGTGTGAAATAATCCAACAATCCTAATAACATCCTAAAATGTATACATTTATACTAAAATGTTTAAAATGTTGAACTATTCCTTTTGAGATCCAATGAATCTTATTTCTCTTTCTTCCTGACCTCTTCAACAGCTCGCCTTTAATATTGATTGCGTTGATCGATTTCTATGTGGATAGTTTTTGTTTGTTTGTGTTGGTGTTTAGCTGTGAGAACATTTACATCCTCTACGTAAAGCTCTGTAAGGTTTCTCTATCACTAAAATATACTTTCCTTTTCTTTTGATTTGTGTTTTCCATCTTCTGTGGCCTGTAGGCAGAAGTTAGAGTGTGTTTCATGGGCATTCACATACGGTACAGTCGTATTGGCAACCGTGGTCAGTCAGGCTTGGTGCCCTCGAAACACAAAGATCATTTCTATCAGATATCTATCAAAATAAATGCAGCCTTTCACAGACAGCCAAAATGTATTTTCGAATAGAGTGCTGATCTCTCTGGATAAACGTAATAATTAATAATGGAATATTTATCTTTGAGTGTTTGTATCTTAAATTAAACATATCTCTAATGTGTTTACACTTCTTGACACCATCTACCTCCAAGCAATTTTAAAATTTAAAGTTCTGACCGGGTTTCCTGTAATGGATTGTCTCTGGGGAAGTTGTTTTTCATGAAGGGCTCTTGAAACCTTCAACTAGTCTGACTGAGTGCAGAAACCAGCAGGAAGGACAGAAACCATAGGGGAACTTATGTGATTGATGTGAACTTTAAAAACACTAGAATATCCCTTTAACTTTGCCAAAGGAGCATCTCTCCCCTGCTGTGTGACACAAACATATGACTTATTGGTATCTTATACCACAAACCAACAACATCTACCAACAGATCTCCAGCAGACTACAGTGAACCCGACAGAGGCTAGCTTCTAAAAATGTAAAACAATATCCAAGCAATGATTTCACCAAACAAAATTATATTACAATACACACGAAAATAAACTCAGAGCAATACAATTATTATATATAATTAAAATATATTACGAGGGGCAGGGGATGGAACAGACAGAAATCACATTACCATGTTGTAGCACCGCTCATGTGTAACCCTTCTAATCATCTTCACTAAAATGGAAAATGGATTTTTACGTGTGCCACAAATGTTCTTTTAAAACAATAAATTCCTCTTTTTCCTTTTTAGTGAAGCTTGCTGCTAGCTGCTGCACTCCTGATGCTCCTCCGCTGTATTCTCCTCCTGGCTTTCACTGCGGTGACAGAAAACCACATCGAGAGTGAGTTACTGTCAAACTAATAAAACATACCTGTCAGTGAGGGTTTTCTACAAACTAGTCCCACTCACCGTCAGTGCACTCCACCTGGGGTTTCTCCCACTGTCCGTCTGCTTTACAGCGAACCACAGGAGGGTGGCGCTGTGTAAACCCTGGGTTGCACTGATACCTGATGATAGAGTTGACGGGGTATTCCTCCCTCCTGTTCCCAAACATGTGGGTATTCTCCACCACCGGCGGGGCACCACAGGACACTGAGGACAAAGCAGAGGCCGCAGGGCATCTTATCAAACCATGTGTCCACTTACATGTTTCTCTTCCATTGAGTATCTTAAGTAAATGGCTGTAACCAGGGTTCAAGTTATGTGGGAGCCAGTGGGAGTTGAAGGGGTCCGGGCTGCATTCTCTGTCTTAGTCTTAAGTCTTAGTCTAATGATAAACTCTCATTAGGAAATTGTTTACCGAGCTCATGAATCATCAAGTCTTCTTCCATACAGCATGGAGCCACCATTGTTTCCTGCTATGGACGGGTGGAAACTGCAGCAGCCAATGAGAGCAGCTCAACTCGCAGTATGTCATTTCTGCTGGCTCCGACAAACCGTAATGGCGACAACCATAACGGCAAACTCGAGGCTTCAAAATGGTTCTCCACAAACCGATGGGTGATGTCAGGATAGGTTCACACTTGCCTCCCTCTAGTGGAGCACTACATAGGGTAGCTGTGCCTAAAATAACACCTACTTTCATATGATACTAAAAAGGGCAGAAGTGTGTTCTCCCTTTGAGTGCTGGGATAATATAATAGGGAGTGAAAGAAGACCCTACATTATTGATACTTATCATGCAGCTCTGCAGCTTTATGGAGCTTTTTTTTTTTGCCTCTTTTAGCTCTTTGGTTTGTACCTCATTTCACAGCTCATACCACGTTCATATTTTCAACCAGATGTTACCTGGGCCTTTCTTGCAGGTAAACGGCAGGTGGTAGTTGCAGGGCACGTCGTTCCACTGGCCATTCTCATGCCAGATCATCACCACGCAGTCTTCTCCAGAGTTTAAGTAATTATCGGGCTGGTTCGGCCTCCAGTTCTCGTATTGCTGAGGAAGAGGAGGATGCAGAAACATTACTACAAGGTAAAGCCAGAGAAAAAGTAAGGGGGAACCACAACTTTTCATTTGAATCTCTTTTATTATTCATCATTCTGCACTGTGCACTGTGAGTAAGCAGGGTTTTAGTTTTTTCATGTAGTTTTCATTCTTCACACAACCTCTTCTGTCACTTTCCATGCACTGCAACTACTGCAACACTGTGAGTACCTTTAACGAGAGACTGTCCAAAAGTGTGTGCCGTTATTTGAACTATTGCATCTCATCCCTCTCCATAAAGGCAGCCTTTTTCTTTGAGAGTGGAAATTTGGATTCTTTGGCCTTCAGGTGTGACCAGACAACACTTTGTATAAAGTAGTTTGTTTCAGACACATCCTTAAGGCACAGACATTAGCTCTGAATGAATAGTCTACTTTCCAGAGTTGAAAATCCAGCCTCATAGTATAAATCGATGTGTGCTTGATAAGCTTTCAAATTCATAGCTTTATTACTCAAACTGAACATTCCTGAAGTACCTGAAGCAACCAGCTTCTACCGGCACAGCCATGTTTTTTTAAACACAATGCTGTTTTCCATCCAAACACCTGGTAATGAAGTCAATTTTTTGTGCCTGCACCTGTGTGTTTTTTTACTTTAAATAAACCCATTCGGGCTGAGGTAGGTGGAGTGGTGCAGCTGAGGTTGTGTTTATGCAGATCAGATGGTACAGTGCTATTTTGGTGCTTGTTTTGGCATGACATTGCATTTGAGTTTCACCTGCTCAGACACCCTCTTATCACAAGTGGAAACAGCAATTTACATTGCTTCAGTTGGCAGAGACGCACAGATTTCTCTAAAATCTGAAAAAAAGCCTTTTCATGCATGTTGAACAAATGTTTATCTAGTATGACGTTAAATGCAAATAAACTATTGATGCAATTAAAGCAGTTTGTATTGGGTAAGATTGATTGTTGTTTTATAATGTATCTCCTATGTGGTGTCAATTATAAATCAGTTTTGTTTTGCACTTTTTGTCGGCATTTGTCTCTTTGTGGTTGTTTTGTGTATTTTACTTTCATTGTTTGGCATCTTTTGTGGTAAATTTGTGTCTCTGTGTAGTTATACTGTATGTGATAAGAGGTCACCAGTCAACTTTGTTATAAGGGCACTACACCATGCTGTATTGTAGTATACCCTGCATATACAGGAGCAACACACCAGTGTAACATCCTCACTCACCAGTGGAGTGCCATCTGTCCAGCGGAAGTCATTCTCTACTGTCTTGTCATTCAGCCCAATCCACTGGTAGTCCTGTGCGTTTGCTGTGGCAGAAAAAAAAATGGTGAGACTTTATTTTTCTTTCTCTCTCTGTCTCCAGCTCTGGACACACACACACACACACACACACACACACACACACACACACACACACACACACACACACACACACATTATGCACTCACAGTTGACAAAGTGTTGCTCCTCTGGGGTGATGATGCTGACCAGATGGGCGTTCAGGTCCCGGCAGCGCTGCTCTGCGTCCAGCCACATCTCTCTGTCAGAGAAGTGCAGGTAGCAGTTCCCCTGAAACTTAGTCCAACTGTCTTCACACTGCTGCTCATCTGCAGCAGCAACACCAAAGAGTCAACACTCAATCAGTGTATGGCAATCTCAATTCACTTCCACCTGAACATACATTTATAAGAGCTCTGAGATGATTTAAGACGCATGAATTAAATATTCTTCAACTAAAAATATCCACAACTACAAATGGGTTGGAAAACTAAAGCACAGCATCTGATGATGAGAAGCCCTTCTGTATTCTTATCATTCTTTCTGATATCTGTGTAGCATTAGTGTTTGAGCAGCTGAAAGAGTGCTTGATGTTGTTCACAACCCATGTAGTGTTTCACATATTCACTCAGTGTGGAGCTTATTTTGCCACTGTGATGCCCTCAGTCAGTCCAGCATCCAGTGCAAATTTGATGATGGACAGTGTTTCCATCCTGACGTACAAAACAAACGTCAAAATACAGAATGGAAAATCACACATAAAGCTTCACTTCAGCTGGGAGAGCCCGGTCCAACACTAATTTAATTGTAAATTTCCAACTTTTTCCTTTTACTGTAACATTCAAAGGCTTCATTCATTCTCTTGCTCCACCTTGATGACTTTATTTAAAGGGTCGGTTCACCACAATTTCATAAAAACATATTATATTTCCACTTACCCCTAATGGTATACCATAAATATATTTAACCACACAGATAGCTTTTGATATAGTAAGTCTTTTACAACATGTCCTTCCAGAGACAATGACCCTGTTGCTCAGGATAATCCACAGACACAAGCATGAACTCAATGTCCACTAACTAACTTTTTCGATCCCCTTGCCCCGACTTAAGACCAGCATGTGCACTGTAAGTCAATGGGGACCACCAGAAGCATCCCAGTGAGACTCCCTTACGTACACTAGTTGGGCTGTGGAGTCTAGTGAGAGTTTTCAGGTCTCAAGGAGGCAGCACTTACCAACATTCAACACCCTAAGACTGAATCAACATCACAAACAGACAAACATCAGCAGTCTGTGAACACCAGACAAAAACTGGTCTCAACATCAACAGCAAACTTCAGTCAGTGATGTCCGGAGAACAATCGGGAGGATTTTTACATTTATCTTTAACCATCTTTGAACAAAAACAGGTGTTACAGCGTTTATCACTCAGGTCACATTATGACACCAGTTCCATTCACAGATGAGGTCCAGAGAGGCAGTTGCAAGTCCATAGCTAGTAACTTGATTTGACTAATTGGACCTTGAGTTAGGATTACTTGGTTCAGACAGAACACAAAGCGAATTTCAAAGGCAATTGCATACAAAGTAAATGGAAATACAAGATTAGATGCAAATTCTCCCAGGGTAGTGCAAACTGACAGTTTCTGGTGAGTTATGAGATCAGTTAGAGTCTGAGATGAACACAAACTCCCACAGACATGGTTGGGGCATCACTGCATACAGTTTGACGCTGTTTGAGGCAAATAAACACAAAAGGTCCAGCGGTCAAATTTGCGGGAATGATGCACAATCATTTGCTTCACTTTCTATATGAACACACCTCAAGAATTGAATTGGATTGTCTCTGGGAGTACTTAATATCAAACAAATTGTCCCTATGAACATTGTTTACAGTGTGTTAAGTGGTTTATTCTGGGTAGGATACGGTTCATGAATAGACACCCTGCAGTTTTCATGTTCTCTACCCTCCTTAATTACTACTGCTATGCCTGTGAGGCTTAGCATTCTAACAAGGCGCCTAAGTATTTTATATTGATAATAGTGGAAGATTTTGGAATAATGGGATCCCTTTCAGATGCATTATGTTGTACACGCATTGGGTATGCTGGTCCTGAACACGTGGCTATTTCAAACCTAACCTGAAATGAATGTATAAATAATGTTTTTACCTAATAATATACCTTGGTCTTGGATGTAAAGCTTGATTACTATAGAGAGCTAGTTAGCCAGGCTTGCTAACAGGAACAGACAAACACATTTTTTAATCCATAGCCTGCACTTGTGCTGCTGTTGTGTTTTGGAAAGGAAAATACTTCCAAATGCTTCCGTTACTGAGTATTGCTCCTACCATGATTGTACAATCACTGTTTAAGAAAGGAGTTTAACAAAGGGTCAATTGTTAAGTGTTTAAAGCAATAAAACACTGAACAATTACTGCATTAGAGGGGGAAATGTAATATGTTTTATTGTTATTGTGGTGAACTGACCCTTTGGTTACTTTCATGACCTTTGGTCCTTTTAGGCAAACGGGGTCCCGTAACAAACCGGGGACATCACAGCTGCATGTTGTGCACTCACTCACACGAACCACAGCGAGTTATGATGCTATCGGCTGGTGATGTTTAGCATCTCTCTCTCTCTCTTTTCAGTTGTTTTTGAGAGGCTGTTGTTAGTATTTATTAGCTGAAGCTGATCTCATACCGATCTCACAGCGTTCCCCTCCGTAGCTGGGCAGGCATAAGCATTTGTAAGAGTCTGCACTCTCCACACAGGTGGCTCCATTGGCGCAAGGGTTGGAATGGCACACATCTACCTCTGCAAAAAAGGTGGGCGGTTGACACTACTGTTTCAGCGTGGGGTGGGGATGGGAGGTTGGCCAGCAGGGTGAGGGATGTGAAGCTGTGATAGAAGGACTATCACACCACAGGACTGAGTAGTTAGTGAACAGTACTGTTGCTGCTGCAACTTCTGATCCAAATTAGACTTACTGCACAACAGTCATCATCTTTGTTCCTTTGTTTTTGATAAATCTTATTGTTTGAAGTCTTATAGGTTACCAAATGATGATAATATTTGGTATATTTGGTATAAATTATACCAAATATGGGTTTATTTCTGCAAAGAGGACAACTAACACGTAATAGCAGCAGTAAGTATAGGTTTGGATCTGTGTGTAGTTGCAGCAGAAGATTAGTATTCAAATTTAAGCAGGATGAGAGCACTCATATGATGCCAGAAAGCACATACGTTGCCCGGGTTAAGCATGCTTACAGCAGAGCGGAGGCGGTGTAGTGGCACAGCAGACCAAAAACAACATATAGGGCGAAGACAGTTGTGATAGCACATGTGACACAGAGGCTCTACAACCTCAGAGCCGATACACATTTGACAAGCACCCTTCAAACTGCCATACAAACACAGAGACCCATAGCCAGACACAGACAAAATGAACATGAGGAAATCAACACAAAACATGATGCAACACACATCAGGACAGAACGGCAGGGAGAGAAAGAAGATTTTTGGTAAGTCTAGTAATACTGATTCATAAACAGTAACTACAATCACAATCAGTTAAATAGTTATCTGAAAATAAAACTGACAAGCTGATTAATAAACAGAATTCAGACCAACAATATAAAACATGCAAACTGCTCAACAACAAAGACATACGGAGAAATGCTGCCGTTAAACCAAAACTGAGCTGAATTCAGTAGTTTTCAGACAAAGAAAGGAGAAAAGTAAGAACTGGATCTTGCTGTCGTTTTGTAACTTACCGTGGCAGAGAGCAACCCCATCCTCTGCTGTGCATGAAGCAGTGCCACAGGGGTTGGGTTCACATGGGTTAAAACCACCTAGAAAAACATGTAAAATGATTCAAACATGATTCCCTCTAGAATGACGTACAATAATACTACTTTTAAAAGAGAGATATATTTAATCTAAACTGGAGTGGTAGAGTTTTTGCAATGCTACAGTGCAACACCTGATTGCAGTTTACAAGTGTTTTGTTTTATTGTACTGTCATGTTTTAACTCTTGAACACGGCTGTAAGATAGGACTATACGATATGGTTAAAAAAAAGATCATATTGTAATTATTTTGACAGATATTATGATTGCGATACAATTTACAGTTAGTGGGAATGATCAGCAGATCATCATAATCATGTTGATGTGACATTTGTTGGGGTCTGTGCCAAACAAACATGTTTTCTTACACCATTTGTAGGCCAGGGCATCTGTGCAGCACTACAGTACTTGCAGCAATTCTGATGATTGACACGGCTGTAAAATGATCAAAACTGTGAAATTAACTCAACACGGAGACCAAACTGACCTCTCTGCTAAAATGGATGTGTCAATCATGTTAAACCAATAAATAGTACCTTCACTTGAGTACGTCACTTCAACCTCTAGCCACTTTGCTCAATGATAAATTCACACTCACATTTAATCAGTTTTTAAAAAAAATCCTTAATGAGTGAAAAGGCAATTGGGCAGAAGATATGGTTTAGCTGTTTGTGGCTTTCTCATATTGGGGGGGTAGATGCACATCAGTGGACTGGAAAATTGAAGTAATTTGTTGGAAGCAGTGCTTTAGGACATGGTCTGAGATTCAGTTTGGTCCCTGGCTTTTATGGCGTCTTTCAACATGCTGCATTAGAATACAAATACTATCAGCTGTTTTCCCTTCCTTGTGCAGTTGTAGTGGGGAGATATTGTGTCACCAATGGCATACAAAACAAACAAATATACAAATCTGAGAAGTTGGAACCAGTAACTTTTGGGTATTTTTTCTTAGAAAATTACTACTTCTAAACTTTTTTTTATACTTCTAAATTACAATTAATCAACTCATCATTTCAGCTCCAGTAGTAACCTCCTTTAAATGTTGTATCATGAGGATACAAAATCCCTCTAAGTCTTAACAAACACTGCTTTCCACCACACATCATTCTATTTTACAGAATACAGGAAAACAAGGTGTCAAAAAGGTCATATTGTTTTGCAACCAACGACAAAAAATAGAAAATTGTCACATGAAAGAATAGGTTGACCTACCCTCCACTGAATCAATTTCTTCAATATTGCCTGGTGCCCACCCAGAGACTGCTGTAGCTGCAGTGGGAGGAGCAGCCAGTCCAGAGGGGGCAAGCACAGGGCCAAGAGTTCCATGGTTGTTACCAGGGGTCTGTGACAGTTCAGCCTCACTAAGGGCCTCAACTGGTCCTTTGGTGCTCTCTGTCAGTGCCCATTCACTGGGTGGAGAGGGCAACACCACCATGGAGAGTGGCAGATCTCCAGAGGGAGCTCCTGAGGAAGTGCCACTGGCTGTGAACAAGCGGTTGTCTCCGCTGCCAGAGTAGAAGCCACCACTACTGCTTCCTTCTCCGCTGTACTCCACTGACCCCTGTCCGAGCTCCATAGACAGTTTAGAGTCCCTGGAAACCTCTGTCATAAAATCCCCAGTCAAGAATGTAACACTGCCTTCTTCTCCACTCGTTGAGGACTCAAAACCAGAGATTCCTGATCCAGACATTCCCGAACCAGACCCAGAGATGAAACTCGAGCTTCCAAATCCAGACAAATGTCCTCCACTTCCCTGTCCAGAGCTGTAGAGTAAAAACCCTGAGGCCTCCTGCTCTCCAGAGGATGATACAGTAAGTTCAGTGAACCCTGACCCCACAAAGGTCACGCCTGAGAAGAACCCAGAGCCACTTCCAGACGCCGAGCCACTGAGATCACCACTGAGAATCCCAGATCCTGAAATGTCTCCAGAGCCACTGAACGCCACTTGGCCTCCACCAAGCTCAAACTCCTTGTGGGTAATATGGGTGGACGCATCAATCAGTTCACCATCTATCAGTAAGATCTTAGCGTCTCCACTTCCTGACTGTCCACTGGCGCTTCCAGAGGGGAATCCTGATGGAAAACCACTGAACCCAGAAAAGTCCTGGCTGGTGATGAAACCGGACGAGATGCCAGAAAACTGTCCACTTTCCCCAGAGCCACTCTCCGTAGAGCTGAAACCAGATCCAGACAGGTCCCCGCTACCACTGAGTACTCCAGAGCCTGCTTCAGGGAAGATAAGAATCCCTGTGCTTCCCTCTCCGGCTTCTTGGAGTTCCCCTGAAACTGATCCCTCTCCAGAGACAACGCTGTCAATGCCTGAAAAAACAACAGTGAAGCCGGATCCTTCTCCACTGAGAGCTGATCCAGAAGCATCTGTACTGCTGAAACCTGAAGCTCCACTGGGCAGCTCAGCACTCGCACTGCCGGCCAGGTCTCCAGAACCAGACAAGTCTCCAGAGATTACCCGATCTCCAGAACCAGACAGATCTCCAGAACCAGATAAATCTCCAGAGATTACCCGATCTCCAGAACCAGACAGATCTCCAGAACCAGACAGGTCTCCAGAACCAGATACATCTCCAGAGATTACCCGATCTCCAGAACCAGACAGATCTCCAGAACCAGACAGGTCTCCAGAACCAGACAGGTCTCCAGAGCCAGATTTATTTCCAGAGGTGATCTGATCTCCAGAGCCAGACAGATCTCCAGAGCCAGACAGATCTCCAGAGATTACCTGATCTCCAGAACCAGACAGGTCTCCAGAACCAGACAGGTCTCCAGAACCAGACAGATATCCAGAGCCAGACAAGTCTCCAGAGTGACCCCCAGAGGCAGAGCCTGAACTGAAGTCTGCTGAGCCTGAGCCCGAGCCTGAAATCTCCACAGCGATGGGAGGGACGATGGAAGGAACAACTAAAGGGACATATAAAAAAAGAGTGAGGGACATGAAAAATAAAAGGGTCAAGTAATTTGATTATGATTTAAATATATCTTACCAGGCCTCAACAAGTCAGTAATTGATGTTAGGTTAAGGAGGGCCTCCTGGATATCTGTGATGTTCAGTCCAGTTTCATTTGCAATAAGTAGAAGGTCCGCTGTAAGAATTTAATAATAAGAAAAATGACAAATTGAAGGATAATAAAAATAAAATTTTAGAATAAGCCTGTTAAGTAACAGTAAAGCATTTACCTCTGAAACAGTATGCATCGAATCTGGCGTCAACTTCAGGGAAGCTTGTCTGGTTGGGGTGAGCGTACAGAGTGTGTACTCCTGCTTTCCCAGCTCCACACTCAGTGCGGGGGTTGTTGATGGGATAGCGGACGCTACGATCCACTAGCCAGCCAGCACGGCACTTGTCAAAGCCCATTTTCCAGGCTGCGTAGAGCTCTCCGGTCGAGGCCAGTACAGCGCTCTGCTCTTGACAGCTAGACGCAGCCTCATCATAGGTGAAACCCTCAGCGGAGCCCACATGGAAAACCTCACCTGTGGAGCAGATGAGGAGGAGATGTCAAGATGATGAAAAAGAAAGAAAATTACTTTAAATAATTAATTTTTCAGGCTAAACAGTGTTTTTCTTACCTTTGAGCCCATCAATGTAGCAGTACACATCATATTTCTCCTCTGCTGGCATCAAACCATAGGACCGAACTCCAGGTTGGTCCTCCAGATCTCCAGCACATTTATCTCGAGGGAAAACGATGGGATACCTAGAAAAGAGCGAACATGATGACGTATTGTTCTGGACAGGGCCCTCTCTGCCTGCTCTGAAAATACATCCCAGATTTACCTTACAGTCTGATCCAGTAACCATCCTGCATCACACTGGTGATATCCAGCCTCAAATGCTGCCTGCAACTGCTGTGGCGTGGCGATGGAGGCCCCGACATTCTGGCAGGCTAGCTGGGCCTCAACAAACGTGAAGGCATAGCGACCGGAGCCTGAGCGATAATGGAAGACCACACCTGCGCAAAGAAACACGGGTAATGGTTATTATTACTTGACACACCTATGTGATGTTACAGTTATCATAACATGCATCATCAGTTAAATCACTGACCAGTTGGGGGCATCACAAAGTCTTTGCCGGGCTCCCTGGCTGTGTCGGGACGGGCGGTAACTGCCTCTATCAGGTCAGTGATGATCTCAGTGATGTTTGGCGGCTGAGGCAGAGGCAGCTCAGTAGGGCTCTCTGTGAAGTCCACAACGGTAGGCTGCTGAGTCTCCACCTCTCCAACCGCCTCGCTCTCTGTGGTCGTCCTCCTGAAGAACACCTCTGGGCTCTGTGTCACTGTGGTAACACTCAGCACACCACTTCCCTCTTCTGTAAAGCCGGAGCCTTCCTCATCAGGGGACTCTGGAGGTGATTGAGGAGAGAGATTTGTAAGACAAAGCTAATACTTTCCCATCAACTAGTATTGATTTCTTACTACCACTCCAATCAAGTAAAATGTGCAACTTCACAATGTTTAACCTTGCACAAATTGATTTTGGCCACTTTGGCGCAGTGGAAGAAACTGTAACCAAATAAATATAAAGTTGAACATGTTATTCAAACATCCAGTACAGTAAACATGGAGCAACTTAAGCATTCATTTGAAGTTGTGTGTCTGGCCATCTGAAGTCAAACATTCACTTTCCTTTTAGCTGTTTTTGGCCTCTACCAGCTCCTGAGGGAAATATCTGGCTCTTTAGCTGGTAAATGCTCCACTATGTTCACCAGCTAGTCTCTAACAGCATCTGGTTGCTGCTTGTTTGGTGCTGGACAGAGAGCAGTTTGTCACTGAAAACAGCTGCTGGCTGATGCTGGAAACAACATCGAGAAAGCGGTGAGACTGAACCAAACCAGTACACCAAAACAATGAGCTCATAGTCTGTAGAGCTGAGGGGAATTATAGAGCAGGCATTTGAACTTGAACTATTACTACTGATACTTAATTGCTTTGTCTACAGTACATTTTCAGTATTGGTGTGTATGATAACAAGTAGCACAAACCTTTCAGTATCTCCACTCCACTATTCACTTGTCTTGTTGGCCTACCTGTGTAGCAAAAGGCGTCATAGCGGGTCTCAGGAAGTGGGTATCCCGTCTGGTTCGTGTGCAGGTAAACAGTTCGCACCCCCAGCAGACCCCCTCCACACTGTGGCCGACGAATGTTGATGGGGTAGCGGACGCTCCTGTCTCCCAGCCAGCCTGCGTTACAGACATCCATACCACCCTTCCAGGCCAGGTAGAGTTGACCTGTAGTGGCCAACTGAGCTCCCCGATTAGAGCAAGCAGCTGCTGCTTCAGAGAAGGTGAACTTTTCTGCAGAAGCGGTGTAGAAAACTCTGCCTGTATCAGATAGAAGAGGTTCAGTTAAGTCAAAGAGTAAAATAATGAAAGAATGAGCTTAAAACTACAAATAGAGACATTTCCAGCATTCACTGCATGTACCTGTCATCTTCTCAGTGAAGCAGTAGACATCGTAAGTCTCATTGAGGTCTCTCACTCCGTATGTCCTGACCCCAGGCAGTTCCTCTTTGTCACCATAGCAGTTCACACGAGGATCATGGATTGGGTACCTTTGTTTGAATGAAAGTAACCTTAGGTGTCTTCAACATGAAATGCTGTTTGTCTTCAATGTCAAGATTAGAGTGTAAACTTGCAAACAGGGACGATTTTGAAAACATTTCCTGTTCTGAGTGTCCCTGTGAAGCACACACCGATCTAACATCAATGAACCACAACTTTAAAACAACCATATTCATTTTCTCCTTCTCCCCGTTTGTTTGTTTGTGCGTTTGTTTGTTTGTTTGTCCTCTGGCTTTGAATTTGTCAGTGACGCCCCAATAGAATCTCAGAGTTGGAATACTTTAAACACCACCTTTTTACCAATTTTTACTTTTTTATAAAAAAAAAAAAAAAATTTTTTTTTTTTTTTTTAAAATTTAATAAAAAAAAAAAAGTTTTTTTTTAAAAAAAATTTTTTTTTTTTTTAAAAATTTTTTAAAAAAAATTTTTTTTTTTTTTTTTTATAATAAAAATAAAAAAAATTTTTAATAATTAATTTTTTTTTTTTTTTTAAAAACTTTTTAAAAAATAAAAGTTTTTTTTGCTTTCAGTAGCACATGATTTTCCCTGTTTTGGAGTCAAGTTAACCCTGAATGTGTTTGTGTGATATGTTAAACAGGATTTAGTGGATAGTTGTTTCCTTTTATGTGACAAAACCAACCTGACAGTCTGGTCAGAGAGCCAGCCAGCGTCACACTGGTGGAATCCATCATCGAAGGCTGCTTGAAGCTGTTCGGATGAGGCTATGACAGCGCTGTTCTGGGTGCATACTGCCTTTGCCTTTTCAAAAGTCAGAGTGTAGCGGCCCATGATGGCCCGGTAGTGGAACACCAGACCTAGAGAGATAAAAAAAAGTACTGTTAGTTTAATTGAGAATGAATTAAGTTAAGTGTAAGATCAATACAGCCAAACTAGACAGCACCCAGAAAACATAACGTTTGTCCTGGATAATCAGATCTGTTGCAACAACCACATTTGCCTCACTGACATTATGTGACACAGCTCACCTTGAACCTGCACATGGACGATGTCGTGGTTGTCCTCGATGCCGTGCTGAACCTCACAGCGGTAGACCCCTGAGTCACTGGACCGCAGCTCAGATATCTTGATGCTGGCATCTGTAGGAGTCCTGGGGTAGCCCACTAAGTGAACTCTGTCCAGGTAGCTCTCGCTGATACGCACCTGGCCCTCCAAGGCCACCAGGATAGTGGTGACCTTTTCTTTGGTGACGAGGCTCCATTTTATACGATGAGAAAGGGGAGCGACGGTGGGAGCTCCTGGGTCTGGGACTGTGTGGTCCTATATGAAACAACAACATCATTCACCACCAATTTGTCTCCTGGATTTGTTAATTATAAAAACAACAATCTAAATCTCAATGTATTATAACTTCTGCAGGTGCTCAGTACACAATTAAAACCCCTTTGACTTTGACTAAGATTTTGCGCAAACAGAACATATCCATTTGCTGTCGTGTTTTTGTTCACCTGATGAATTGTTTTCCACAATTCATAAACCTTTCAGCTCTGTGTTGGTCTCCACCAACTCCTGATTAAACATCTCACTCTTTAGCTGCTGGATGTTTGACTCAAACGATGAGCTAAAGAGCTGCTAAAAGAGGCTAAAAAAGCCCAACAGAGCTGCAGAGTTGGGTGATGATTCTCTGTGGATTTGTCACTAAGAACAACCACTTTCACATTTGATTCAGTGCTAATATAAGACATAGCTTATATGTTTTAAATTGATTAGTGAATATTTAAATTATGTTTACGGTGCCTTCATCTGAGCATATGAGAAAAACAAATCCTTTGTGAATATTCTGTATCGAAGCAGTGGAAAACATGTTCATATTTTAAAAAAACTTAGTAAAAGCTCATAATTACACACCTTAAAGTAACACGGTATAAGCAACGTTCCTCCCAGTAGAGGGCGCTGTGGCTCCTCTAGAGGAACGCTCACACTCAGCACATCCTCCGGGTCTGTGAAGAAGAACAGAAGGAAGGTCTGAATGCACTCCAAAGAAGACTGACATTTCAATAACACTTGATCTTTATCAACCTGTATCTAATAAATTCACATTATTATTAGATGTACCTTTAAATATGTGTTCTTACCCATAAAGGAGTGTTCTTCATAAATGTAATCAAACAACGCTGAGACGTCATGTAGACACACAGACAGCAACACAATCCACCGTATCATATTTTACCTGAAATATAAAAAGGAAATTTTTTTTGATGTAATTAAATTACATTTGCCTACAGGCCTTATATTCAACCGCTCAGATGTAGATTGTCACCCAACTCATTGATTATTATTATTGACTTACTGATAATGGGTTGTAAAAGTTCTCAGTTTGATTTTAAGTCTATTTCTGTTTTGACAAATTAATTAAAATATGTTTATTAAAATAAGTTCCCCTTCAACTGAGTCAAAAAATTATGACACAGTTACTTGTTCCTTGACCCGTGACCAGACTGAACTTTTCACCAAATTTCAAAGAAATCTTGTGCCAGAGTTTAACAGTGATGCAAACAAGTGTGGAAATGTGTCTATTTTCTAAGAAATTAAACTTTGTATATATATATATATATATATATGTTTTGCACAGAGCAAAGGGCCACAGGTCACAGTCGAACCCATGGCTGCCGCAGCGAGGCCGCAACCTTGGTTCATGGGACGCCAGCTCTACCAGGTGAGTGTTCAGAGCGTCCCAAATTAAACATTTTACTTACACAAGGTCCCACAGTAAAATGTCTCTTTCTCTCTACAAATACTGAACAATGAACACATTAAAATCCTGCCATAAAGTTACATCCATTCATTCAAAAAAGACATGATGCTGAGTGTCCAGTGATGTCTGTTATGTCTGGGCTCGAGAGGGAGGGTCACACGTTTGAAGTAATAACACTCAAATCCAAATAAAACTATGAGTAATTATGTTAAAGTTTTCTTTTTGTGGTTAGTCCACACCTCCACCTTCAAAGTGTCAAACATTCCCAAACAGACATGATTCCAGTTTTCCTCCACTAAACGACACAGCAACTGTACATTTCTCTAATGGAATAACTAACAACCACACATCTCTGTAACGTTCATGTGCCGGTCTCTAACAACCACCTCTTATTTTCTCACTGAAAAACAAGGAGCTCCAGTTCTTTTCAAAAGTAAATATTTGCCGTTATTCCACCTGAGTAACACTTCCTGCTCCTCCCTCCTTCTACAGTGAATGACTGAGACCTTTCCTAAATTCAGTTTGTATATTTGTTCATATCCATGTGCACGTGCATCAGAGCTGACGTCACACACACATCATCAAACATGTCTCAGCACAGTAACATAAAATAATTCACTGCTAAACATGTGAACAACTTAACTTATGAGTACCAGCTTACTGTGATCAGTTTCTTATATGAATTCTTGTACTTCTGTGTTGTATTATGTACTGTTTATTGCCATCTTGTTTCCCCCTTGCCTGTGGGGTACGACACCATGTGTGTGAGAGTCTTCATGTGTGAACTACTGTATGTCTTTGAACATTTTTACTGTGTATGTTCAATATTGAGCAGGTTTTGAGGAACTTTTTGACCGAAGTAAAATGATAAATGTAGTGAGGTCCTTCAAGAACACACTGTTTTCAAGTTACGTGTTTCTGCATTTGTGTAAGCTCAGTTGAAAAAAGGTGAGGTCACATACTTCCGTGGACCAATCAGGATTTAGCTTCATTTGAATCCGAATCTGATGACAGTTGCTTGGTGGTTTTGTCACTCTCAATCAACTCTGATTCCTGATCCCGATGAAGGAGATTAACTGAGATTTTTAAGGAGTAACTTAATAAAAGAAACACTTTTTTGAGTTAGTAAATCACATGTACAGTCATATTGTTACACCAGGTTTGGGGAGTAACTCTAATCCACTACAAAATAATCAGATTAGTTCAGATAGAATCAGGTTTCCATGGTTAAATTGTTCTGTTGACTTCTTAAAGATCATTGTTTTCTCTTGTTTTTAATTTACATCTTTTGTGCTGAGGTAATCCAAGTCTTGTTGCTTTAAAATTGTAATGTAACTGTATTGGATTACATTTTTAAAGTAACCCCCCCGACTGATCCTGGTCGTTAGTTCTTTGTGACAGGGTTCAGCTGTAATTTTGAAGCTTCATTGAGGTGTTTTAAATTGCTCTTTAACTCTTAATTAACTTTTATAAACAATTAATTTAATTGCTGTTTATTTATGAATAATATTTAATGTTAGATTCACGGAACAAGATTTTCGACTAAATTAGCCAAAGAGTTTGAAAGTCAAAAACTAATCTGCTTCATCAGGACTTTGTGGGTGTGGTTTGATCAGATTGATTGACAGTTCTGGCAACATAAGAAAACAACCTGCCCACTTCAAACCAGCGAGAAGAACACAGAAATCACAGAAAAACATAGATACAGCAATCTCTTATGTGAACTGAAGAAGATAAGACAAAATGACACACACTCCAAGGACAACAGCCTCACAGAGAAAAGAATGTACAGCACAGAAACTCTTGGACAATCTCTAGGGCTTGTGGTCTGGTAGGGAAGCAGCTCGGGCTCTCACCACAGATTCAACAAGCTCCTGCAAACTTATCTCAGCAGAAATCCAACACAGTTTCTACAACCTGAACAAATTGCCCACTTATTGCCCGAGATGCAGTGGAGGGTGAATGCCCCTCACATCACCTGAGTTCACTTACATAAACAGAGTTTATGTAACATCTGAGGTTGATTTTATGATGTGGAAATCACAGAAACAGCTGGAAGATTTTATTAAAGGAACTTGAGAATTTCAACATGCAGGAATCAAAACTCAAGTGCTTCTTTGATTGCAGCTTACTAACACTTTATAATGTGTTGTGCATATTCATTATGTTGTTTACAGGAATTTTATAAGATGTGTTGTTTAATTCTATTTTTCATGGTGCCTCTTTAACATGTGGTCAGGGACAACAGATGAAAATGAAATATAAAGAAAAAAACGGTCGATTAATGGACAACCTGCTCTTTATTAAACAAATAGTGTATTAGGTTATAGATTATATATATATACATTTTTTATTTATTATTATAGCAACCAGTGCATATGTGATAATATTGTACGTTTAACCTCATTATTTCAGTGCTATAGTTATTAGTTACTTTTCAGATCAGAATTTTACATGTAAAACAGATAAAATTAGATACCTTGACAACAAATTTCTGCTTACATGTTATTTCCAATAAAATATAAAGAAATATAACATTCTGAATTTGCATAATGAGTACTTCTACTTTTGATACCTAAAGTGCAGTTTGCTGATAATACTTCTGTACTTTTATTAAAGTAAGATGTTTAATGTGGGACATTACATGTAATGGAGTAATAAAGTATACTATTGCTTCTTCTACTTAAGTAAAATATCTCTACTTTTACCACCACTGTGCTTGCTTCTTGTTGGTAAATCGTCTCATTTTGTGTTGTTCATGTTTTGCTTAGTGATGTGAACAATGACAATAAATCTGACTTGAACTTGAACTCGTTATAATTATAAAATCTCTAACTGGACGTCTGTTTCCAGCCTCTTCTGAAACCACACTCAATTTCAAAATGCAGTTTTATCTGTCAGAGAAGGGTTTTACTCTCTTTAAACACCTTTCAGAGTGTTTGAAACCTGCAGGGAGTGTCTCCTCGGGACTGAGCTGTGGTGTTTGGACTAAGTGACAGTTCATTAGCAGCTGAGTTGTGTGTGTGAGCCGTGCCGGTGGCCAGCTCCACACTGAGCTCATTCAGCTGCTGCCGAGGTCCACTCCCAGAGAGACCAGGGCCCATAAGACCAGATCTGTTCCCCCTGAAGCCGGTATTATGGCAGCTCTGACAACAACAGGGCCTATGTAAACAGCCCAGAGCCGTGCCTTTCCATCACATCTCAACACTGCCAACATTCAGCCAGGAGACTCGGAAAACTGTGAGACATGATGGGAGGAGCTGAAGGCCAAAGGTGTGGCCGTGACAGGGCTTTGATCCTCACCTCATCATCTCTTTTTTTACTTCACTACATGAGGCACATCTCTCATATGACCAATCCGGTTAAGGTATGTCAAGTATGATAATTTAAGAAGAAGTCCCTATAATATGGATGTAAAAACATGTTGCTGACCTGTTGTAGTTATATTCTACAGATTTATTAACTTCCTGCGGTACTTTCATCAACTTTTCAGCTTTCAACTTCAGTGTAAGAGTCTGTAGCACTCAGTGATGAGTTATATTGACTTACTGGTGCTTTATCTGTTGTGGAAGACCAAAAAATATCCATGGTATCAAGTTTCAGATTTAATTTTGGCATGTTGTTTGTCTAGAATCAACTAAAATTAATAGTTTTCAGTTTAGTTTATTTAGTGTATTGTCAAATGTATTTCTGTCTGTTTTTTAACCTATTTTGTTTTTGTCAGGGATCAAATATTATACAGATAGACATAGATAAAACGTTCCAGTTTCAAGTGGAAAACATAAATACAGTCCATTAATTTCCATTTTAAATATTGTTAATCTTTTAGAAAAGAAAATTGATGATGAACACAAAGAGGGGATGGAATATGAATCCACAGGTGACCTCAGGGGAGTACAGTTTAAACTCATCTGAACCTCTATCCAGCTTTTTTAGAATAAGATCAATCTTTAAAATGTAGGATGTTAAACAATAAAACCACAAGGTTATAAATAATGTGAAAAGATGATTTTAGTAAAGCACACAAGCAAGCAAGTGCACATCTATCAGATTAATATAACCCCCCTCATAACTTCCACATTTCTCCATTAAAGTTGCCTAAACAAAACCAAACAATAAAAGAAAGTATGTAACTCACCTGTTGTAGAAAAAACTGCACTCCTGCAGTCAAACTCTTCTTCAGTGGTGTATTTCTGGGTCAGCTCAGCTCCAGGTTGTGAGTTTAAAAGTCCCAGTGAGCAGCAGCAGCAGCAGCAGCAGAGAGCTCAGGATGCTCGGCTGAGTGCAGAGGAAAGAGACTGGGACCAGGTCAGGCTTCAAACCTCAGAGGGAAACACCAACGTCAAGCTGCTCACACTGAAGTGTGAGGTGCTCTCATTACTGTTTTCAAAATAAAAGCAGACTGCAGCTTCAGATGTTTCTCTGCGGCTCTGCAGGTGGTTGAGTTAATCACAGTGTGCGGGTAAAATATTTTGTTCACACTCACGATGTGAGTAGATGTGAGTATACCTTTTGTTAGAAGTGTACAGCTCATTGGGAAGCTTGCATGCAAATGTTGTTTTGATGTACAATCAAGCATTCAACTGCATTTTACTCACATAAGAAGAATTAATTCACTCTAAATGTGAAAGATCATTTTGACATTTTTTATCTTGAACTACTGACATGAGTGAGTTTGTGTCAGGAAGTACTTTTAGGACACCAAGTAAGAGAAACCTATAGCTTATAACACAATTTGTAAACACTCCCACATATTTTAGGAATCATTATTAGATTAAAATCTAGATGCCACAGATCTGCCGAATCAGTGAAGAATCTCATTCACCTGTTTAATCAAGTTTTGGTTTAATTTATTTTGGTTGATTGTAATTTACTTTCTGTCAATCAAGTAGTGTGTCAAGTTATTTCGGTCAAGATCAACCCTAACCGTAAACCCAAAATAATTAGAGGTACTGTATTAAACTAAGAATATGAATTTTCTGTTCATTTGTAGTTCTGGTATTAGTACTAGTCGTAGCAGCAGTAGTAGTATAAGAATCAGTCTTGTTGTTTCCACTTGTTTGTATGGTCTGTCGTTTTTTTGTACATTCAAAACAAGTTATGCTTTTATTTTGAAGGAAACGTAACTGGGGCTTTTTTGCATTTTGAGGGAGGTAAGAGGGGTTGAGGTAGGAGATGCCATTCCACCCACTGGGTATAGAAATGAGGTAATGATCCCCTTTAGTGGGGATAGTAGTATAATCAGACTTTAAATCAGAGCCCCCACAAAATGCTTATAAAAGGGCCTTGACTCAGTACTGAGTTTGTAATAAATGAATTGCTCTGTGTAGTATTTTTATCCATCATCAACTCTGAAGTGATCCCCATTTGTTTCTACACACAACATAATCTTGAACAGAACTGCAACAGATTTCACACGATCCTCGGCTCTGTTGTCCTGCCGTCACCTTCGGGCTCTTTAATGGGCTCCGAAAACATTGGAGAGTATCACGCCTCGCCCCTTTAACTTCTCCCCACTCGCTTGCTTTTGCTCCTGAAAAGGAAAAAAAAAAAGGGGGTGAGACAAAGCTGTTCTTTCAGTCAGGTACCACTGAGAGCTCATTGGGCAGAAAATGTGTAATCACAGAGTATTCACACGCCTAAAAATGTTGTTGCTACGGATACAAATGAACCCCACTTAACTTATAATGGGGGTTGAAGTTTAAGTGGCACATAATGACAGAAATGCTCCAACAGCAGCACATATTAAGTTTTTTATGCTGTGAAGTTGCACAATTTCTTTCCTCCTCAACCTTTTGTACTGTTTTTAGTGAAATATAAATCACCAGGGAGGTTTCAGTCTGATGATTTTAATGCTTAAAGCCTACTGTACTGGAGTTAGGCGAGCAAGGTCAGCATCAGTCCCTGGGCCTATAATGGTGGAGGCTTGTTAGGGTAGCATAGGGCAGGGGTTCATGGGGGTCACAAGGCCTTCTTGATTTTAGGATGTGTAAGAATACTGAATGATAATATGCACAGTAGGCCTATATCTCAGCATTTGGTTCCCTTGTGTGAAGAAAAGTAAATGTTAATTAAAGTAAGGGACAAGGAAACGCTGAATTTGTCAGAAAATAAGGCTATTAAAGTCTGTATGATTGTTAGAAATGATAAAAAATACATAACACAGACAGAAAATTGATTGAGTTTTGAATATAATATGAAATATACATAAAAAGGGGCCCCTCAGTTGGTTTACCAAATGATAGAAAAGGGGTCCCTTAAGGAAAAAGTTTGGGAACCACTCCCTCCAGATCCACACCTGCTTGTGAGGGAATATTTTCAGGACTTTCAGGTATGTTTCACAGCTGCAGACTTTATCATGGCAGCAGAGATAGCAATAGAGAGGCTGGAGAGAATGATTAGCTCTTACATTAGAAAGTGGCTGGCAGCCTACTCTGCCAAGCAAAGGGTATTTCTCTGTAATGGGAGTCAAGGACGTTGTAAAGGTGAGAAAATGAAATGGAAAGTTTTCTGATGTAACTATCTATTTGTAAGAATAGTGAAGCTGATAAAGATTACTGAGCCTGCTGTGGCATTAAAATCATACTACTTACCAAGGCAGTTTAACCTAAACGGAAAAAGGTAGGTCTCAATTAGACGCCTGGTCTGGATTTTATAGGAATTCTTTGGATGTATAAAACCTTCTAAGCTGAGAAAACTCATAATTGTTTCTGTTAAAGTTTTAAATCAAACTTAAACTCCTAATTTTGAAAATAAATGAATAATAACTATTGATATTTTTTTCTTCTTTAGAAAAACCTGAATCTTTAAGTATTGGAAACAAATAAATAATGAAAAATAGAGTTCACAGCTCACTTTTGAAATACAGAATGTTTTGAGTTTTCCCAAAGTATCAAATGATCAAATGAATGATTGGTAATTGATATGTCTAATTTCTGTACAAGTAATATTCATTCTGCTTTAGGTAAACAATCTGAGAGTATTTCCCGTCTTCGCTGAGCAAGAGTTTTGTGCAAAGGGAATAAAAGGCCTGTCCCAAATAAAGGCCTGTTCCAAATAAAGGCAGGTTGAGTTCAGTGATGCAAATAAAAGCCTGGGCTACTAATTGAAGCTTTATGGAAAAAGGTCTGCTCTTTGTCTGGGTGAGAGAAGGAGTTAAAAGGCTTCAAAGTAAGTTAGGTCAGAGTTAGAGAAAAGGTGTCGCCCAGTATCACTTATACCTGATGAGTTAGTTCACCTCAAATTGTTTTCAGGAAACGGTTTAAATGTATTACCTCGAAAAATGTAAGCATAAAAAAATATTAGTTATCAGTTAGTTATTATAGTATAAATAACTTACGTATTTATTGTTTAGGTAACTTGGGTAAATAAAGTTATATGTACCAATTTCATCTAGTTAACTGAACAAAAAACCAGTAAGTATGTTACACTCATATGCACACTCATTTCTCCAAATTTATTTAAAATGTGTTATTTATCTGAATAAAGTAAGATTACCACTTAAACTGAATTTACTAATTTGTGAAAGCAAATTATTACATTACCTTTCAAAACAGCTGACATTTAATAAAACAAACAATTTATAATTAATCAGTTATCAAAGTGGTAGCCAATTAATTGTGTTGCTTTGAGGCTTACATTTTTTGTAATGATACAAATTCAACTTGAAGAAAATGAGTCAAAGGAACAAACTACTGCACAATTACTTCAACAACTGATTTGTGTGTTGGGTTTAATTCATGTGAATCATTGGTGGATTAAGTTTTATGTTATGTTAGCTCACTTCTTTTACTAAGACATGTTGTCAGGATTTACAGTGAAGGTTAATACACAGACTGATACTCCTCTGCAGCTCCTCGTGATTCAACAAAACATCCCTGAAGGTGAATACTGGGCTTCCATAATACTCACCCAACCTAAGGCACATTTTACTCTGTACTGTCACTCCATCTATGAACGCTCTGATGAGAGGCTGAAGGGCTGCTGGAATGGGGAGAATGCTACATTTGAGAGGTATAGGGTTGGATTTGTTCCCTGTGGGTTGCTGGATTGAAATCTGAATAGTGTACAGTAACTGAACCACTTGGACCAGGCTTCAAAGAGGGTGGGTGGGTGAGTGGGAGGGTGGGGGGAGGCTCTGGCTGTGCTCACTGTTTTCTGTATGGTGAGATTGTGTCAGCAATTGTTCTATATTTCCTCAGCGATGTTTAGATTTTTCCACTTTTGTAATATTTGTCCAGATATTTTGGGTCAGGGTGTGTCTACAAACCGGGCTATTTATACAGCTCGCAGGGTCGGTTGAAATGACTAAATTGTCAGACTAATGGAACAAAATTTCACTCAAGGCCCAAACCTCAGCAACCTGTCAACAAAGTTTTGCAATGACATAAGAATAACGGTAAACTGTAAGTTATTCATGTGTCTGAGGCAGTGTGAGGCAGATTATGTGTGTGTTTCGGGTTCTGTAGCCTCCATCAGTAACGTTCATCCGCACAGGTGGAACTGAAGTGACCCACAGTGATGGATCAATGACATGAGTTTCAGTTAAATCCTCGGGGATCAGCAGACATTTAGCTTTATTCATAAGCTCCTTTCACAGCAAAGGCCACTTTTTGTACAGGACTGCAGTCTGAGAGCTGCCAGATGAGGAGTTCAGTAATGAACACTGAAGGTTGTTGTTTGCTTTCGCTGCCTTGAGTTGAGGAGACTTTGTTACCACGGTTTCTTTTTAGACACCAGTGTGTGATGATGTTGGTTGTATAAAGACTTTTCAGGACATCATCTGAAACGTTTGCTGTTTTGTTGCAACATATTTAAGAAAGTAATAGCAGAAACACTGTCAGAAGTCAGATTACAGGAATACAGTTTACAATACAGTAAACAAAATTATGACTTGATGATTAATGGATTGTTAAAGAGCTTGGGAATAACTCTGAATAGAGAACTTTTTAATAATAAGTTGCTAGAGAACAGACTGTGAGATACCATACTAATGAATCAAGTAATGAATTAAAGAATGAGTAGTAAACATAAATATCATAAATATCGACATTCTTTCTTCATGAGTTGTTCCTGACTGACTCTGAACCAGAGGAGCACAAAACTATTAACATCTCATTCATTTCTAATTACTTCATTATTACTGTGGAGATACATCTCACTGAGTAGTTATTTAGTCATCCCTCATTACTTTATGATAATCTGATCATTGCTTATCATTTAAAGCTGCGGGAGGTAAAAACCATCCGCCTCGTATCCCTCTGCTAAGCCCCTGACCTGTGATTGGAAAAAGTCTCCCGTCACTGGGTAAATTGACGGAGTACAGTTTTGTCTCTGATCAACTGAATTACAATATGTTGAAAGGTTATTATGGAATTTTTGCCACGTCAAGGATAAAGCCTCCTACCCCAACTTTAATGAGCCCCCCAAACATAAAGCATGATCATACAAAGATGGCTGCATTCTCAGTGGGTGAAGTTATACCCAATACCATTCCCACGGGATTATTAAAGTATATCTGATTCTGATTCTCATGTCGTTTAAGTATAGAGCCAGAGCTGGGGGGCGATTAGCTTAGCATAGCATAAAGATACAAAACTCCCTCTAAAATCCTCTAAACAAACGTGTTATTTGTTGTGTTTTAGAGCTGTTAGTAGACCTATAGGCAGATTATTGAACTTTGGACAGAGCCTCCAGTCCTTATGCTAAGCTAAAGCTAACCATGTTGTGGCTTCAGCTCTGCACTTATTGTAGGCATGAGTGTATCAGTCTTCTCATTGCTCTCAGCATATTTCACAAATATTTTAATATAAAGACATGCAACTGATTCAAAGACAAACACACTCTCAGTGTTGACAGTTCAGACGAGGTCACTTGAAAAACGTATGTATTCAGCACAGTGTGTACTGTTTTGTGTGATTGTGAAAGGTTGTGTGTTTTGGTAAATATGTTTCCTAAGGTCAAAAGCCAAAAAAAAGCCTTTTATTACTGTTTTCTGAAATGAATAAGCCTCATACAAAAACATTGAGCCAGAAAACAATTTTGTTGTATTTTTGAATTCACACTTTCCGACCTGCTATTGAAACTACAGCTGAGAAGAAGCTCACCTATCCTACTCCTGAAATCATTTCACCTGGAGGAGTGTCACTGTTCATTGTTCTCTCTCCTGTGTATCAACACAGATTTTTTTCCGAGTTGATGGACTTTTCAAACATGAGAAGCTTCCCTGCAGCCGGTAGGTCTGCTCTCCGCTGCTGAAAGGATTTTGTTAGAAACCTCTCAGGAGAACATTTGTTGAAAGCTGAGTGTGTTTGTTTTTTCTTGCCTTTACACATGAATGGCTGCTGTGTGCAGAACAGAACTGAGTCTGCAGCTTCGGCTTGTGCAGGAGATCCGAAACACGCTCCAGATTCCTGCTGGACATGAAACTTGTACAATGTCGACAACATGTCTCCAGTCTGAGCCCACAAATTGAAAAGGACAAATGAAACAAACTCTCTGCGTGGTGTTTATTTTGGAAAAGTGGAGGCATCTTAGATTTTACACGATCCGGGTTTAGAGGAAAAACAAATGCTCATATAGATTTACTTTTACTGAGTAGATTTTGCCCCACAGGAACAAACTTTAAAGGACCAGTTCAACCCACTCACAACTTCACTCTCCCTTTGCCAGCTTGAGGGAGAAACTACGGTCCACAGAAGGTGACCCGCTCCCTTTCGGTTGATTATACACGGAAACATATAGTGACAATGACAAGTAAAGTCAAGGTTTTTCTAGGTTTTATGTGAAAAATAATGAATATAAATAGTGGACATTTTCTTTTTTGTGCAAGTAAATAGAAGTTTCTTAAATAGAAAGAGGAAAACCACCTTGTTTGTAACTTGATGATGAAGCATTTCTTGTTTTGTGGGTTTTGAAAGCTGCTTTCTAACCTCACTGGTCTTTAGCTGATGGCTCATACAGTCTTTCAGCTGAAGTGAAAACCTGAAAGTCTTTTAAGCCGAACCTTACAGTTAAAGTTGACCACAATGTGCTTGAGTATGTCTGTGCATGTTCCTGCATGTGGGCTCTTCTCTGTCAGAATGAGAATAAATACTTCTAAATCTGTGAACTTAGAGAACAGAACAGACTTTCTTCTCACTGAGCGGAGCTGTAAAACACAGCTGATAAAAGACGACGTCCACCGGCAACCAGACCATGGCCGACCTGCGTTTACTCGACACCACTCGAGTCATTAACTGCTGCATTACTCGCATAACTGCTCGGGTGTTGTGACACGTGCCTTCACCCTCTCAAAGAAGTCTTGTACATGTTTTATATGGCGTTGTGACACCATGCACACTGCGCTGGGTCAAACAGGACATGTTCACATGTAGTGTTAAAATAACTTAAAGCCACTGTAGCTCCTTGATAAATGGAGGTTCTTGAGAAGCTGTTATAATTTACACCCTCTGTGGCCAGTTCTGTTTGTGGAGGCAAGGATTAAACTGAAAGAAATACTCTGGAGATTTATTATCACACGTGACTTCACAGGTTGTAGAAGAGGAATGATACAGAAAAAGCAAAAATGTAGCATTAATGATGTGAAATTTCAGGCAACTGTGACATAAAATAAAATAGGATAAAGCAAGTCTAATTTGCTGAGTTTAATTTTAATTTGTCTCTGATTGTGTGTCTATAAAAGACAATTAATTCTTTCCAGCAGCTTGCTTCTAATTCTGCTTATTTTGTGTTTCAATACATCTGATCACACAGTGTGAGTATACTCTCACTCACATATCTGATGTTAGACAACAGCACAAATAAAAAAAGTGATTCAGATATATCGAGAAGAGATCTTTACCCTAGCACTTTTCATACAAGCAAAATGTAATACACACACACACACACACACACACACACACACACACACACACACACAACTCAGGGTTATTACTGTGTTTTTAGTTTTTAGGCAACAATGACAAACCTGTTCTCATTTCCATGTCTTTAAATACCAGCACATTGTCTCTGTGTGTCTCATACAGACAGATGCACAAGGTAGCATAACCTTTAGCATCTATATGAGACGCACCAGGCTGCGTTATGTAACGGAAAATAAGCCAATGCTGAGTTTTGGTTTCACACGGGACACAAACAACGATCTCCTGTATTTGTATTTGTTTGACTCATCCATCCTCCCCAACCGCCTCCATACGCAGACTTTGTTGCTCTGTATAGCCCCCCCAACTTCATAGGATGTTGACAGTAGGAAAAATATAATAGCAGCAAATAGAATAGCACCAGAACTATCCTTAAATACCAGCAACGCCCCTGGACTGGTAGTCTGCAAATGTTAAAGTGGATGTAAATGAAGCACTTATTTGACCCTTACATGGAAATTTCCACATGCCACACCTTAACCTGAGAGCTGTGGGTTTCCACATCCACATGGCTGCCACCTACATTTATCATTTGGGTAGTTTAATGAACTTGGTTGTATGTAACAACCAGCCAGAGGTGGAAACAGTGGCTGACAGCATTTTACAAATAATGGAAACCCACCGGGGGACCCAGAGAGCAGAGCAACCACCAGCAGCTTTGGCAAATGGAAGCCATATGAGGGCGGAGGGCAGCAGAGGGCCTCCTCACAGTGGGTCTTTGTGACAGACCCAGAGGGATAATTTAGATAAATCTGACTGAGTTTCTGACAATCTATACTCTGTTTCAAGTGCATACAAGCTGAAAGTGATGCAACACAAACACAATTTTTCAGTGTAAGTGACCTTCTGCCAAAAGGGAAAAGGTATTTTCATCTCTATACCGACAATATTTGTGCTTCTCCGTGTTCAGTTTGATTATAGAAGAGCCTTGTTTCGTACCCTTCTGTTTATAAAATGCTCTTTTCATTAGCAGTATAGCGACCCACTATGACCCCGCAAAGTTCACAGCAGCAGCAGCAGCTCCAGCTAGCCTGCACACAGGTATGTGACGGTCGGGGGGGTGGTCAAACAGACTTAGGTCTGCACAAAGCTCACAGAAACGCTGACGTCAATGTTGGCGCTTACATCTGCAGCGGCAGCAGCAGGGAGGGTTTGCTCTGTTGACTCTCTGTTGTAGAGTAATGTTGAGTTTAAGTACGACAGAACACCACAAAACTTCCTGTGATTTATGCAACGCAGTATAAGCACCGAAGTGTCTCCACTAGGTGTCGCTACAGCTTCATGGGGGGTCGCAAGGCCTTCTTGATTTTAAAATACATTGTGGGCTCAGATCTCAGCAGTTCATTTATTTCTGCAAAGAAAACTAAAATACGTTTTTAAAGTTTAGATTATTATTTAAGATCTAAACTTCAAAGACCTGAGCCAGTGCAAACAACCAAAGAGCTCGTACATCTCTTCTGTTTGGTCATTATAAACCCTGTGCTGTTTTAGGAAAGGGTTTTTTTGTGGCAGATTGTCTTTGTTTAGCTTTATGGAGACAATATTCATTCTTATCTGCAATGTAATGTGTCATGCAAAAAGTTGGGTTATTTTGTTAATCGTAATTGTAATATTGTAATTACTATTCTGAAATGTTGCATCACCAATACTGTATTTTTAAGATAAGATAAGATAAGATAAGATAAGATAAGATGTTCCTTTATTGATCCTCTGTAGGAGAAATTTAAATCAGACACAGCAGCACAGGTGCAAAAAGTACAAAAAAGAATCACAAAATAGGAATATTATAAAATAGAACAGAAAAAATAAGACTATAATGAAAAATATATACACTATGCAATAGTATATATATATTTATATACATTATAAGGCACATGGACACAAGTGCTTTACCATTACTTTACTGCTACTACTATTAACAACAATAATAATAATAATAATAATAATAATAATAATAATAATAATAGTTTAAGTAAAGAAAACAACAAAAATGTATGTGGGCATAAAACTGAAACGTGTTCCAGGATATGTATAATATTTATGTGTAATAATAAACTCAAAGTCCTGCATTCAAAATCTCTGTTAGTAAAAGAAAATGTGCTTCTAGTATCTAAAGCATATTAAATATGAAAGTAGTCACTAATCAGCATATTGATAACCTGTGTGTGTCACTGTGAGCAGCTGACCACGGTGACCTTTGACCGCTAGAGGCCGCTAACGCTCCGCTCCTCCACCTCCTGTTGTTCCACTTTGCTCGTCGCTGATTGGTCCGTGTGTTTTTTTTTTTGTGTGTGTGTGTGTCACGCCTCCCCGAAACCGTTCTGCTCTCCCATTGGTTGGTTCAGACTTTGGCCATCCGTGCGTCAAACTGCAAAAAAAAAAAAAAAAAAAAGATTGGTTTCACATGCAAAGTGTCAGGAGGAGAGAAAGCGAGCCGATGGCAGCGACGCAAACCTCCGAGCCGCACTGTGAGTTTCACCCTTCAGCTTCACACTCCCCGTCTGAAGCGTGAGCACTGATAACCTTTGTTAGTTTGCTGTTAGAGAGCTCAATGGTTTAATGGAGGAGGAGTTGTTTACATCGCCGAACCCAGCCGGGGCACTAGCCCGGATGCTAACACAAGCTAACATTAGCTTCAGTGTGTTGTGCGCGCTAACCACCTTTTCTCTTTTTTTTTTTTTTTTTTGTTGTTGTTGTTGCGTCAAATAATGTTATTTCTGAGCTCAACCGACTGTGCTGAGCGATAAAAAGATGCTAATATCACCTTTTATTTTTTTTTTTAGTTGAACAGAAAACCTCTAATACGTCCATTTTCTGTACAGCTGCACATAACTTGTTGCCGTGCAGAGGTAACCATAGCATCAGTGTGGTACAGGGGTAACTACAGCCTGCTTCATTACTGTAAGATTATTTTTAGTGCCTTGTGTCTTAAATTCATACAGCTAAATCTGTCTGGACCTCCTCCACTGGGAACATCAGGTGCAGCCAGCGTCTGTGTTGGTTGTTTTTCCTCCCATGTGATTTGTGTTTTTGTGGGACTGAGGTGGGTTTTTTTTGTTTTTTAAAGTCCATCCAGAGTATGTCGAAGCTGTAGTGTTTTATTTTTTAAGAAGTCGTGGAGATATGTTGAGTGTGTGCATGCTGCATTGCTGGCCTGGTAATCAGGTCCAAAGCCAGGGTTTTTAGAAAATACTGAGGTCATTAGTCCAAACCTCCCCCTTCCTCTCTCTTTGTGAATGGACAACAGACACGATCTAGTAACTTAAAGCTGAAAGGATTAGTTGATGGCACTGTTTTTAATCTATTAATCTATTAATAATTGTATTTTCTACTTCCCTTTTGTCTACTGTGATAGTAAACATGGTGTTGAACTGTTTTTGGGGAAGTAAAGTGAGCTTAAAGAAATTGTAATGGACGTTTTTATACATCAAATGATTATCGGGCTGTGCATTGGCAAGAATATGGCGATATACAATTAGTATTACAATACAGGGGTTATGATTCAGTATACTGTAATGCATGCAATTTAAAAATTACGGTTTCTATAACGTCCGACATCATTGCACTCAGTTTACAACATTGCTATCTAATGGTCGGGGGGTTTAAACACAAGGATCGATGTGTTTTTGAGAGTCGATCACTAAATTAAATAGTCCGGTGCAATATTACACCCCTAATTGATTAATTAAAGCCTTTATTTCTTCTTCAAATCAAATGTAAAGACAGAAATGATTGTTATCAGCCTTTAAATGCACATCACTAAAGGCATGTGGCTATTTGAATTCAAGATTACGCAATTAAATACCGCCCACACACCTGCTTCACTCTGCAAGTCTGGTTAGGTGACATTGTGGCAGTCCCAACTGTCAGGTAAATTATATATGAAACTTCCTTAATGCATTTTTTCCAAGTACACGACACTGTGCCTACAGTTAGTGAGATAAAAAATAGTTTTAATGAAACAAGTTGTGACGCAGAGTCAGTCTCCACTGCCCGGACTGGAGCAGATCCTGGCACAGCGCTCTGCAGGAGGCGTCTGAGCCTGCCCCAGCAAAGAGTCCTGAGTCATCTGGTTCAAGGTTGGGTAGAGGTGGGAGTTTGTGAAACAAGAAATAAACAGAAATAAAGGAAAAGGGCACGTTTATGAATGGAAAGTGGTGCAATAGAGATTCGGAAACTCGGGCTGTGATTACATGTACGAGATGAAGGGAGAGGTCAGGGAAGAGAAGACGCTGGACTAGAGTTTATGTAACTTTGGCTCTGTGTTGATTAAGTTGATTAATTGATGAGTCTGAGGACAAAGACGAAAACTATTTTGCAAATAACTTAAAACATTCTCTCGTTCCAGCTTTCTAGGATGTAAAGATTTGCTGCGTTTTTCTTTTTTTCAGTTCACTTTATCATTTTCCCTTTCAAATGCAACCGGACTGTATCAAACATTTATTTTGAGCAAGGTTAAAACAACGTGAAACAAGTTGAAATAATGGGGGTACAAAGATTTCTGCCCCCACTACAGCCTTGCGTAGCATGAAATTGTAGAATGTAAACTGCACCCCGGGTCGCCTAAACCCCAGTCCCATAAAAAAAATAAAGAGGACATGACCTCAGTGTGCTCAGTTGGAGCTATGGCCTTGCTCGTAGCCTGAGTAAGCAGGTGTAATAGAAGAGATTAACTGTTATGCTCAAGCTCTGAAACACTAATCCACTTGGCCATGGAAAGAGTTTATTTTAAATCAACTCTGTGCCAAAATGGGAGTAAGAATGAATTTCTGTATGTTTCTACCACGCTGCAGTTAAACATTTATATTGTAGTTATGCTTAACAGCCGCTGTCTTGACCGGACTGACCCCGGTTTTTTTTTTCTTATTCCTTAGGCCGTAAATGCCAAGGCACTTCAGTAAATGTTTAAATGTAAAGATACCGTCCTCACAAATACTTTTATCAGATGCAGCTGTTACTGTCTACTACATCTTCTTCCCCCTTTTAAAGACGCTTTCCTCAAGAACATTAAGTTGGTGGAAGACGTAAGATTAAACATTGCTGCAGTCGCACAAAGCTTCCTTTTGAACTGACGTTAAAGGTTTACTTCTTAATTAATCGGCAATTTTACAAAGTTCCCAAGTGCATACATCTTAATAATGACAATTTTCTGTCATTGACAACCAGAAGTAGTGAATGTTAAATCCATGCTTTACAGTTATTTGGGAATCCCAGGACGATAAGCAGAGTTCTGTGTCTTTTAGGTCACAGGGACCTTCGACTAAACAAGCAAATTCTGTTTTATTTGTGTTCCCTCAGTTTGAGATCCCCAAGGATTTGGACAGTAATGTGTTTGTTTATTATCTCATTGGGACCCCTTCTGGGGCTGCATGCTAATAACAGTATTTTCCACCTCAAATAAGTCAGGCTTGACCCTTAAGTGACTGTGCCTGATGGTGAATTGGTTTGTTGTTCAGATGGGTGTCTTATAGCGTGCCAGAGAGTAATGAGTAGTTGTGGTTTGTCTAGAGTAAGACGTGCGGTCCGCTGCCTGTCCTGTCTCCACGACTGGCTAATGTTTAGTGGTGACGGAAATGCAGATCAGAGCCGATGCCCTGCAGCACCAGACTGCAGTGTCAGGGTTAAATGTGTAACAGTACAGTAAGTGCAAGTAATTATTGCTTAAAACACACGGCCATTTCTGCTTATAGTGACGCTATATTGCCTGGAATTTGCAGCGCCAGACGTTGTGATCTTTTTTACTGTGCAGTTGAAAGACCCAAATTATCCACACAGCTTAGCATAATGAGACTGTGTTAGGAAGAAACAATCTTGACGCCCTCGTTGTAAAGATGAGCACTGAAACGGATTTGATCCATTTAGATTCAAATACAGCTCGTGGCGGTTCGGAAACAGGCCGATCGCTTGGCATCCGGGATTTCTGCATAGATGGGGTTGTGTCCGCTGAGGTAGATCCTCAGCAATACACCCGGCAAGTGTGAAGTAAATCAGGTGACTGGTTTTCAAGATAAGCCATACATGCATACATACAGACAGATATTCCTTCCTTTATGGTTACACGATGCTGCTACAGTGCCACCTATTGGCCTCATAAAACAAGACCACCAACTGTGGTTGCAATAGCACCAGGCGTTGGGCAGGGCTCATCTGTGCCCACAGCATTTGAGCACAAAAACTATAGCTAGCAATGGGTTGGCTTGTATGTATGAGATTTGTCTGGACCCATGGTGTTTTGCTGCAGCCGGGCCTTAATCCCTGCACACAAAGCTCAGCAGAGTAGAGGAGAGACACTGCAGGGAGTTGGAGAGGTGCAATGGCTGCACTGCATGAAAGCTTTGCAAGTAACACCTGTGTGTTACAGCTGATGTAACACACAGGATTGGACTCCAGTGTGGCTCCATTAATGCCATTGCCGATGAGCTAAGATATTTCTTGATCGGCCTGATACCAATCTTTGAGATCAAATCCGGACTTCCCTAATTCAAGCAATAGAGTTCAGCTCATTTGTATGATTTTTTTTTAACTCATCTTTTCATTCAAACTTTCAGTTGGAAACTACATTCAAACCTTGAAATGTTCCATATCTTACAAACATTTATTCTACTTTTAAAGCCAACAACATTGCATGCATGAGGAGCGTACTGTATGTTTTATAAAGTGACTATTGTGGAGTGCAGCAAGACTGTAACTTGTATTAGGGGCAATGCAAATTACTGTTACTCCATGAAGCAAAATTGCATGAATAACGTTTGATGTTTTGTTTCTCTTGTAGAGTCCTACAGTCAGTCTTGCATATAAATGGAGGAAAGGACTGTCATCAGATAATTGGAGCTGCAGCCTCCAAGTTTGCTAAAGACTGAGAGAAACCCAAGCCAGTCATACGAGATGTGAATTTGCTGAATGAAGAATGAGAAACTTGAGTAACGACTTCATTGCAGAGGACTGACCAGCGCCATCATTTCTCACATAACCTTTTACGTTTGAGCGCCGCTCATTCAGTCTCATTCTGCTCCCCTGCCTCACACACCTTCGTCTACCAGCTCTGCTGCCCAGCCCAGGCAGAGTGGACCCGTCCCTCTCCCCAGGCCTCGCGCCCTCCCATCGGCGGCGGTGTGTTGGTGTACGATGGCGCGGTGGGACGCTGAGGGCTGCCGCGGGGGACTGTGATGTCAGAGCCCAACAGCCCGGGCGAGAGCCGGCGTGGCGCTCCCAGATTCTTCGTGGGCTGCGAGGACGATGAGAGCGAGGTCCTGGAAGACAGCATGAGGACAGACATGGAGCTATATGAGGACGACGAAGACACAGACTCGGTGGGAGATCTGGTTACTATAAACTATAAACCTTCACTCAGCAGGCAGCATCAGATTATCAGTGAATGGTAACATTGTAGATGTAACACACTTTCATGTGACTGTTAGCTAGTAAGCAATCAATAGTTTTGCTGCAGATGGCAAATGTTCACAGCCCCTTGTGTAAGGGGTGGCTAGTAGTCACATGTTAACATCAGCATTGGTTGCTTTGGTGAATCAGTCAGCTGTCAACAGACTAGAGTGTGGGGCTGCAAATGAGACACAGATTTGGTACAAAACAACTTCTAAAGGCTATGGTTGGTACTACAAAGATTTTCTCTCAGTTTCCGAAAAGAGCAGACGCAGCAGCAATCCATCTCAGCTGTTAATTTGTGTAGCCATTTTAATGCAGTCAGTTCTTCAGCATGAGGTTTATGAGAGATTTATGGGACAAAGCTGCCATTGTCTCTCTTGCTCAATCAAACAGGCCATTGAAATGTCGCTCTCCTCTCCCTTTTTCAGCCCCCGGAGCAACAGATCGTGGTGGGGATCTGCTGCATGATGAAGAAGTCCAAGTCTAAGCCAATGACCCAGATCCTGGAGAGGCTGTGCAGGTTTGAGTACATCACTGTGGTCATCTTCCCAGAGGACGTCATCCTCAACGAACCTGTGGACAAATGGCCTCTGTGTGACTGCCTCATCTCCTTCCACTCCAAGGGTACGAACACATACATGCACACAGACAATACACACACATTGATTTTTGTGGTGTTTAATCAATTAATTCCATCAAAATTAGCTCCAGCTGCTGAAAGGCGCTGTGGCCTGGTGGAATTTGGGAGTAACAATGTCTCAGTAGCTATAACTCTGAACTGTTAACATCCTTGAGGTTTGTTTATTGAATCCTTTCTCTGCATGTAAACCAGGATTCCCTCTGGATAAGGCAGTGAGCTACGCCAAACTGAGAAACCCTCTGCTCATCAATGACCTGAACATGCAGTACTACATACAGGACAGGTACTCTGACCTAACTATGCAACAACAAACCTTTTATTTTATTTATTTATTTGTTATTTGACTTATTTAACTCTTATTTTGTTAACAGGAGAGAGGTGTATCGCATCCTGCAGGAGGAAGGAATAGATCTACCACGTTATGCTGTGCTGAACCGTGACCCAGATAAACCAGATGGTCAGTCTGCCAGCTCATTAGTAATATTTGATGAGTTATTTATTCATACATCTTTTTTTAACTTTCCAACATCTCAAACACTATAAAAAGCTGACTATATTCACTTTACTTTTAATTCTATTCTTAAAGCTTATCATTCCTCATGAAAAGGTTCTTAGAAAAGCAGCCCTACAGCTCCTGTCCATGCAGCATCCTGAGGCCATTAATTTTAAGACTGCTTTGGTTTTATTTCAGTTTGTGGATAAATATAGTATCAAATGTGAAGCAGTTGCAAGTGTACCATACTTAAGTGCTGATACGATGGGTCTGTCATTCAGATCCTGTTCTTGCACAGTGACGTAGAGACAGTCCCTGGACTGATGAGCGATCAGATGTTTTATGTCTTTGCCTTCCTTGACAGTAATGACCGACGAACGTCACATGGTTCCGAGTGCAGAGCTGTTTCACAAGGCTCAAGAGTAAACACTCAGTGGGGCAAATGTCCTGTGTGTATATTCTGAAGGGGTAACAAATTAAGGGGCTTACTGGCAAACATTTTCTGTGTGTGTCTCAGAGTGTAACCTGGTGGAAGGAGAAGACCATGTGGAGGTGAACGGAGAGATATTCCAAAAGCCCTTTGTTGAGAAGCCTGTCTGCGCTGAGGACCACAACGTCTACATCTACTACCCCACCTCTGCTGGTGGGGGCAGCCAGCGACTCTTCAGAAAGGTCCTTGCTTTGGCCGTTGTGGCTTGTTTTTTTCAGTCCAATACTACTTTAGTTGAAAGATTGGTGGGATGAAACTGGCAACTAATTACCAAAAAAATCCAAACTTCTGTCCTACAACATCCTAAAACTGTCCTGTCAACACCACTTTACTGTTGCCACAATGCCCACTTATCAATCATTATACTCATACTTGGTTCTTAATGTCGGTTTTGAATCATTAGGCTTTGATCTGAATTTGCTTTTAGACTCAAGCCCTCTTCTTCCTACCAGAGTGCACTTGTGTGTGCCTGAAGCAACAGCACTCATGTTATATTTGGAAAAGTGTTACAGGCCCAGGGCTGGTCTTGACATTTTGAATGCATGTTTTCCTTTCATCTGTTTCATAATAATGACACTGTTAATCAAATGAGAGACTAAAACACACCAGGCATTAACCTGCACCGCTTAATGGCTTCTCTTGTAACGGTACATTAGTCTGTTGCTGTGCCAGGGAAAGAGTTTTCTCATAAATCAGGCACACTGTTGTCAAACATGGAGCCGCAGCTTTTAACTCAGATTGTGATGGATGTTCTGAAGACTATTCAGAGTGCTCAGTTGAACACATGTACTGGACAGCAGTGTTTTTACAGTGACAACATTTTTCACTCACTGTGTGGTTTGTGTAGATTGGGAGCCGGAGCAGTGTGTACTCGCCAGAGAGCAGTGTGAGGAAGACGGGCTCTTACATCTATGAGGAGTTCATGCCAACAGATGGCACTGATGTTAAGGTAGAGTATAGACTATTGATTATTAACAGGAAACCACCCATTCTCCAATGGAATATGAGATGCTTAAAAGGGCCATAAATAGTTTTTTAGCATGTATAGATTTGCAAAGTGGGAGGAGGGATATCTGGTGCCCCGATTGTGAAAGTAGAAGTCCCACTAATTTGACCTGTTCGATTGGCATGAAACTCTGCTTAAGAGACCGCTGAGAAAAAGGAAAATAAAATCAATTCACTTTTGATTTTCAGCTTGTTTTGAATGAATTCAGCAACTATGGTAACATGTTTTGTTCTCAACTGTACCGATCAAGCATTTTGAATTTGCTCCGCTCTGATTTGCTTGGAAGCAGCAGCCCCTCCCACTTCACAACTCATCTGTGGTCATTTTTGCTAGTTCAACCTATAGGATCAACTTTTAGACTGAGAATGATTGATGACTGTGGGTGTTTCATGTGAGCTCAGGTGTACACTGTGGGGCCAGACTACGCTCATGCTGAGGCTCGGAAGTCCCCCGCTCTGGACGGGAAGGTGGAGAGAGACAGCGAGGGGAAGGAGGTCCGCTACCCCGTCATGTTGTCAGCAATGGAGAAACTGGTGGCCCGCAAGGTCTGCCTAGCATTCAAGGTAAACAAAGACATTGTCTTGAAAAAAGTCTGGTTTGTCCCAGTTTACCTTCGCTGTGGAGGAGCATTGCTGATACTGCTCCATCTCGACATGAAAGAAATGTGTCCTCCTCTCCCTTCCCTGCAGCAAACTGTGTGTGGCTTCGATCTTCTCCGAGCCAATGGACACTCTTATGTGTGTGATGTCAACGGTTTCAGTTTCGTGAAGAACTCAATGAAGTACTACGACGACTGTGCCAAGATCCTCGGGTACCATTTTTACTTTTGTCATTCCTCAATCACTGGATGACTTCCTGCTGAGTTTGCTTTGATACATTTCTCTTTCACATCTGTTGAGTGAATGTGTGTCTCATCATGGCCCTTCAGGAACATCGTGATGCGTGAGCTGGCTCCTCAGTTTCAGATTCCTTGGTCCATCCCTACCGAGGCAGAGGACATCCCCATTGTTCCCACTACATCGGGGACCATGTGAGTGGACTGCATTTTTAAAGCGCTTTTCTATTCTACCAACCACTCAAAATGCTTTCCAACCCATGCCATTCATGCACTGATGGCAGAGGCGGTCATGCCAACCTGCCCATCAGTAACAGTTAGGTGTTTAGTTTCTTACCAGGAACCTTGCTATTATTATACGATCGCCTCCCTGAGCCATGCTGCCCCCCAACCAGTGTAGTAATTATAGTCAGTTTAGTAATTTGTTTGCAGTGGAGGTGTGTAAAGTGTACTTCAGATACATTTGAATGGTTCATTAATTATTGTATAACTTGTCATACTTTACCTAAATGAGCTCACAGCTGTAGCTGGACTTTCACGGTCTAAAAAACTGAGGCCATGTACTGTAAACCACTTAAATGAGGATAAGCAGTGTAATTAAGTGGACTTGAAGTTCCCTTATTCAGTGGTTCTTAACATAGGGCCCAGGCGGACCCCCTTGTGGGGATTCCAGGAGGGGGTCCCCAGAAAAATTAGGAATATTTTCATTTCATTATTATTTCATTGACCAGAGGTTAGTTCACAAGTTAAACTGCCTGTATCCTGTAAACTCTTTGTACTGGTTATTATATGAGGTAATATCTGACCACACACCAGTCTCTACAAGTTTGAGCCTGAAATTAGAATAATTAGAAAGTAATTCAAATCACTGAAACAGCCGAAGTCTCCCAACAGTTTACCTTTATCATAACCTATTTTTAAATGTTGTACACTGTTGAAAGGAGGAGTGAAATAACAGTGTGTTGAAAAGAGGAGTCCATTTATTGTTACTGTGGAAGTTAACTTACTCTTGCGCTGTTCAGGATGGAGCTACGTTGTGTCATCGCTGTCATCCGCCATGGAGACAGAACGCCCAAACAGAAGATGAAGATGGAAGTTCGCAACCCCATGTAGGTTGTCTTTGTTAGTACTTTCCATTTTACTGCAAAGACCCATTCAATACTTGTGATTAATTTAAAGTTTGCCTTTGACTCATCCAGGTTCTTTGATCTATTTGAAAAATATGGAGGATACAAAACTGGGAAATTAAAGCTGAAGAAGCCGAAACAACTGCAGGTAACAATAAGTCAGACAAAGGCACGTTTGTGTAGGTTTCACCTTGTAATAATGAACTCGGACATCTCTCAGCCTCTGTGTGATTGAGATCTCTGACAGATTGTTGCTCTGAACCTCAACAGGAGGTGCTGGACATCACACGGCAGTTGTTAGCAGAACTAGGACAGCACAACGACTGCGAGATAGAAGAGAAGAAGTCCAAACTGGAGCAGCTGAAGACTGTTCTGGAAATGTGAGTCACAAGTAAACCGGGTCACTTTATTAAACACTTTATTAGTCCCTGATCTCATTTTAATTAAATTCATTTCCAGGTCATTTCAGCCAATTTTGTTAAACCATGATAGGCTGCAAAAAAGGAATTACAGAATTTTAAGCCTCACTTTCTGAAGCTCACCTTCCTGTTGAACATCCTGAAAGTGGTTTGGCAGTCTTTCTTAAGTTTGTCTTTGGCTTCCTCCTATGCTAATGACAAATGACTTTTTAAAAGGTCACCATCTGCCATACACAACTCCAAGAGTACTTGTGCCTTGGCTGTTATGGTTGCAGTGTCTGTCCTGTAAACAGCCTCAGGACAAATTAAGGCTATTGTGCATACTTACTTCAGTAATCTTAAAAACACTACAGAGACAATATTTATCTTCACAGCTGAGTGTGACATATGATAGTTGTATTTTGATAAGGGATTACTAGCATGGAACTGCATATCCTGATCCTGTTTCTGCACTAGTCAACACCCCTGTGATAGCAGTCATCATTTATCATTAGCTATGGCAGTCCTTCAGTTTGTCATCAGAGGCATGTTTCCATAAATAGCTTGAACTTTTAATGATTCCAGATTTTCATTTTCTTGCTAAAATAAAAGGTATGGCCACTTCTCCGGGATCAACAGAAAAGTGCAACTAACTTACCTGCCCCATGGGCAGCCCAAAACCTCAAGTGAGGAAGAAGGTAGGAAGATATTTTAGATTTTATTCTCCTCATATTCAAAGTAGGATGTTGCCAGACTCAAGCTGGCCAAAATACTGAAGTGACTGCGGTGTTCTGGGTTCGGTTTCAGACACACGTAAGGAAGGTCCGTCTCTGCTGCTGGTGCTGAAGTGGGGAGGAGAGCTGACTCCTGCTGGCAGAGTACAGGCTGAGGAGCTGGGAAGGGCCTTCCGCTGTATGTACCCTGGAGGACAAGGTGAGACACACAGCAGGGTTTCCTCCTGAAAAACTTCATGAAGTATTTAATTCCTCTTGCTGGTATAAAATACCCTTCACTGCTGCCTGAGGATTAGTAAACAGCTGGTAATGAATAACTAAACTTCATATATCTGTGATCAGTGTTGGTTTAGAAGGTGTTCTGTTAAAGCAACACATTTATTCAGCACAGAAACAGCCACATTCAAACCACCATCATCACTGCTTTTGTTAGTGCAGTATGAGACTTTGGCCTCATGTTTGAAAGACTTTGAATTGCTTATTGTGCCACCACACTGAGCAGCCACTGATCCGTATAAGGTCACAACGAGAGGCGGGAAGAGGGGCATGAAAAGTGGGTCAGAAATACAATTTGAGTTGTGTTTGTTTCAGACACATAAACAAATATTAATGTGTTATTGTATGCATTATTTATGTATGTAATAAAACTATTTTCTGATAATGTATTAGCTATCCTAAAATAAGTTTGTATTTTAAATGCTGTGCTACCCAGATACAGCTTATCTCCATATTGCTGTCTCTCCCTCTCTCCTTCTTTTTTTCTGCTGTTCTCATTACTTACTTACATACATCTGGTGAAACACTTCAGGACAGTAGGTCTGGGCATTTTATAGATCAAAGAAGTGAGTCTGACCAAAGGAAATAAGATACTGCAGTGATAGAATCAAATCCTTGCTGCAAAGAAAAGAGGCAAAAAAGCAAAGGCCGTATGAGGATTAAAAAGTTAAAAAAAGATGCATTGTTCTTCTAAGACATAAAGGTTGTTTAGGCTTTTTACCAGCGAACATTAGCATCAGGACGAGGAGTTAAACAAAGAAAACCTGGACAAGGAAAGTGACATTCCTCATTACAGCAAGGCAGACAATCACAGGATGTTTTAGTCCAGTAGCAGATGGGTCACGGAGCGGCAGCTGGGGTGCAAAGAGTTCAGCTAGCTCTTGTTCAAAGTGTAAAGTCAGTGCCAACACAGTAAAGTTTTATTAAAGAAGAGATCCCAAGTCACAGTCAGTTAATACCAAGGTGTCTGTATTAGGACTGCAACTAACATTTATTTTCATTATCGATTTTAATCTGTTGTTATTTTCTTCTCCAGTAGTAGATTAGTTAATAAAATGTCAGAGAAATGTGAAAAATGTTGGTCACTGTTTTCTAAAGGCCAAGGGGACATCCATAAATGACTGACTTGTTTTATCAAGCTAAAGATATCAAATTTACTGTCATGGGTGAAAGAAACCAGAAAATATTCACATTTGAGAAGTCAGAAGTCAGAGAAGAAATCAGATAATTTGTTGATTTGTTGATAACTAATCGTTGCAGCTCTAGTTTATGTAATCACTAATGTTGTTGTTGGCACTGTGTTCATGTAGGAGACTATGCTGGCTTTCCAGGCTGTGGTTTACTGCGGTTACACAGCACCTACAGACATGACCTGAAGATATATGCATCTGATGAAGGCAGGGTGCAGATGACGGCCGCAGCTTTCGCAAAGGTTTGGAGTATTCTAGTATTCTAACATCTGATACAAGATAAACATTTCTCTTCTGTTGCTCTGGATCACCATTGATTGATATTGGCCCATCGCAGATAAGGTACTATATTGGCGTATATATGATATCCCAACAGTTTTTTCCAGTATGTAATGCAGAAAATGCAGAATTTTTATCTTTAGAGAAATATCAACAGCTGTGTGAGTCTGGAATTTGTAGACATGAGTAGATAAAACAAGCTAAAATGTATATGTTCGTTGAAAGGAGAGAGAAGAGTGCCACCTGTAGAATTTAAAATGACATTCACAGAGAAAAGCAGGTGTTCTGAAAAGGAAATAAACCTTCTCTGAGCTAGTAATTTTTGCCTTTCAGTTTCTTTGGATGAGAAAAGACTACTGAGCAATATCCAGTTCTGTCAGCTGCTGATGTGTAATAACTGAAACTAAACTGTTAGCATATTATTTGGTGAACTGTGTTTGATACAGTATATTTATATAGTGTAGAAGTGACTGTTAATGTCAACAGGATCAGTCATGTCACAAACTGTCATGATATTTTGTGTCCCAGTAAAACAGCTCATTCTAGTTAAGTATGAAGTATTGGCCACGCTGTTGACAAATGATCTAATTATCACTCTGCATCGAAAGACAGACGAATCACAGATTACCACTTCATTTTGTTTGTGTCTGTGTGTGAGCAGGGTTTGCTGGCTCTGGAGGGTGAGCTGACACCCATCCTGGTGCAGATGGTGAAGAGCGCCAACATGAACGGGCTGCTGGACAACGACAGCGACTCGCTGAGCAGCTGCCAGCACCGCGTCAAGGCCCGACTGCACGAGATTCTGCAGAAGGACAGGGACTTCACAGACGAAGACTTCGACAGGGTGATTAGTTAACTGCGTTAAACACCCTCAGCTAAACACTTGTCTGCCCTGTAAGGGCCTGAGGAGGGAAGGAGGGAAGGCGTTAAATCTGTAGACTTGTGTGAACTACCATTGAGGCACTCATAACTGTTACTTACTGTTTAGTGGTTATATGTACATGTTTGTATGCATATTTAATATCTTACTACTACAGCTACTCCTCCCAAACTGTAGCTTTAAATAGTAATGCATTCACACTTAACCTACAGATTAAAGTGTTTCCCACAGTAATTGTTGGACTGGTTGATATGTAGAGACGTGGGGCTAACCTTTTAATCTGGGTACCTAATTGTCTGTGTCCATATTCTCCTTTGATCATTCAGAGGATTACTAACCTGTCATAATGAAAGCAGAAGGATTCCATTTCTTGAGCTAACTGTAGATTAATTATATACCTTCATTTTGCTTTGTTAAATTAAACGACAAAGTCACACAAATTTTTGCAGTCTAGCAGCCTTGAGCTTTGGAGGTCTTTTGTAATGTGAGAGTAGTCAGTATTCATTTGTTCTGTGTGATTTGGTTTTTTTAATGAAAGTGCTTTTTCTTTGCGTGCTCGTGTGACAGCTGGCCCCGACCTGCAGTGCCTCTTTGGTGAATTCAATGAAGATAGTCCAGAACCCAGTGGCCACATGTGACCGGGTCTATGCCCTCATTCAGAGCCTCACCTCCCAGATCCGCAAAAGGATGGAGGACCCCAAGTCGGCTGGTGAGCAAAATCCTCTGTTAGCTCTTGAGCAGGTTCAGACCAACAGTTATAAAAAAATTAAATAATTTCCCTTTACCTGCAGATATTTGAATTACCCCGATAATTATCGTGCATCCCTACTAATACATGCTGTGAATAATCTCCTCACTTTCTCACTCACCAGACCTGCAGCTGTACCACAGTGAGACGCTGGAGTTGATGCTGCAGCGGTGGTCCAAACTTGAGAGAGACTTCCGCATGAAAAACGGCCGCTACGACATCAGTAAAATACCTGATATTTATGACTGTGTGAAGTACGACGTTATCCACAATGCTACTCTGGGCCTGGAGGACACGCTGGAGCTGTTCAGACTGTCGCGAGCTTTGGCTGACGTCGTCATCCCACAGGTGAGTGAGAGTGAGAGTGAGTGATAGAGTGAGGGGGGGGTTGGAGGGTAGGAGGGATAGGGGTGTTACATCTGCACTACTGCAAGGAAACATTTTCTTGAGCTTTTTGTGTGTTAATTCTAAATAGACACATTTTATTTACTTATTTCTATCAAAGTAAGTTTGTTACAAAGTCCTTCATGTTTAAAAAGGCAAAAACAAGATATGCATTAAAATGTAATAATCAAAAACTTTGAAATACATACATATACAAACATTTGAACTGTTCTCTTATACATTAAAATAAAGTTTTGCTGCTAATTTAACCTCATTTTCTATATCATTGACATTTTCTCTGGTATCACCTTGTTATTAAGACTTCTTTAAGATCAATGAACTGGTTTAATATACTGTGAAAAAGGAATTATTACCCAGAGTTTAGGGTATTAGTTATTCAGCGGTTGTGTAGTATATCTAGCTCGTTTCTCTGTTTTTGCAGGAATATGGCATAAATAAAGTGGAGAAATTGGACATAGCATACGCCTACTGCCTCCCACTGGTCAGAAAGATCCAGCTTGACCTGCAGAGGACCCACGAGGATGAGTCTGTCAACAAACTGCACCCTCTGTAAGTCTGGGATCAAGAATAAATTTGATTTAATACCAGGCTGTTTAGATGGGAAGACATGATGCAGAGTGTTCGAACTGGCTGTTGAGAATATTTTGAAGCATCTAGAACAGTGGTGTCTTGTTCGCAGGTATTCCCGCGGAGTGATGTCTCCTGGGCGCCATGTCAGGACACGTTTATATTTCACCAGTGAGAGTCACGTCCACTCCCTGCTCAGCATTTTCCGCTATGGAGGCTTGCTCGATGTAAGCAACCAAACATCAAACCTACAAGACTTTAAATGTTTCTCAGATGGGGGTAAAAGTTGAAACTGAGATTTTCTGTGTGTGTGTGTGTGTGTGTGTGTGTGTTTGCAACAGGAGGAGAAGGACCAGCAGTGGAAGCGTGCCATGGATTACCTCAGTGCTGTCTCTGAACTCAACTACATGACTCAGATTGTCATCATGCTGTATGAGGACAACAATAAGGTAGTGTTGTTTTTCCTTTGTATATTATTTCTTTTTGGGATGTACAGCTGTACAGCACATGTACAATCCTGCTGCCTCACAAGGTAACGTGGGCAGCAGGACTGCTTACAACTTAGCAACAGTTGGTGGCAGTAATGCCCCTCTAAGCTTGTTTGATAACCGCCGCAGGAGAAGAGAGTGACAGGAAAACATGGAGGAGGAGAGTGAAATTGTAAATACAGATGCGGGAAGTTGTTTTTGGTAAAAGATGATCATATGTGACAAAGTATGGCTATTTTAAACCTATTACTTAATTGAATTTACAGTCTGTATGGTGATGGTGATATATACTTTTACTGTGATAGAAGATTTTGGCCATATCACACAGCCTTATTTGTACCAAACAAAATGTGACCATATAACCAATTATTGAAAACTGGAAGTACCAGAAGTAATCATCCAATGTTTGCTCAGAATTGTACCATTCTATGTTTTAGAGTTAATTTTATTCAAGCAGAGTTCTTGTAAGGCTGCTTGTGTTGAAGCCAGATTTAACAATTGAGAGAACATTTTATATTGATTTCCATTTACATCAGAAAATGTATCATTCAACTTCAGGCATCATGCTTGAGAGAGTATCATAGCAACATCTCCATTTTCTTCCTGAAGGACATCTCCTCTGAGGAACGCTTCCACGTAGAGCTTCACTTCAGCCCTGGTGTCAAAGGCGTTGAGGAGGAGGAGAACGCACCGACCGGCTTTGGCTTCAGGCCCGCTTCTGCAGAGGTAGCACGACAGGTAGTATCACATCCGAGCATTTTTGCCACACTTGTGTCCCTCAGATAGCAGCATCTCTATTTTCTCTGTTCACTCAGAACGGGCAGAAACAGACGGATCCCGGCAGCCTGGAGGACCTCTCACGAGATGAGACCGACCGCGCCGTGCCGCTGTCTGAGCCGATCACCATTCAGAGGAGATCCCCACTCATACGCAACCATAAGACAGGATCCATGGAGGTGATGCAGACTAATCTTCCTAGAGTTAAAGTTTGATCCATGAAAACACTGTCAAATATCAAATCACTAGTCTTTTTAGCTATTTGCCTCCACAGAGATTTTTTTAGTTGCTCATATAATCAGTGTGCTTTATAGACTCAGAGCTTCTCTTCTAGGTTTTGGCCTCTCCTTTTGCCCAAGGTCATATTTCATTCTGCAAACTAGCAGCCAGCAATGGAGAATGGTGCATGATATTGAATACTCTCAAGCTACCTTGTTCCCACTCTGATGGTTGTGTGTGTATCTTTTTTACCACCAGGTTCTGTCAGAGACATCATCCTCCAAAGTAGGCAGTTATCGCCTCTTCTCGCTCTGCTCACGTCAGTCCCCTGAGATGAAACAAAGTGGATTAGGTAGGTGTCATAATGCCCCGTTTCCATGGCAACTGTGTGTATAGATTACAGTGTGAAATTGGCTCAGAGTGGGAGGGACGGGCGGGACAGGTTTCATTAGATGACTTTTGATCATTAATGGAAATGATACACTCTGACGGATGTTTTCACTGTGTGTGGAAATGCATGTGTGCAGCTGGTATTTACATAATTTCTCCAGATGGAAATGTACCTGTGTGTTTTTTATGCATTTGCTTGTTTTTTTGTTTGTTGAGAAAACTAGTTTAAATACAGCATTGTGTTTAATGATAAAATGGTGGCTGCATTTTCTGCCTGTTTTGAGATGTAAGTCAGTCTTTAAAAATAATTTCATACCGGACAATATTCCAGTTTCGTAAATGGAATTTGGAATTCAAAGGCAGTGCCTGCTTTTAAATCTTAGTGCTCCAGTTTACCAGGTCAGATATTATCCTCCCGCTGGAATAAAATGTATTTTGCATGGAGAATCTCCACTTGTGTTTACAAAATGGTCTCAACGTCCAGTTGTGTTGTATTTATGTGAACTAAATGTGATGAAAATCATGACATTTTTATACCAGTGGCATGTTCAGATACTCTACTGAGACATTTAAGTGTTAACCTTCATGCAGGTCTATACAGATTAACATTTCATTGCCTCCTCTTTCCATCGCAGTAAGCCTCCCCCTTAGACGTAATCCTGATAGATTGACTGACTCTGCAGGTATTTAGCCCTGATGCAGTGGCTGTTAAAAGAAAAATACCCCCCAAGTTGCACGTCTGTGTCAGTTTTGTTTGGTGGTTCGTATTTCACTGTAATGGGATGTGTGTTGAATTATGTCAAGCACATACACAGTGGTGCAATCTCTGCTGTCTAAAACATCAGAGATAACCATCAAGTTTTTGAACCATCAACAACTACTTCTTTTTTGAGCTGCCATCTGCGCTGTTGGAAAGGTCCGATCTAATTTTGTTGCTTTTGCCTTTAACTATTTTCTCTTTCTATGCTACTCTGTTACACTCTCTGTTGGGACGTACTAATGTTGAGACAGAATTGCACTTAAAGGTCCAGTGTGTAACATTTAGGAGGATCTATTGACAGAAAAGGAATTTAATATTTATAGGTGTATAACCACCTGAAAATAAATAAGAATTGTTGTTACCTTTTTAAATGAGCCGTTTTTATCTACAGAGTGTGGTCCACTTCCCCTGGAGTCCTCTGTGTCGAACGGTCATGTTTCTACTAGGAGTGAAAGAAAATATAAGTATTTTAATGATACGTTTTGTGATACTTTATCAATGCTAAGAAATATATTCTTGGCTGTGGTTCATTTTGTGTTGTGTTTAAAACCAAGACCACTAAATAGCAGTGTTGTCATTTAAGTGTTCCCCTCCAACTTAAACTGAGACAGGAAGAATTGTGTGGATTTTATGTATATATTCTTTATACTATGCTAGTTTTCCCAAAACTAGATTTAAAATAAATCTCCATATATCATATAAACAGTACTGCAATATATAGAATTGTAAAAGCTGTATTGTGGTACATGTCGTATAACCAGATTCATATTTAATACATGCTTGGAAGACGAGTGTTACTTAGATGGTTGCAATCTACGACCACTAGATGCCACTAAATTTAACACACTGCTCCTTTAATGCATTGAATGTGTCTCACATTAATAAGAAAAACTGAAAGGATGTCAGGGTGGATTTCTCCTTTTTAACCTGACATAATGGATACATTTTAAAAACATTCTCCAGCCTCTTGTGAGAAGCCAAGAGATGGAGAGAGATGTTGGTAATGAGATACAAGGTCTCCTCTGGGTCCTTGTGTCTGTTTTTCTGTCTCTTTTTCTCTGTTTTTCTGTCTCTTTTCTCTCTGTCTCTTTTTGGATAGCTGTTTGAGTAACAGCATGATATGTAGTGGTAACTAACCCCCCCCCCCCTCGCAGGCTCTCAGTGCGCCGGGCTCTTCAGCACCACTGTCCTAGGTGGGTCCTCTAGCGCCCCTAACCTGCAGGACTACGCACGCGCACACCGCAAAAAATTCTCCACTGGCAGTCTGTCCTACAAAGACGGTACGTGTATGAGACCGTGCTCCTTCACCAACCTGCACAGGGCAACAGCAGATCAGTGTCTTACACATTTCCTCTTAGTTCTCAAATGTTATATATTACTGTAGGTTTGACATCCTGAGCAATGCCCTGTGCGGAAACTGGACACATGAACACTTTAAGTAGAGATGTGTACTGTAGATAGGTTTAGTAAGAAAATGTATTGGTTACAGTAGTAAAATAAAATGCTAAATAGGAGCAGTTGAAGTTTTTTGCACTGGAAAATTACAGTATGTGCTCTATGAGAAAAGTGTATAGCCGTACATGTATTTAATAGTTGTAATTTCTGTATTTTTAGACTCCATATTCATTCTAGCCACCAAAACCACTGGATTTTCCCATCTTTTTTTTTTCCTCCACACCACTTTGAGTGAAATTGGTGTATTTCTTTTAGCAGTTTGTATACATGCTGCCTCAGGCTCAGTTAAAACCTCTAAACAGAATGTAAACTAGGCTTTATACTATGTGTAATGTGTGTGAAAACCACAACAAGAAACGTGGCATGCTTTACCAAGAGCAGCACATGTAACATCTGCCTCATTAAATTCAGATCCAGATGTATTTAAATATAATAAATGTAATAAATGTACACTTAGTCAGGTTTGTTACTAGCTGAGTAAACTGAAATGTTGCATATGATTATGTTCTTTTTGGCGACTGCAATATTAACTGTGCAGTGGACACTTTTCAGCTTTGGGTGTTTGAGAGTTTGTTAGTCTGAGATTTAAGTCAAAGCTTTATTTTTTCATTCTGAGTAGCAAACTATATTTCTTTTAAAAACTACTGCATGTATGAAGCAACTGTCCATCAGTACTTGTCTGTTAACTGCCCCTCATTCTCAAAGTCATGGTTCCCCTTTTTGTTTTGTTTTTTTGCATGGTTCATGGCTGCACTGACTTCCTATTACAGTCTGTTCAGTGTCAGATTTTCCCATGATTACAGTGAAATCTACACACTGAAGATACACTTGGTTATAGATACAATACAACCAGTCTCTGCTGGCTACTGACATAAGAAACATTTATGATACTTCCAAGAGAAACATGATAGTCTGATGTCTCTTGAACTCTAATAAATTCTGACTCAATAGCAGAAGTCATACAGCAATTTTACATTCTCATCATCCCCTCTTAACTTTCTTTGCACATTTCTTTTGGCTGTCTGCTGATGGAGTTAGAAAGCAGGGGCTGTAACTCTGTGAAAATATTATTCAAACATCTTTTTGAATAATATTATATATGAAAAGAAATTATAAACGGTCAATATTAAATTAATGGTGCAGCATGGCCACTATGCTTGGCCTTGATTGTGCAGCTGACATTGATGTCTGTTGCCGTGTCGTCCAGTAGGTGTCACTGTGGTATTATACAGACCTACAGTCTCTTTTCAGCTGCCATCCTCCTGGTTGTCTCACATGTAGCCTTGCTGTTGGTCTTTGTCATCCATCTTGTTACACCTCATTTTCAAGAATGAAAGGAAGCATTCTCGTCTCGATGCAGTCGATTACGCACAGATTGTGCGGTTTGAGTGCATGCTCCTCCGTGAGTGTAGTGTTGGTGGTGTCATTTATTTATTTATTTATTTTTTTGCATTTATTTCCATGCTGAAGCATCTTAATCCTGATCAGGTTCACTAGTTGATATTTTTCATTGTTGTCTCTGTGTCTCAGTACATGACAGAGAGGCTGAACGGCATTTAACTCTTTACTGGGATTGTTGTTTATCTTGTCATGGTTAGACCTCAAGCAGGAAGAGGAAAGAAAAGCACAAATTAGATCTGAATATTGGGCTTTGTTTTTCGAAGTGTTCTATTTCCTGGCGTGTACTCTTCACCTCTTAAGTTAAAACATTTCATCTCACTTTGTCTTCAGAAGATGTTCCATCCATGTGTTGCCCCACAGCCATCTTCAAACATCTTCAAACATCAGATATCTCACAGTAACTTCAGTTAGTGCTTCTTAATAAACTGGAACACATAGGTGTGATTCTTGAACCACTCATTTGTAAACAGTAGGTGTTGGTTGATCTTTCCACTATTGCGTCCACATTAGACAAGATCAGGGAAATGATAAAACATGATATACAAGTTACTGTGGCTCAAAGTAATACTAGTGAATTTTTTTTTTTTATTTCCTCAGAGTTGTTGTCTATGCCGGCAGTAAAACGATTTTCTGTGTCGTTTGCAAAGTATCCGACTAATGGTACGTCTGCTTCTTTCAAGTATTTTTCCACTTCACCTCCCTTTGTCTTGCATGTCTTCAAACTTTTGTTTTTTGACCTTGGGTTTTTTTTCACATGGCCCTCCAGCATTCCAGGTTTCCGTTATTTTTTCCTAATGATTTAATTTAATTTTTATTTTATTTACCCATATGCTTTGGATTATTACTTTTCTAACACTACCTGACATTCTCTTTCTAACCAGGGTTCCCACTGGTCATTGAATTTGTGAAATATCAAGAAATTAGAAGACAGGGAATGTCAGCAAAGTTTTACATGGGCCGAGATATAAAACTAATATAAACATCTTCACATCGATTATACCTGTTAATAAAACACCACTATCGGCAGGGATTAATGGGAATCATTTCCAATATGCAGTCTTTTAGCACCTTTACCTGGTAACTATTCACTTCATAGGCAAAAACCATGGATGCTGTGGTATTTTGATTTCTTAAACATTGTGTATACGAGTAAACAGATGATGGATTAGATGAATATACGATTCTCCTGGCTAGGTTTCTCCTGGGGAAAGTCAGTTTCTAGGGCTTGTACAGTATATGGAAAAATAGTATTGGAACATCTCTAGTGATAGTGACCCGTTCTCATCTTGTATAAGTAAGTAACGTATTCAGAGACATTGTGTGGTGTTTACATGGCGTTTACCAGGGTTATTATGGCCTTTCCCATGCATACCTCTAGCTGAACTCTGAGGCTGAAACCACTTCCTCGTACACTCATTCACTACTCCCCAAATTAATCACACAGTAAAGAGTTTGTTGAGGAGTTAATTGAGATTTCGGACCCTTACTAATCATCATCATTTTGCGTCATCACTGCCAGGTGTAGAGTCGCACAAGGGTTAATTTTCTCATCTTTAAAATGCAGGAGGGACTTTTTTATTATTCATTTATAGTGGATAAATGTGCACACTCAAAACTCGAACAACACTTGTAGTACAAAGACCAGCTTTACTGTGAGACCAACGCGATTTGTCGTCCGCTTTACTGCCGGTGTTTTCCTTTTTAAAGTTACATCAGCTTAGTGTTTTGTTACAGGGCCAGCTGGAAAACCATTTCTGAAGGTTGATGTCAAAGATTTTAATAATATCAGCCCTGATTTATTTATTCAAAGGGCCACTTTAATTCAGCACTTTGCACTTTCATAAAGTTCGGGGACTTGCAAGAGACAAAGAAGGTTCAGAATCGAAGCAGAAAGAAGATATCTTGACTTTTAGTTCTAAATAGACTGAATCCAACACTTTTAAAGCAACTCTGTAGTGTCTTTTCTTATCCTCCCTGACTGGTAAATCTCTTTCAAACTTAACACCCTTTGGAACACAGACTTTCTGTTAAAAAATAGTCTCCAAGCTGAGATAATCGTGGTCCTCTGAGCCACAGAAGACATTATATAACTCACAGGCTGAGTAGTCCTCTCTGGGACTGGTAAACCAACCAACAAAAATCAGTGTAAGTCCCCTTTATTTTCAAAAACTTATACTAATAAGAAGTGAATCTTCTTCATGGACATGTGATTGTAAACTAGATTCATCATTTCTTTGTTAAACTGTTAAACCTTCATCCCTCCCTCACTGTTTTCATGTTTAAAAAGAAGCGTAACAATGCAAAGAGCCATATGAAGGAACTGTGTACTGAGCCAAGGGTGGGAACCCTGTTTAACATCCTGCATACAATTTGTAAATTGATCACCATTACATAATAATAATTCAGTATTTTATTTTTTTCCCCAGTGGATAGATGTGTGTGTGTGTGTGTGTGTGTGTGTGTGTGTGTGCGCGTGTGTGTGTGTGCATGTGTACACAGTAGTTACATAAAATACACACCTGTTCCCATCATTGTAGAGGGTGTGAACAAAGCTCATTGTTAAAATGCCACCAACAGCATATGAATGTTTAACCCTTCCTCTGACCTCCGCTTCATGACTCCCTCAATAATGCTAACCTGTAATTTTTTTAATTTCTTTTTAACAAAGCTGCCTGTATTATGTGGATTAAAGGATGAATACAGTTGACTGAACACAGCTGACTGAACCAGGATCAGCTCTTATTGACAAACAGGGGAAGGGTTAAAGCATTGTTCATCCCATCTCCTTTGTCTGTTCTGAAAGAAACATCAGTCAGTTTTGGTTTGATTCATAAGCACACATATGCTTTTCAATGTTTTCAGTGCACAGATGTGGTTGTCCAGTGTGTTCAAGACTTGAAAAGAGGGCAAATATGCAATTATTAATTAAGAAGTGTAATGACTGTGTTTGTGGCTACAACTGCATGTCTCCACTTGTCTATTTTTATTGATTTCTTGAGTATGGACGGTGAGACAGAAGGGAAGCATAGAGATAAGTCAGCTATTTTTCCTGTCCTTCCGTTCAAGACTGGTTTAAATGGGTTAAATGGGTTAAATAGGCAAGATTTGGTCAGTCTGGATTCTGTAAGTCTTATATCTCCGCTTTGGAATTGAATAGCTAAGTTGAATTGCTTTTTATGCATACGAGGAGTTTACTGTCGTTTTGGTCGTTCGACTGGTCTGACTGGCGAAAAATGTTCATCCACATTCACCAAGTGTTTCGGTGGCAAGTTTCTGTGAGAGCCAACCCATAAACCAGAGCAGTAACGTGAACACAACAGTCCACCTTGTAGGCAATTCTGATTTACCCCACAAAATGAACACGATACCATGCAAATACACTGACTCCCACACGCTGTATTAGTATGTTTTTCCTCTGACGTATATTATTCACCACAGGAACACAAGATGACACATCCACCATAGCAGAGGCTCCACCTCTCTGGTGCACTGCAAAAGGTACGACGGCCCCCCAGCGACGCAGTTTTGTGTTGGCGCCGAAATGTCCAGCTGCACCTTTATATAAACAGTGTAAAAAGTTGTCCAAATAGTTTGTCAATGTGGACACGAGATCTGTTTGCACATTGAACAGCTTCTGCAGTGTTTCTGTGGAGAGGTGGCTGCGACACTGTTACCGCTTCCTGTAAGTGTCTTGTGTCACACTTGCTCCTTTGTGGATTCTCAATAATTAAATCAGCGTTATTTTCAGTCGTATTTAGAGAGACCACAGAGGAGCAACGTGATGTTTTTATCGTCACTGTCTTTGTCCTGAGCCTTGCTGAAGTGCTGGATGATTTTTTTATCGCAGAAAGTTGCTTCAGATGATTTGCTGCTTCTTCTGATCTGTGGCTGTTTGGCGACCAGGTTAAGCTGTTGGCTGCCTCTTGCGTTTACAGCACTACCTTCTCTCTCTAACACACACACACACACACACACACACACACACACACACACACACACACACACATTACACTTCTCCTTCCTCCTATTTCCTTTCACTGTATCCCTCCCTTTCTCTCCAAACTCTTATATTCCCTCTCATCTGTATCGTACTTCGGTCCTGCTCTCTCTTCCTTCCTCCTGGCTCATATCCTATCGTTTCATGTCTTTTGTACTGCTCCTCCTCCTCCTCTTCCTCCTCCTCCTCCACTGCTCTGTCCTTCCTCGCTCTCCCTCTTCTTCCTCAGAGCCCTTGGAGGAGCACCATGTGGCCCAGTTGTTGAGGCGTTTCTCCACTGACCTCAGCCTGGGCCGCCACCTCTCTCTGGACGGGGCGCTGGCCCACCACCTCCACCAGTGCTCCTACCACCTCCGCCTCTTCCGAAACTGGCTCATCTCCGGCCAAGACCCCCTAGAGTACCTCCACGGTCAGCCCCTGGCCCCGCCCTCCATACCCCCAGCCTCACGCCCTGTTCAACCACTGCTCACGGTTTAGTTGGGACTGTGCTTGTTCTGTGGTTGACTCTCATGCTTTGCCTCTTGATGTTTCTGCATGCTTGCCTGTTTCTGTGGTTATGCAGATTGCAAGCTGGAGTGGTGTGAGCTGTTTGGGATTTTTGGGCCATTTTTGCAACTACTGTCCTTCCCCTCCACGGTGGTGTCAGTAGCTTTTACCGCTCTTTTTCTCCAATCCGTAAACCCCTGTTTGTAATTCTGTTATTTCTTTCTGTTGTGTTTGAAGGATCATAAATTCTTCAGCCACATTTGTCAGAATTTAACTGTAAGAAGATACGAAAAGTAGGACCACGCCAAACTATATTGCAGATTTATGAAATTATCTGGCAATTATTTTTGCAATTAATTGCAATTAAATTATTAATTGTTTGGACTATAAAATGCCAGAAGATTGGGGAAATCCCCATCACGATTTCCCAGAACCCAAATTGACATCTTCAGATGTCTTGTTTTGTCCGACCAACAGTCCAAAACCCAAAGATGTTGAGTTTACTGTCATAGAGGACTAAGAAAACCAATACATGTTCCCTTTTAAACAGATTGAACAGATATATTTTTGGTGCTTTTGCTTAAAACTAACTTTTTAATAATGATTAATAAAGTAATAGTCTCACCTCTAATCAAAAGTTAAATTGTTGTCATCTGTCACCATGAAATAGAGAATTACAGTAGAGAAACCTGCCACCTGACATTTCATACACATGCATTGTGAATATACTAGAAGTTCTATCTAATAAACCAAGAAAAGACAAACTGGCACTGTTGTTGCACACAGTAAAACAACAACAAACATAATTTCCTTTTCCACAGTTTCTCCAGTTGGTTTAAGATTGAGGCCACAGAGATGGAAAAAAAATGACACCATTTATCTTGGCAGGAAACGCATTTATCACAGCAGCAACTGACAAGGAGGAAACTAATTAGTTTAACAAAACAACAAAAACACAATAATAAAAGCTACAAAGAAGACAGGAGCAGAGTATTCACCGTCGCCAACACCCACTGATGTTTGATACAGTCAACACAGGGCCAACATCTGGCTCATGGAGGGCTGGACAGAGCTCAGTATGTTTGAGTCAAAAGTCATCATCAAATGCTTGGTCATAATCTTAGTCCTGTTTGTTTATTCTTTGATCAGATTCATCCTGATCTAAATCAGGAAACTTTGCTAAATTTAGACTGTATTTTATGTTGACAGAATCCTGCTGCTTGTGTTTTAGACTAGGGTTGGAACGGTTCACAAAATCCACGGTTTGATTCATATCACGGTTTTGGGGTCACAGTTTTAGGTTCGGTACGGTTTTTGGTAATCTGCATGGAGAGGCTGTTCTTAAATGCCGCGGGGAGAAGGAGTTGCTCTTTCTAACCAGACTCTCTCCTCCTTGTGCTGTTAACGGACGCACGGGTGTGATGTTGATGTTCATCATATTGGAAGTATTACTTGTGCTTGCACACAGTCGCCGTTTTATGCACCACTTTTTTGCACTAAATGCGTAATACTGCAGACAGAAAAAGATAAAAGCGGATCCTTTTACTCTGTTTTGTCCAGTTGCCATTTCTAAGACTGATTGAAAGCTGCACTCCGCACTTCATCCAAGAAGTTTCACTAAGTTATAGGCGCAAGGCTTTTTTCTGCCTCATACCACATATTTCAGATTAACATACACGCTCTGACCCGTGACTAGCCAACCAAATGGTTCCGATTTTTTGCTTAAACCAGTCCATCCCTAGTTTAAAAAGTATTGAACACTTAAAATGTTGGTTCATTGTTTCACATGTAGCAAGGGTTTTGTAGAAAAACATGTTTACATTCCTCAAACTATTGGTATCTGTACTGAAACTCTGGTGTACCCACCTATATACAGCATACAGTAGAAGCGATACAGAAACATGTACAGTATCAGCACATTCCTGCACAAACATGTATATAAATCAACATATTGCACATAGCATCATATTGGCAGTGGGTTCTTGACAACATAATATATGAATATTTATATGTTTAGGCGACACAGAAACAGATTGATGCTGCTGACAAAGCAGCACCATCTTGGCATCAAGCTGTTCAAGATTAAAGATTGTTTTATACTTGGAGCTCTGAGCAGATAATCTATCATCACCAGCCTGAACCTCCATGTTTGATAAGGATACAGGAACTGGTGTTAATAATCCACATCACATTCAACTCTGTGCATTTAGAATCTGTTTGAATTAGATTTGAATGCCAGTTGCCCTCCTACCTGACCTTAACCAGCATGTGATTCCTGCTTGTTCACTGTACATCAGGCGTACTCACCCTGTGCAGTAAAAACGTCCTGCTCTGAGGTTTTAGACGATGGCGGCGAGCTGTGGTTTGACGCTTTGTGATTGTGAACGGCTCTGGTGAAGTGTGGCTTGGTTGTGAACTAACAGTGGATGAACTGCCTTTGATAACTTGTGTTGGACCTGAGATTCAGTCTGGACAGCTTTGACCGCAGTGAGCTGCAGCTTCTTTGTGTTGGGACTGACCAGAAAGGCAGACGTTAAGTTTTGTCAGATCTGCTTGCTTTTTGCAAACACAGCGAGACGTTTGAGGTGTGTAGACTTGTTGCCGTTTGATATGGTGTCATGTTGTCTTGGCGTCCAGCATGGTTTTTGCAACTTGCCTGCGTGGAAATGAACGGTAGAGGCTGGCAGGAGTCCACAGCGGGTTAGGGCCCGTTCAGAAACAGGAGCAGGATTTCAGAGCACCGTGTTGAGGTGTAGTGTATGGGTGGCATTGGGGCAGCGGTGTCGGGTGACAGCTGAAGTGGTTCTTCCTGCTCCTCTTCTGACTGCCCGGTCTAACTGAGGGCTGATGTGCCTGCGGGCGTCGTGTCTCTCCTCTGCCGCAGGCTTCGAAGGCTGCTCCATGGTGCCCTCCATCTATCCTCTGGAAACGCTGCACAACTCGCTGTCTCTAAAACAGGTCAACGAGTTCCTCGCCGGCGTGTGCGAGAGCGCAGGGGATCCACACACGAGGACTACCAGAGGTTAGAAACAAACATATATTCATGTTGTTCTTGTCATAATTGCTATCACTTAACTTGACCGGTGGTCCTTGCTTTATCCCTGCAGCTCTGTCAGCCATGTTTGAGACACACAACCAGCCGTCAGTGGACTCGTACATCCCTCAGCGAGTCCTCACATCCTCCATCTCTCTCAGATCTCGTTCTGACAGACCCCCTTGGTGTGAGTATCGCAGCATCTCCTTGTTCGCACCAGCATTTGACATTTCTAGGTTGGTCTCCCTCGGCGGTCTCAGTTTCAGACGTCTGTGGATTATTTATGGAATACAAGTCGTCCATTACAGCCTCACAGTTATTTAGTGCTGCCTGTCATCTTCTCAGACTCCACAGAACCCAGTGAACCGACACACAACACTTCTCTTGCAAATTCTTTTACTTTTATGTTCGTTTCCATGTTTAGCTAAATGAATCAACAATGAAGTTCTGTCTGTATTCGTATTCGCTCTCATACTGGTACTGTGGGTTTGTTTTCTGTTCCTGCAGACAGCAGCGGTCCATCCAGCACAGTATCCAGCGCGGGACCGTCCTCTCCCACTACAGCTGACACTTCCCCACGTTTCAGCTTCAGTGATAAGATATCCCTCACCCCTCAGAGCAGCGAGGAAACTCACTCCTCGCAAAACATTTCCACTCAGCCGGTGTCCGCCGCCGGATCACAAGTCCTCGACCCAACTTGCTCTGCTGTTACAAACCCTGGTGAAGTTCCTCTGACTCCAAATAACTCACCGGAGGATGATGCTGAGCAGTGCACTGTTACTGCTCACCAGCCTGATAATCCTGAATGCACACAGGAAGGGCCAGAGGAGGCTCCTGCAGCCGATGATACTGCCAGCGGTGCAATTTCAGATCCCAGCCTGAGACCCCCCTGCTCTGCGTTAGCTGAGCTCACTCTGGGCCGGATGGAGGGTTACTGCCTCCCAGGCTCTCTGCCCGTGCTGCTGGAGCTCAGAGAGAGCAGCAGCGAGGCGGGCTCCAGCTCCCAGACTCCCCAGTCTCCTGAGGGACCTGATGAGTTCTTTGACACACAGGAGTCGTTGGAGTTGTGGATGGACAGTCCAGAAAGCCTCCCGAGTCCCGAGGCGCCTCTGGAGGTCGGAGCCACTCACACAGCAGAGCCGTAGGGCGGCGAAACCTTCAGAACAACAGGCTTCAGATCCGTCAGAAACTACTGTGGTTACATTTGTAACTCTACAAGCATCATCCTCGTCAATCATGAGCAGTGAGGCATTGTACTGAGCTACAGCCAACCGGGCCTCCCATGTCCCCTCGATGACTGTGTGTTGAGTAATAGTCACTGGGCAGCTGGTCCTCACACTAGGCTCTGCGTTGGAGAATCGTATGACAATGCCCCACATGCTGTTCATTGCCTTTTTAAAAAAAGCACACTATTGACCCACCAGTGACACCACTGAGCCTCCTCTGACAGTCCACTGGTTCAGTCCATCTATCTGTAAAGATGTAGGAAGCCACTCGTTATAAGGTGAAGCTTTATTCTTAAATTTAACAGCTGTGTTACCGTTTCGTGCATGCTGTTGCACAAGCCCTTTCCTTAAAGCTGCATTAATCGATTTGTGGCCACTAGGGTGCAGAAACGCCTTGCAACCCACAGCCCTGACCTGTTACTACCTTACTAAGCTGTTATTGCTCAGATTTTAGATATCAGTTGCCTGGTTACACATCCAGCAGACATGGGACAAAAGCATCATCCCACTGGAGTCTTGTTTGTGTCCACGTGATGAATAAAAGTCCAATTTCCACTCTACTTTTAGCTCTGGTTTGCTCTCCACCAACTGAAGAAGAATATTAGCTGCTGGGAGTTCCATTATGTTCACCAGCTAGTCTCTAAACTTTGTCTGCCTGCCTTTTTTTGTCAGGCAAGTAGTGTACAGTGGATTTATCCAGGGGTTGATGAGAGCATTGAGTCTTAACCATACAGAAAAATAGGCTGTGGAACTAAAAGAACATTTCAGTTGATTCATTGTGACCATAAAAGTTATTGATTAATGGAGCTTTAAAGTGTGTAAAGTCTGTCTCACATCTTTCTTACCTTCAGTCCTTCCCCCCTTGGACAGCTGCAGTAGTGAAGTTTTAGTCTTTGCATGACCAACTTCCATATCGTCCATCGCAGTCAGGTGACCGATATCAGCCGTGCTTTCTGCTTCCTTTGTTCGAAGAAAATACAATCTGTGGCTCTTCTGCTCTTCATCATATCAGCGTCTGTCCTGTGCTGAGCTTCTGTGGCGCTACATGTTTAGTACCTGCATCTGTGATTTAAGAAAAACAACAAAAGCTGAATGACAGCAGCTGAATCTTCATTACTGCCAGTAAAATATATAGTGTTCAATCTCCAGGTCAAACCGTGTGTGCACTGCTTACTGCCAAAGTCCTTAAGCCTCATTGAAGATTTAATATAATCGATAGGAAATTGATAGAGAGAGAAAATAATATTTATTTTGAAATTGCATCTTGAAAAAAAAAAAAAAGAAACTGGTATTTTTGATACCCACATCAGATATTTAATTGTACCATAGCTATTGTATATTTTTTGTAAAATCACCTCATGATGTGGGAAAATCTGAAAGCTAATCTCTCATTTTATCACTGAACAAACAGGAGGGGCATTTTACATTAAATGTGCTTTTATTGTGGCAAGCAGTTATGTAGCAGAGGTGTGTGTTTGTTTGTGTGTGTGTTGTGTGTGTGTGTGTGTGTGTTTGTTTGTGTGTGACTGTGTGTGTGTGAAGGGGGTACACACACACACACACACACACTGAGAAGCAATTCAGGTAGATGAGTACGCTGATGTGCAATCCTGTGTTTAATCAGTGGGACTTGATGTTACATTGTGATGTACTGTAGAGGTGAAACTCCGAGCGGTCGTCCTGTCTGTGAGTACAGATTATCACTGTTTGCTTAAAGGGTCAATTCACTCAAATTACAATTGAAAAAAAGGCCAACAGGGTCTCATTCACCTCTACTGGTTTTCATTTTTATCTCCAACAATGAGGTTTTCACTGTTTGTTTTTTTTTAGCAAGGTTACTGAAATGAAACTTGGGGGCGGGTGTAGCATGGGCCAAGAAAGAAACCCATTAAATTAAAAGTGGATCTGAATCACGGAGCGAATACGCAAATTACTTTGTTAACATTGCAGTTGTAGTGGTATTATTTGCCCAGAGTTTGAGATGTCTGACTCTAATTTCTGTCTGTAGTTGTGGTGCTGAAAACATCTAAACCAGTGTCACATCCAGATGTTTTCCAGGATTATTTAGTCATAGATGTCTTCTGAGTTTGACGACCCGTTCTTTCCTATGAATGTTGCTCATTGGGCGCATACGCTGCAGGCCCACGCAGCCTGAACACCAGAGTCCCTCTCCGGCCGAGCCAGCGGAGAGCGTTTGTGTTTGAAGCTCTCCACATACATTAAAGGACAAAATAATTAGACTTTCCCAAGTTTAATGGCCTTTATGAATCAAATTCATCATTCAAAGATTCATCTCTGAAAAATGTGATAATTTTTGTGGACTTTTTATCCAATCTGTGAGCTCCACAAACCAAATTCACTTCTCAGTGCATCAGAATTGAGGCAGAAATCTCAAAACCTGGACAAATAAAACTAAAACCATCTACATGGCCTTGATACCTCCTTTTTTGAATTTGGGTGAACTAACCCTTTAGTGAAATCCACCTTTTAATCACTGAGGATGAATTGTCTGTAATCCAATAAAGATCTCCCTGCTGAGCTTCTGAATGCTTTGTGAACTGAGGCGCTCTCATGTCTCCTGTCTGATTTCAACCTGTTGGATGATTAAGCTTCGGTTGTTTCCTCTGTGCTGAGCGACTCCACAGCTCCAATGTTTTCTGTCTGTTAATCTCATCTGTGTGAACTTAATCATTTTAGAAAGATCATTATATGAAACGTCCACAATATACTGTAATACAGTACAATATTACACAATACAGCTATTGGAATGTAAATTCCACATTTGTTTGTATGTTATTGTTTGCTTTAGTATCATGGTCTCTGTCCTCTAAAATAAACCAATAAAATAAGAACAAAAGGTATGAAAGTCTCCAAAAAACACAAAGAAGTTGTAATGTTTGCAATGATGTGTGTAAAATGTCGGGATTGCCACAAGTTTCCTCCTTTTTTTTTTTTTTCTGCATTGAAATAATATTTCGATTTTATCGTATTGTAAATCAGGAATTACATATTTTTGTGCTCAGTCGTGCCCAATCAAAAGTCCCAGTAGTGAGGCTAACTGAGGCACGGCAGATAAAGTAAAAGAGATTGGATGGATTACCACGTTGTCATTAAAAAAAAAAAAAAAAAAAGACTAGATAGCCTCGACTACAGCAGATTCAACTGTTTAAGCCAGTGGTTCTCAAATGACACATGACAGAGAGGCATTATGTTCAAACAGGAAAAGGGTCTCTAGACACAATATCAATGTATGGATTGATGGGCTTTAGGATTTTCCAGAACTAACGGCTCTAGTCTAAACCATAAAGACGGCGCCAGAACAAACACTCAACCGGATGTGAGCAGTTGTTTCTATCTGCCTGATAATAAAAGTCAGACCTCAGCAGGTAAATTACCTCTGCAGTCAGACTGTTACAGTGTGCAGTAAATCTGTTGCAGGTAAATGTGACGTCTGCGGTCAGCATTATCACAGTGTGTGCTGTCAGCGTGAAGGTCCCCGCTGTGCAGAGAGACTGATGTTCAGTCTAAGCTCAGGAGGGACGGAGAGGAAAGTAATATTTTATGAGATTATGAATGGAAAATCTGAAACAGGTCCAGTAACTCCAGCTGTCAGGTAAAGGGTAGAGGAAAAGTAGCCTAGATGTTCTCCCAATACTATGGTAGTGCAGTACTTGAGTAGGACTGAGTACTGAACTTCAGTACTCTTCTGATGTATACCAACCGTAGAGTATCGAAAACCAAAGAATCAAAATGAGAATTTTGCCAATTTTAGTTCTTGTACAGCTGCTTGTGTTTAGACATTTTCATATGAAGAATTGGTAAAATGAAAAAAAGGGTTTTATTTATAAGTGTTTATATTCCTCTGAGTTATGGAATAAGTACTCAGATGGTTTACTGGAGTAAAAATACGAATAGCACAGAATTAAAAAGAATGTTTTATAGTATTAAATAGTAAAGATTTTTACTGCATTCACACAGAAGAAGTACAGAAGTCGTATCAGCAAAATGAAAGCTTAACAACCAATATCTACTAACCCTGTTTTCAGACACCAAATATATTTCCTATTTCTGATAGTGTTTCAGACCAATACTTCTGTAGGTTATGACATGACCAAAGGCAATGGGTTAATGCAGTGGTTCCCAACCTGGGGGTCAGGACCCCCACTAGGGGTCTCTAAAGCTTCACAGGGTGTTGCGAGGCCTTCCTGATTTTAAGGAATGTAAGAAAACGTATAAACTTGTAGTTTTCAGTATTTAATTAATTTCTAGAAAGAAAACTAAACTAAAAAGTTATCTTTAAAGTTTAGATTCATATTAAAGATCTACACTTTAAAGACCTGAACACAGTCTACATTCACTGAGCCTCCACTCTCTGATAATCAGCCTCATCCTGCATTCAAAAAGTACAAAGTTAGAGCAGGAAGAGCAATGGCCAAGCATCAGGGAGAAGAAAACAATAAAGTATTTATGACTGTTTAAAAAAATACATAATACAGACAGAGAACTGTATAAACAGTTCCTAAAACATCACTTTATATCAGTTGTCCTGTACTGTTATTGTCATATCAGTCAGGGGTCGTCAGTTTACTTGGTGATAAAAAAGGGGTCCCCTAAAGAATAAGGTTGGGAACCTCTGGGTTTAGGTTCCTACTTCAGTCTTACATTGGAGACTCTGAGGAGAAGGCGAGGGGTTAAAAGGGGATATATGTATTCTGTGTATAACAGACACTCTTTCAATATGAACTCCACCTATAGACAGTCAAACGATGGATCATATTTTATCAGCTCATTATAGGTTTTGTTTGTTAAATGTAGAGCTGTTATAGAAATGTAGTGGAGTAGAAGTATAAAGTATCATAAAATGGAAGTACAACCTCGTTAACAACAGTACTTTAAGCACTTCCATCATGTTATTCCTCAGAGTAAAGTATTTGTATTGAACGTTTAGAAATGGTACCCAGCCCTGTTATATACTGGAATAAATGAACTTGGTTATTTTCCACCGCTGAAGAAAAGGGAAACAAACACATCTGTTGTTCCTACTGTTCTCCACCCTGATCATGTGACTCGGGAGGTGATGTCATTGCAGCATCCATTCAGCAGCCTCTCACAGCGGGGATTGTCCTCCAGCGTCCGGCCGTCTCCTTCCTCCAACAACAGTATCAGCTTCACAAAGACCAAACAGTGTCTCCAACTGACAACAAAAACAGGGAGCTGATGCTGCACCACTCACTGCCGTCTCTGTTCAGCTTGCTTTGCATAACAAACAGCTCATATCAGCGCTGCGGGGCCTCGGCGCTTCCACCCTGCAGATGATTGGACTCTCAGACGGTTGAAAAAAAGGGTTTAACAGAGTCAGAACAAAGCCCACACTGTTCCTCTGTCTGGACCTCTCCGTGGGGTTCAACCCACACTGGATTACATCATCCTTACACTCTGAGGCAGTGAGGAAGGAAAACTGGTGGTTACAAGGCTAGATTATTGGTTCCCAACCTGCAGGTCGGGACACCAAAATGGGTCGGGAGTGAAATCAGAGGGTTGAACAAGACAGGAGGGTGATAGGAATTATTTCTGTTTCCAAAAACCTGTTTTATCTGCTTGTTTGTTGCCATTTTTTACACTGCAAAAACAGCCCTTTTAGAAACAAGCCAAATATTCTTAAATATAATGACATTTTCGGGGTAAGCCAAAACTAGAATTCTTAAAACTAGCATAAAAACCTGCCACTGAAAGAACGTAATGGGCCTTAAAACTAGAATAAATGCCTAAAATGTAAACAAGTTGTACTTATTACAAGCAATGACAACTCAGTTCTTTAAGATAGACTGTATTAGTGAGTATTTTGGTCACTTTATTGAGCTGAATTTAAGTATTTGTACCTTAATCTGAGATTGATAATTAATTGGTGAGTTTTTCTGCAACAGCACGATGAGATTGACATTTTGGCTTGTTAGTGAAACATGTCAATAGTTGTGTGATGGAATAACATGAAACTTGGTACGGACATTAAATCAGCCCAGAGGATGAATCCTAATGACTTTTCCTCTAGTGCAGGGGGGCCAGACTTTCCCCCGTGGAGAGCCAAGACTGAAACTTAATGGTGGGTCACAGGTCAAAAGCAAACACTTTTTACATTACAAACAATGCTCTGTATCTTATTGTTAAGATACAAAATGGTACTAGGATCCCAAGTTCCCAAGCTTTAAAAGCACAGGTGTAATCAATAGCATTAATGGTGACTGCAGCTCTACTAGGTAAGTTCACTCACTGACTTACTGGGACACTTAATGGACTGGAGCCATAATCATCATAATTTACACCTGGGTTGAGCTCTTCAGGCCTCTAAAAACCATAAAATAAGTCAAACTACACACAGACATGAGGAGGGTTTGCTAGCAGGCATTGCTTTGCTATAAAAGGTCACAAGCTAAAATGTTTGGGAACCAGTGAACTCAGAATTAAACCTTCCGATCAGTTAGATAAAAAAAAAAAAAAGCTCAAACTAATCATTTACATCAGTTTACAAAACAAAAACATTTTCAGTATGTGATGTGAAGATACTAAAGGAAAAGAAGAGGGAGACAATTTTCTTTCAGTAAATGATATTTTTATTGGTCTTCACCACACTTTTTCCCTTTTAACAATAAATCTGTTTTCTATTTTTACCTTTTAAGCATTTAAAGAGAGATAAAGAGAATATTGCACTTAAAACAAGAGATGAAAGTAGAACCATGAAGCGGAAAGGAAGGGGAAATAAAACGATCACGAGGCTTTCTTTACAGCACAGCCAGGTTACATGTGCCTCCTCAGTACCGGACAGCTTAGCTTCTTGAATATACATCTTTTAAAATAGCATTTCTATGTTAAGTCAGTTTTTTTCTTCAGCTATTACAATACAGGAGAACTCAAAAGGTACACATGCACGTACAAGCAGGGCTCACTGAAAACCAACAGTCTTTATGATGATTTGTTTCACGGCAGATGAGTCTGATGCCACAGATATTTTTTATTTAGTTTTTTTTTTTTGCACGATACGAAAATGCAGCGGTTATGTGTGTGTGTGTTTGTATATTAAGCTTTGTCTGGAAAAAGTGTGATTAATAGGAAATCCTCTATAGATAAAAATGTACTGACAAGAGTGAACTGAGTCCCTTGTGTCTGGCAGTCTGGGTTTTGAGTGTGAGTATTAGGTTTTGTTATGATAAGTCTTTACGGTGACGCAGTATTAAATAGGAATGCAGGTTACACTGTTATAACTGACTGGGCAGCACAGTGGGTTAACAGGAAAACACTTAAGTCACAGTTAACCCTGCTTCATCAAAGAAGCTGTTAATGGATCTTTTTAGTTCAGCAGAACATCAACTTCACTGTCTCCTCCAAGTGGCAGACACTGTCTCACGTTTATTACGCTGACAACATTTTAATCTGCACACAGAAATCTGAACTGTTTCCTGTTTAATCTGCACACAAAGTTTGTCTTCCCTGCGCAGTTGGGATGTATTGCAGGCTACAGTAAGGTTGTTAGTGCCAGTGTGACCGATGATTCAGATGTACCATATGATGCACAGTAACCAAGGCAACCAGGAGATCGAAGTCCTCCACGGAGAACGTAAAGGTAATCTGCATCGTCACATTCAACTGAGGTTTTGGGGCTTCGCTCCCTGCAGCCCTCGGGTTTTTAAAAAGCCATCGCCTTTATGAACATGCGTCTGTTGTACATGCATCAGTAGAAGAGTTGAGGGAATAAAATATCATACAGAGGAATATCTGGATTTTTTTTTTTTTTTACTGTGGATCATAAAATAGCAACCCTGGTGAGGCGTGTTGGTCCTGTCATTTGCTGGATAGTTGGTTTTGTTCCTGGTTAAAATCTATTAAATTACTCAA